GTGTAGGACTGCAATAAAACCACATATAAGAAGAGGTCTAAAATGCTAATATTCCTCTAGTGACATGTTTCAAATCAGAAGCATTAAATTCAAAGAGAGTACCCCATCAAGCAGTATGTTAGAGGCTTTAAAATCTCTGTAAATCACTTGCTTCTCTGATGTGTGCAAGAAACCAAGGCCTTTAGCTGCTCCTATGGCAATCTTGAGCCGTGTATCCCATGGAAGTGGCTGAACAGCTGAACCTCCTGCATCAGCCAAAAAATATATTGTATGATGAATCAAACGATCTTGTTTCATTGTTTTCTTTAACGGGGAAAAAAAAAAAATCCTTTTGTGCCTAAGGAAGAGCTTGAAAAGGGGGGCAGAGATGTTAGTTAAATCAAAATTAATTATTATCTCTTACTTCCAAATAAATGGTTCTCCAAGCTACCCTTTTGCATGAATTCGTAAACAAGGAGAAGTTCCTTGTCCTCCCAACAGTATCCTATCAGCCTTACAAGGTGGGGGTGAGAAAGCCTTCCCAAGAAATTTACCTCTGACTGCACCGAGAAATGAACACATAAGAAACTACGCACAATTTTTGAATAATGTAGTAGTGATAAACTAAGTTAATCAGAAAATAGGAGACCTCAATCTCCGATGTATATGCCTAACAAACAGAGAAGATCCTCTAGTATCTAGTCTGTTGCCTAGCCTCTTCCCAGCAACTATAAGAGAAAGATCATAAAGAACAATTGAGCTGGTCCAGTTCAACTTCATATGCACTTACTGTTAAATACAGTTACTAACCATCACAAGTGTCCTACTCTCCAAATGATCAGAAATCCAAACATTTCAAGGCGTATGAAAAATAAATGACAATTTCTAAAACCAGTCTACCAATGCTTAGTTGTTTCTCAAGTTGGGTTGGGTACCTGCCATTCTTCAAGTCCTTGCAAGCTCTCCGAATTCAATCGTTTAACAGCTATTACAGTTCCACTTCCATTTCTACCTGGCGCCTTCTCATCAAGCCATCCTTTGTAGACTTTACCAAAACCTCCCTCGCCGAGCAATGTATCAGATTTAAAATTCCTGGTGGCAGCCTTTAGTTCTACGAAAGTGAATATCCGCAAGTTGGGGGTGGGCAAAATCTGCCCATTTGGAAACTCCTCATCGCCACTCCCAGCAGAAAACTGGCTGCGGGCAGAGATGTTGCTGCCCCTAGATGATGTTGCATTGCTGACCCCAAGGGAAGTAGTATTGCTAGTTGTCTGAGATATCCCAGCTGTAGTTACAAAATTGAAGTTAGATGACATATTCAAGTCAAAATATAGAAATTTTGGGTTAAGGTAGATTTAAGAAATTCTGAATTAAAATCAATTTGACCCCAAACAACAAGATTTAGGAAAGTTTGAATTACAAGAAATGATTTCTGTTCACAATTGAAATAAACAATTTTGTGGAAAACCAAAAGAAAACACTAAACAACTTTATGCAAAAAAGGAAATTTCCACAATTGATCAGACAAAAAGTGAGACAAAGTCCAGCCTTGTTTTCGGAACAAACAAATTCCTGAAACGGAATCCATTCCAAAAACTGTAAAGCATCAAGGCAATCTCCAGGTGAAAGGACTGACATATCAAAACTAGCTCAAAAGCAAAAAGTGAAAGACAAAACAAGTTCTCTTGGTACTAAACAAACATCACACTGAATCACATCAATTCCTATTCTTTCAAATTAGAACAAAAAACACCAAAACCCAGATTGCAAATTGGATCAACTAGATTAAACATTAAATGAAGGAAAAAAAGAAAAAGAAAAGAAGAAGCAATGCATAAAGGTAAGAAGGTTTTGTTTTACCTAAGCTTAGATGACCAGTGGCATAAGGCGTAGTAGGACTCTGAGCAGACGAATCAAAGCAACAAAACCTCATCTCAAAAAAACCAGTTGGATTCTACCAGGATACAACCGTGCAGTAGTATCCACTTTAATTTCAAGAATTCAAAGACAGATACAATAAAAAGGAAACAACTTTGATCTTGATTATCTAGATTCTTCCAAAGCGTTCCTTTTTTTTTCTTGCTCTTCAACAACCAAATGAATGGGGTACGCTCTTTGCTTGACTAGAATTTTCTCTCTCTTTCCACTAGCTCAACTCCGAGACTTTCTTTTCATGTGTAAATCTAATCAGAAAATATAAAACCAAGAAAATTTTTCAACTTTCTCAGTAATCAAACAGTATATTTAATTTTTTGAGAGAGAGAGAAACAGGACAGAAGAAGATGCACTGCGTCTTTTTATGGATCTGTGAGAAGGCAAGTGGCTTCGCGGGTAATGAAGATTGAAGAAAGTTATAGTCAAGTCAACTGCCGTGTCAGGCAAAACTTTTTTCGTCAGTCAAATAATGGAAATTCTAAACAAGGGACCCTTTTATTATTTTATTTGAATTATACAGGACTTTCTGAAAATTCCAATAGATTAGGCCATGAATTATTATATTAATTAATTATTGATTTTTTTTTCCTTTTATTGATGCTGAATTATCAAAGAATGGGGAGGCTTAAATTGTATTTGTTTCTCACTTTATCCGTTTCGTGATTGAAAAGCAACTTATGTTGGGGGGGATTATGAATCCATCGATTTAGATGTTCATAACCTTCTTACCATCAAACTTAATTTTGTTGGATCATAAAATGCAAACTTCAAGGGAAAAAAATTCAAAGAAAAGAGTGACAGGAGAGTTATGATTTTGTTGTTCTTTTTAGCTAAGAAAGAGGAGTAAATTATATATCTATTTTTTATTTTAAAAAACAAATTAATTGATTTTTATGTTTTAAAAATTGATTATTTAATTTTTTTATCAACGTTAATCACAATTAATTTAATTTTATTTAATTTCAAAAAAATATCATTCTTCTCATCTATTCATGTTATTTTAATTATTTTTTATTTTTTAAAATAAAAAGTTAAAACAAATTCGAAATGAAATGAAAAGAATTAAACTAAAAGAAAATATAAAAATATAAAAACTAAACAATTAATTTTAAAATAAAAATACTAATTAATTAATTTCTCAAAACTAAAGTAATTAATTTATAATTTACTGCTGAGCAGAAACTGGAAACTGATTGGCACTTTCTTAAACTATAAATAAAAAGACTAGAGCAGACAGTGCAAAAGGAAAATCCAAGACGGCACCTTGCATTCAAGGATTGAGGATTTACGATCTAATGAGTTATTGTCTCTGACAGGTGACAGCAACATGTCTTATTTCAGACAAAAATAATTATTTTCACCTTTTGAATGTACTCTGTTTTCCTAAGATAGAGAGGCAGACAGAAAGAGAGACAGAAAGAGAGAGAGTGCAAAGCAATGATTTTTCTGCTTTATTATTTATTTATTTTTACAGACCATGGATTTATAATTTATATGGTGACAATTTTTGGATTGAAAAATAGTTCTAAATTATCGTTATTATGGTATTTAAGGAATTTGGAAGTTCTCATTTCATTATAGACTATAGAGAATTTAGCAATATTTTATCTAATAATGACAATATCGAAATATTGTGCTGTTTAGTAAATAATGTATTAAGAAAATATTTTTAATTATTTATTTTAAAATGAATTTGTTAATATATTTATAATATTAATTATTGTAATTATTATTTTATTATGGTGATAAATCATGACTTGCAATAGTAATTAATATATAATAATAACTTCTACCGTTTAAAATCATGGACCGGGCTAATGGTCATCGGCAAAATTTGCGAAGCACCAAACTGCTTTTATTAGGAAACCCTTGTTTTGTTTATTCGCAAGGACAGCCTGTTCTCCATTTCTGTAACAAAAGCAAGCAGGTTTGACCAAGTCCTATTTTTACCTCGAAGCTTAAATGTGACGTCAATGGCTACGACATGCCAAAGTCATCAAACCTTAAAACGTCTGACCATTGTTGGAGATTGAGCGGATGCTGTTTCTCTGCAACTTCACTTCGTTTAAACTGTCGAAAGAAACCATTTTTTTTCCTACCCATTTCATGATTCTTTTGCTTTACAGTTACTATTTTATATTAACGGATTTTCACAGAAATTTCATGTGGTTTTAAACAAAATTTGTTGAAAAGTCACCATGTTCCATGGCCAGCCATCTTTTAACTCAATATCTTATGTTAAGATGGTTCCTCGCAAAGTTTTGCGAAAGAAATGTGCCGACCTTATGACCCCTTGGACATGGCAACCATCATTTTAAATAACGTTCCTTATTCAACGAAATCGACTAAAACCGTCATCTTTTAAAACAACATGTTTTTGATTCTTTATTTAAAATAAATTTATTTATAGTTGTTAATTTATTAACAATATTAGTCATCATAAGTATTATTTTATTTGTTTATATGGTCAGCTGATGGTAGGTTAGAATAAGGTTAACGGAAAATGATGACCCTTTAATTTATGTAGAACGAGACATTCCATAACGATAGCAAAAATGACGTTCGATGGCATAAGAAGGAAATTTCCATTCTGAAACTTGACGAGGTTAAGAAGTCTAGAAATCAACATCGCATATTGCATTCCAGAAACCGTTGAATTCCAAACGGATATTGCTTTTCAAAGTTGAAAATAGTTACAATAAAATAGACATCTAACATCTTGAATAAAATTCCTGGAACATCATGGTATCTTCGGTTTCCAAGGCTACAAATGAAACCTTTTTTTTAAGATTATGAATCTATGAATCGGGATACATTAATCTGTACAGAAACAACCTGCAATTTTACAACACAGTTAGGTGTGGCTTGGATGGATCCTTACGGAGGAGACCATGACTTGGTCTAATCCCTTGGAGCACAAATGCCAAGCCCACCTCTATATGGCTCTGTGCTGGTGCCAAAGCTTGAACCCTGGTCGAGTGGGTTGAGAATCAACACCAAACCACAGGGGCAAGGAGCATTGGTCACCACTCTATGGTTAACTTAGTCGTCTGAGAAGCAAAAAAAAAAAAAAAGCTAAACTATTCTCAGAGCTGCAAAGCTAAATCTGGGTGTGCAGAATCAATGCGACCAGAACTAGGAGAACCTGGAGACTGGTATCTGACATTCAAGTCAGGTGGGACGGTGTCCAATTTCTGATGTGGTGATGAGCCTGAATCTGGTTTTGGTTTTGGATATAACCCTTGCCAAGTTGGTTGAGGTCGGTCTCCAGATCTTGGGGCCTCCACTACTTCGCTCCCAGAGTTTGGCAATGCACCACTGAAATTTACTGAACTTGAATCCTCCAGGAACTTCGTTTTCTCTGAGTGTATGCCGTTTGTATTTGCCGAATGGACCAGGTTAGAATTAGTTCTAGAGACCTTGTCAGCCATCTGAGATGACTGAATGCTTAACCCAGCAGGCCTGGAAACTCCAATTGGTTTTCCCATTTGGGCTGAAAGGTTAAACCCATATGTGGCATTAAATCCAATCATGCCAGGATGAATGGCTGGGTTCTGATGAAGCTGAAATGGAGGCCTTTGCCTTATCACACCCGTACTACTGTTCAGCACATTAAATGCAGAATGGGAATTCGATTTCGCAGCTGCTTCTTCTCTTTCTGTGCAAGGTTCAGATTTATTGGCAACTGAGAGGGATGTAGTCATCGAGGTTGATGGGGGAACAGGACTTAAATGTGCCTCTGACATGCGAGTTGAAGGCACCTGCTTCTCTGAAAAAATATCTTTCTCAGGTTTCATCGACAATTTCTCTTCTTTTGATTTAACATTGCAAGGTGAGGCATTAGCAGCTGAACTTTCAAGTACGGAGTAGGGCCTTTGTGGTGGTGGTGGAGGTACCAGCTGACTTGGAGGGGGTGAAGAAAACAACGGCCTCTGTGGTGCGATGTCATTTTCTCCGACCCATCCAGGACCAAACTTAACTCCCGGTCCTAAAGACCTTTCTATTTTTCTAACTGCAATTGTCCAGGCCAAAGGTCCAATGTTCGCAGCAAATCGTGCTATGCTCCTTGCATAACCATGCTCTGCCAGAAGTCCCACCTGATTCACGTAAAAAAAAAAAAAAACAAGAAGAAGAAGACAAAATCAACCAACCATAATGGAGACCAGTTAAGTTGTACCAAACATGTTGGGGGCACCCGTAGATAGAGCAGAATACCCAAAAGAGAAAATTCCATCACAGAACCTAATACAATTTCACTGCAGCATTAGTACCACTTCTTACTACTGTTAGGTTCTTTTAAGATTAGCATTTTGCAAAGTAGAGCTATACCAAATTAAATAGCCAAGATATGTTCTAGGTGTTATTTTTTTTTCCCCTTCTGATTACTCGACCCACCATCTATCTGTATGGGTCCTTTACATGAAAATGAAGCTTCATTTTTCACTTCAAGGAATTAAATAGAAAATAGACATCAATGGGATACATACAGCCACTAGCTGCTTCCTTTCTGCATCAAAAGTAGTCAGCACAGATGGCACTCGTCCACCAGCTGAAGGATGGAATTGCTTATATGTGTTGCGCCTGTTTTCGTCAAATGCCAAATGCTTCTTACTATGCTTACCTTTAAGTACAGAACCTGTAATAAAAATGAAAATGACTTGTCATTATGCCAAGTACAGAATTGGAAGAGTGCAGCCAAATGAAGTTGAAAAGGAGAAGTAAAAAAAAAAAACTAATATTGAAGTTCCATACCTGCGGTTTCATCATTCCTCTCAGTCAACAAATAAGCTTCATTGCGGGAACCATGAAATTGTCCTGAAGAATCTGCAAAACTAGACTTCTCTGCTGGTCTATTCTCTCCGCCTGTAGCTAGAGTTGCACCTGAGGGAAATTCCGAACCAGCGAGGTCCAATGAAGGCCTGCCCGGCGATTTTTTTAAATTCTCCGAAGGTGGCCTCCCTCTTCTTACTGCTTTAGGTTCTGCTTCATTGTCATCACTATCTTGCCTCAAATTTTCAAAGTTCTTTTTTGCCAACTCTTGTATGGATCGTGCCTGACAACAGTAGGGAATCTCAAAAACATATGTAGACAGCCTGAAAATGGCAAATCCAAAGGTAAAAAGCTGACTTTACCTGTCGAAAATATATGGTATCTGGTGCATTATACTGCATTGCATTCGTACATATTAAGAAAACATCTTTCTGCATGACAATGAGATGAAAGTCCAATGAATTTTTTTGAAATCAAATAAAAGCACGAAGGATTTTAGAATTAGATTGAGATATTTTCCTAACTCAGAATCTGAATAAATCTTCTTTTTCTTTCAAAGAGGCAGCAAGGAAGGCAAATTTCAAATATGTCAACATGCACATGCATGAAGCAGGAATTAAATCATGTAAAGCTTCTTCCAGTACAAAGAGGTTCTATCTCTTGCAAGTGGATCCACAATCAATTGGCCAACGAAAATGAAGAATTTCAATAATTAGCAGTAAATCAACCAATATACGATGGACATGAACACAGAAATAGTACTCCTTCTGCCTCTTTAGTCTTCCAGTTATCTAGTGGGAGATGCACAAATGCAGGAAATCATTCGTCACTTGCAACCATTAAAAATACACCACCTACTGGGATAATTCTTGCATTTATCCATGTAATCAGACCAAGCATGGAGCTATTCACATTACGTCAGCACCTCCATCTTGCAAATTAAGCAAAAACTCTTCCACATATGTTTAATTCTAATAGCATGGCACAAGCAGGGATGACAAGTTGCTCATGAATTTCTATGGGGCATTGACTCACTTAAAGTGGCGAGTTCTTTTTCGTTCATGTGAAATCTAATTATAGGTAACTACTAAGATGATCTTCCAATGCATGAAGTGAGCATGATTTTTAGAATTGAAGACCACTGTAGCAGTCTTAACGGAAGGGATAAGGACTCTTAAGTATGTTAAATCTAATCTGGAAACACAATGCCCCAACTTGTAGAATACTCTTCAAAGATATATCTGCATACTTAAAGAACAAAAACCAAGCCGTTGTAAACAAAATCTGCACTCATGCAAATGTATTAATTTCTAATGTAATGCCCATGTCCCATAGAAACCAAAATGAAATCAAACACTGTTCATTCCTTAGTCCCTTTATTCTCTGAGTGCTCTTTCATAAAATGAAGAGACAATCAGTAAAGCCTAGTCTACATTTAATCGTGGACTCTTCTCCTTTTGTATAGACATGTGCCTGTCTATATGAGAGCCATCTCCTTACACCAAGCCATAACTACCTAAAACACTAATCAACCTAAATAAAAGCTCAAAGGGAATGCTGGAAAGACGTAATCACAATTACATAAACCAACCTCAAATTGTTCCAAACTGGCGTAAGCCCCATCAGTGAGTTTCTTTCTGACCGTCCCAAAGTCCATGGGATGCTCAATGACTTCAAGATAATCTGGAAGCTGCACAACAAATCAGATGTCATCAACCAGAAATCAAATAAAAAAAGCACATAGACAAGTCTAAAAAGCTAAATACATCATCAAAAACTAACCTCACTTAGGTCCACTGGCTCAGAGAACACACCATACGTGTCCTTCCTGCAATTATAAATTGAAAAGAAACAAATCTCACTCACTTAACTATAAACCACAAAGCAACATCAAAAGAACAAAAATGCAAAAACTTTGAAAGCTGCTGAGGAAAAAAAACGCACTTTTGAAGCCTGTCCAAGATGAACAGTAACAGCTTTTTATCAGGTAAAGTTGATGAGGGTCCAGAATCTGCAAAACAATTGAAACACATAAATCAAACAAAAGCTCCCAAATTCAGCCCTTTTATACAAAAGGGTCTTTAACATCATTAACAAACAACCAACCTTGGACATCGCTTGTTGGGTTTGTTCCAGTTGTAGACTTCTGATCTCCCTGAAATTGTAAAAATAAAAAATAAAAAGCCCAACAAGAAATAAACAGAAATAACAAGAATTACTATCAAAATTTTATACTATAATTGGTAAGGAAGTGTCAAAAGGGACTTGAAAGCAGCCAAAAAGGAAACTACAGTTACCAAAAAAATATTACTCTTAGTATTATTTATTTTCCTCATAAAAGACAAATTAAATTCCACTCCGAAAAAGGACTCTTATTTATTTTTATTTTTATTTTTTGGTGGTCTAAAAAGATTTATTACAAGACATTATTATTAATATTCGAAAATAGAAATTTTCAGACCAAAGTCAAAATCCCAACATAACTTACACAAGCCCGCTTTTCAAGGACGTTTCCGTTCGTTAATTTTCCCACCAATTTTTTCTTTGTTTTACCAAAAAGTTTGAATTTTTCACTTACCTTTTCACTCTCAGATCCATTGATATTCCTCTTCTTCTTATTCGACCCCGTATTCTTCTCTTCTTCACCGTTCGATTCCTCTCCACTCGAGTTAATCGACGTCGAATTAGTGTCTGATTTGGGCAATTTGAGTACCAGCTTCAGTTTCTTCTCGCGACGGCGCTTTCCATTCAATTCGGTGTTGTCTTCATCATCAGAGGAGTCGTGGGAGTTGTCGTCGTAGGCAGGGTTACGGCGAGTGGATCGACGGAGAGGAGTAGTACTAGTGGTGGTGGCAGATTTGGGATTTTGAGAAGAATTAGGGGTGGTTATTGAATTGCTTGAATTAGAAACAGAAGGCGAAACGTTTCGATGACGATGTTTGCGTTTCTTTTGTTGATGTTGTTGTTGTTCCTGGTTTTGCTGCTCTTTTAAGGAACGTTTTTGGAGATCTAATAAAGAAGGTCTTCCTTTCTTCTTCTTCATCTTCTCTGCCATTTTCCCCATTTTTCGGGCTTTACCTTCTTTTTTCCTCTCTCTCTCTCTCTCTCTCTTCTCTCGCTTGCACTCACTACCAAACTGGGTGTTAGTTATTTTCACTTCTTTTTTATTTTCGAATCATTGTTTTTCGTTTAGGGGTAAACTAGGTTTTTGTCCTTATAAATTCATCAATATTTCATTTCTGCTCCTATAGTTCAATGTTTTCTAATATTACTCCTTAGGTCTTGACAAGTTTCGATTTTGTCTTTTACTACTAAACAACTTAGGGTTAGTGTCCTGTTGTATAAACCCAAAAATCAAACCCAATTACTAAATTTTAGCTTAGTCAATTCGATTTAGGTTGATAATTTGGTTTTGACTTGAAAACCAAATTCATCAAAACAGATTTTTATTCTATTAAAAATTAAAAATCTTTAAATTTAAAAAATTTTGAGAAAATGACCGAAAAATTGAGAAAATTAAAAGTCAAATTGAAAATTTTCAATATATGTATTCGGTTTTTCACAAGATTGATTTGGTTTTGATTTGATTCCAAAAACAAAATCGAACAAAAAAAATCTTGTATCAATGTTCTTATAAATAACTAATAAAAAGTTGAAAATTTTCAAAATTTGTTTTATTTTCCTTTATTTTTTATCATGTTATATATATATATATATATATATACACACATACACACTAAATTAAAAGAGTAGGCTATGTAGGTGTTATCAGGTGTAACATTGAAATTTTCTGGAAAGTTGAGGAATGATATTGAGAAATTTAAAATAAAAGGGCCAGAAATAGAATATTGATGAATCTGGGGGGAGAAATGAAGTTTAGCCTTTGTTTCTGTTCGTGTAATAATGTGATAGTTTGCTACTGATGGTGTCTGACTTTTAGGCCTCGGCCGAGAAGGAGGAGCATGCGTGGCACGTGCCAGAGGCAAGAGTTGTTCGCACGTGTTTGTGACGGCTGGAGAGAAATGGGAGTAAATTACGAATTACTCCCTCTTGTTTCAAAAAATATTTTAATCCTTTCATGTTTAAATTTTTCTATAACCTAATATTGAATTAAATTTAGTTAACAGTTGGTGACGGAACTGAATAATTAATTTTTAAATAATATTAATTGATTAATTAGTTTGTAAAAAATAGAAAGATTAATATAATTTACTATGAGAAAAGGAAAGCATGCCTTCTTTTAAAAAATAACATGTGTCAAAAAGTTCCATGCATTTCAATACCTTTGTTTACGTGAAATGATGGGTGTAAATAATAAATTTCAAAGATTTAAATACTTTATGTTATAATGTTCTTTACCACACATATAAATATGTTTTTTTATTCTAATTATCTTATTATCTTTTTATTTAAAGAAACAATAAGAAAAGAAAGATAGAATCCGACTTTGAAGGATAAATTCAATCTCAATAACAATCAAAACATAGTTAAATGAAAGAACTTATCGTAGAAAATTTTAATTAGAGAATTTTTGTCATTAAAATCATACGTCCTATCACTAAATCAAATGCAACTAAAATCTTTAAACAGAATAAAAATTTTATAGACATTCACAAAACAAAAGAGTTTTTTTTTTTTTTTCAAATGCATTGGACAAAACCATACATGTCCAACAAAGTCAATATTAACATAAGTATTTAATAGATCATTACAATATTGGTTAACTATAGAATCTAGATAAAATATTAGAACAAATTCCGATACTAAAAACAAAATGAAATCAAACAAAAATTTTCACATTGGCAACTAAGAGAAGGTTGATATTTTTCAAATATTTATTCTATCTCGTTTTACCTTTTATCATTTTTCAAATAAATTTCCATTTATATTACAATGTATTAAAAAAACTTAAAAAACAAAAACAAATTAAAGGAGTATGGTATTTAATTGTCATATTACTCGTATGGGATAAAATTAGACCTTTATTGGAAAGCTGAGGGATAATATTGAGAAATTATAAATTATAGAAACAGAAGTAGAACATTGATGAATTAAAGAGGGAAAGGAAATTCAGCATGTGTTTTGGTTTGGGTAGTACTTTAGCAGGAGCGAGACATAGGCACGAGCTGTTCGCACGTGTTTGTGGCCACCGGTGAGAAATGGGAATAAATTATAAGCTAGTCCCTCTGGTTTCAAAACAAATTAATTATTTTTTTTCTAAAAAAATTAATTTTTTAATTTTTTATTTATATTGATAATATTTAATTTAATATTATTTTATTTTAACAATTGTCTTATTTTTTTGTTCAATCTTCACCTAATTTCTGTTTATTTTTTCCTTTTTATACTTTTTAAAACAAAATAAATTAGAAAAAAATAAAAAAAACTAGATAATTAGTTTTTTTTTTAAAGAAAAAAGGTTCATTTATAACTTAGTGGGAGAAATGAAGAGCATGTTTGTTACTTTTTTTTCTCACTTTTTGTATTTGTCATTTATTGAATGTTGGTGATGCAAGGAGAAATTTTATAATATACAAGGAGTAACTCAATGGTACGTATAGTAGTTACTTCTTAAACTCGATTTGAGGAGAGAGATAGACACATAAAAAGAAAAAAAACAAAAGAGAGAAAATAAAAAAATTTCAGTGAAAATAAAAATTTTCATATCACTTTTGATAGGTATAAATATATATATATATTTTTTATGTGTCTATTTCTCTTCTCAAAATAGATGTAATAAATAATTATTATATATCATTAATTATTCTTTATATATTATAAAATTTTCCGTAATGAAAAAGTAAAAAGGAGAGTGATTTCTTGATTTCAACACGGTTTGAATGGAATTCTTGATTTCATTATGGCCAGAAGTACTTTGGAATATTGAATTAACGCGTGCGCGTGTTTGTGTTGCGCCTTTACGTGTATGCACAAGGAATTGAAATTTGAATTACATGCAAATAGCAAACATGATTTGGAATTGATTTTTTTTTTAAAAAAAGACATTTTTTGGAGTTAAATGATTTCATTTTTTAATTTTTTTTATTTGTATATCTTTGTCTTTCGTAGGTAAATATTAATTGTTTTTTTTTCTATTAGATTTTTTTAATAGAAAAAAGCTATTTTGTAATATTAAAAATAATTATTGTCATCTTATACAATGAGGATGTGTTAGCATATAAAGAAAATTTTGATTGGAAGTTCCTCTTTCTAGTCACGTTTCAAATTTTGAACATAAAGAACCAGAAATCATATAGTATGAAGGAAATTATTAATTCAAATTAGACTTAATTCTAAGAAGTTGGCTTGCTCGTCAATAAGATTTACTCCATTTCTTGATTTGTTTTTTGAATTCCATTTCTTACATAATAATAATAACAATAAATAAATAAATATACATAAATAAATTAAAGATATCCGATAACAAATAAGGCATTAATTAGTGCAAACTATAACATATCTTGAGGTATTTCTTGCCAATTTAAATCGAGTAAATTACAAATTAGACCCTTTAGTTTTTCGAAAGGGATTAAATAATTTCTCTAGTTTAATAACTAATTAATTAGTTTTTATATTATTAAAAATAAAAAAATTTTATAATACACTGGGAGTAACTAGTTGCATATATAATAGTTACTCCATCGATCCACTTTGAAGAGAGAGATAGACACATAAAAAAAATAAAAATTACATCTATATTCATCAAAAGTGATAAAACGATTTTCACGTCCGTTCAATTTTTTTTTATTTTCTCTCTCATGTTTTTCTCTCTTTTTTGTATGCCTATCTGGTGTATTATAAAATTTCTCTTAAAAATCTATTTGTAATTCAATTTTTTCATTCTTTTTTAATTTATTTTATTTTGATATATATATATATAAAAAGAAAAATCGATGAGGAAAAAAAACATTTTTTAAAATAAAATAATATTAAATTAACTATAATTGTAGTTGTTTAATCGACTAGTTAACGAAAGAGATGGCAAAGGAGACCTGTTTCAGGGAGGAGACGAAGACTGTTTTGGGAGAAGAGACGGTTGGATTGGCTGGAGACCGCTAGAGTGTGAAAGGGAATGATCTATGAGGTGGTTTAGGGAGTGTTAAAGTCGGCGGTGGTGTTTGAAGGAGGCGAAGGCGGCTAGTGGTTGAGTGGGAGAAGAGAACGGAGAGAAAGAAAGAGATTTTGTCAATTTAGGGATTGAAATTTAGCAATCCAACATGCCCTAGACAGAGAAGATCCAACATTCCTTCATTTCTCATAGCTATGCTACACCTATAATTGCTCTCGAGATTTTCAAGGCCTTCTTCTCCGATGCCTTCTGACCAGAATTCTTCAAACCTTTGCTTATTGAACTCAATAAATCCACAAATGTTACCGAGCTTTTTCATGTTCAAGTAACTTCCTCGTGATTTTAAACTATTGATTAAAAATTTGTTTTTCTAATCTTGCCTTTGCTCTTCGTGCGTTTCAGTCTCTGAATTCTCTCCCTTGATCGTGCAAGTTTCGGATATTTCTTTCTTTCCATGGCTCACTCTAACGCTCCACTCAATTCTCCTTCCTCCTCTCTCTTCGTCATAGCAGCAACCTTCTATATTCCTCCTCTCCTCTTTCGCCATTAAAATTTTCATTTTTACTTTTCCTGTTTCCTTCCTTTCATCCAAATCCAAAAATCACTACAAACAAACCTAAACGATTTAAATATAATAAATCTAAACGAATTCTAGGTGAAGGAGGAGGAGAAATAGTGGCGGCTAACAAAGAGAAGGGGGAAAGAGGAGGAAGAAAAAGAAAAAAAATGAAAAAAATAAAAGAAAAGGTATTTTTTAAAAAAAGAAATACACTAAGTACTAGAAAACATTTGGGTTACGTAAGTGAAAAGGACCGCCATTCTTAAAAAAAAAAAAAATTTGAAAAGGCCCAAATATGCATCTTATTAGGAGGCCAATTGGATCTGGTCCAACTACAAGATGGACTTTTAGATGGTTTCTTCGGCTATTTCTCTCTCTTTTTTAAAAAAAAAACTTTTGTTGAACACCTTAGATGCATTAACATACCACCGATTTAAGGAATTGTTTGAAGCCAAACGAAATCAGGAGATGCCATGCCTCCTCGATACAGAGACCGGTCTCCTCCTCCTACGGTGGTTCGTGTTTACACTGTCTGTGACGAATCAAGGTCTCTGTCTGTCACTGTCTCCCTCTTTTCTTTTCTTGTTTTCTTAAAATCAAACTAAAAAAATCTGTTTCTGAACAGATATTTGATAGTGAGGAACGTTCCTGCTTTGGGATGCGGTGGTGATTTGTTCAAACTCTTTGCCTCTTATGGAGACGTTGAGGAGTAAGTAAAACCCACTTCTCCTCTTCTTCCGTTACAGTTATTTTCTTTCTTAAACTTTAATTTTCTTAATTGTTATTTTAAAAGAAGGAAAAAAAACTGTTTGAAGGTGTAAACCAATGGATGCAGAAGATTGTGAGCAATTTACTGATGTATACTGGATCAAATTCCGTCTGATCAGCAATGCAAGGTTAGCTGATTCGTTCATGGTTTCAACTTCTGGGCTTGCTTCTTTCGTTCATTTTTACTTCTCCAATAACGTTTCATCACGTGGGTGATCTCCAGGTTTGCGAAAAGAAAATTGGACGAATCCATTTTCCTAGGGAACTCTTTGCAGGTCTCCTATGCTCCTCATTTTGAGATCGTCTCGGACACAAAGGATAAGTTAGAAGGCAGAAGGAGGGAAGTTTTTGCACGATTGAACCGTCAGTTTCTGTTTCTGTAAATAATTGGTTGTTTTTATTATTGGAATTTGCTTGGCTGTTAAGGATTTTGTATCTCTGACTATTAAGTCAGTCTTTTATGGTTTCAGCTGGAAGAACCAAGGGTTCTAAAATTCATAGCCCGGGTGCTTCGAGCCAGGCTTCATTGCTTCCATCACAGATTGACCCCATTGCTCAGCACTTGAACTCTAATCAATCTTGGTAGGCTGCTTAAATTTTCTGACCAGTTTTTCTCCTCTACGAAAGTGTTTTGTTTTTTTATATGCATATGATTAACCTGTCCTATGTTTCTGTAGGGACTCGGGAGAATCACAGCATAATCATCAGATAAATGATCCTCCTATTACAAGGGTGTCCTCTGATCAGGTTTGTTATTGCTTCGTTGGGGCGTTCTTGTGGCATGATCGTTTATTGTCTTCGTAGGGACAAAAACCCCAAAACTGAGGATGGATTAAGCTACCTGCTGAGCTGATATAACTCAACCTGTTTCGTAGTTGAGTTGAGTCGAGTTGATCAATCCAAACTTGTAATGAGTGTGGTCAATATCTTGTGTTGGAGTGTGATCGTTTCCATCCCAAGCATCACATGCGCGTTAATATTTTGAATTGATCTATTACAATCTTAATTAACTGAAATTAGAAAACAAAGTTTAAGACATCAATTGATGTAGACTATGTTCTGGGAAAAATGTAGTACCTTTTCAAGTTAACACAGCTGCATTGAGGTCAAACAGTGATAAGTATGGCATTATCTAACTTCCATGATTTGTTTTGGATTATTTTTTACATGGGCTAATGTATAATTCTCAACTTTGTGATTATTTGTAGGATTACTTTCCATCCGAATCAATGAATCAGACTGTTAGATCGGTCAGGGAGAAACTCGATAAGGTGAACAACCTTTCCACAATATTTCCTTTTTTTCCTGAAAGATCCTTATTGTTAAATCTTACCTAACAGAAAATTTGTTCTCTCGTTCAGATCCAATCAAGCAGTGAGCATCTACAAGCCGGGCCTGCTTCGAAGAAAGCACGAGTTGACAATAGAAGAAGAATCTAATAAAACTTTCATACTGAGTTAATGGAGAGAACCATCAGTAATCATAAGTCCTGTTTTTCAGTCTCAAGCCAGCTGCCAAATCTCTTGTGTTTCTGCCTCGCAGCAATCAGTTAGGCAGGCATGGAGGTTGGGGTTGGAGAAGCAAGATGCAACACTGTAAATCTGAAAAAATGGAAATCAACATTGTATTTTGTGTAACATATGCAACTGTTTGATTCAATTTTGATCTATTAATGAGAGTTACAGGAGATTATGCTGAGGAGGTCGAATAAAACCTTCCAAGGATGGATTGCTCTTTTTGGCAGTATTAAGCAATTGTTGAAAGCAAGATAAGGGTCCTTTCCTTGTCGTGCCGCATGTCACTTGTTGCCGGAAAATTGTGGTCGGAATTGACCGAAATTTCATTGAATGGCCCACAATAAGAAAATGTAGAGAATAGAGAGGACCATATTAAGAAAATTTTAATAATATAGGGATGGATTATGGGATTAGTCCTTTGTATTTACCGGCAGTGAGAGAATATGGTGAAGGAGAGTCAGTTTCCAGTGTAAGAAAGTTTGAGGACCGCATTGCAATAATAAAAGAGTTTGAGGACTATCTGACAATTGGAATTGAGAACCATCGGTATGACAAAAACGTGGCAGGATCCCTCTGCAATATAACCGCAGCGAGAAATATAATATTTGGATCATCTTGTCTTCTTCGGAAGTGAGAAGGAAAGCAAGTATGAAGGGAAAACTAGTGGCGTAGCGAAAAGAATCTCAGTTTTTTCAGCAAGGAAACAAGATGTGTATAGCCGTGTTTTTATGGCAAGCTCAGCCGCTTTACCCGTTTCTCTTGTTGCTCAATAGAGATGAATATCACAGCCGGTTAGTGAAATGAATCCATCCCTTCCTCCCATTTTTCTACCTTTCTTCTTATTGAAGTTTCTGTTTTTTTTTTGTTTGTTAAAAATTGTGGGGTTTGTTAAGAAATCTGTTTCTGTTTCGAATTAGGCCAACAAAGCCACTGGGATGGTGGGAAGGCGGAGAGATTCTTGGTGGGAAAGATGAGCTTGCAGGTGGAACATGGCTGGGCTGCACTAGAGATGGTAAGATTGCATTTATCACTAATGTTAGAGAAGTTAAATCGACCCTTCAAGCTAAGACTAGAGGTGACCTTACTCTTCGTTTTTTAGAGGTAAAATTTTCTTTCTTTTTGGTTTTAATCGTGTTTGATTTCCTTGAATTCTAAAGCGTTGACTCATTTCCTTTCTGCTTGTTTTTGGATGTTATGCTCATTTCCTTCAATTGATGATTCGTTGATGGTTCTTGAGCTCTTTAATTTAGTGTCAAAGCATGATTGTTTTTATTTTGGTTCAATAAAGCATTTCAACTCATGTGTTCTTCCTGTGCCTCTCTCTCCAAGACCTTTAACGATAATAAATGATGAATACCCTCATACCCTTTGATGATGATTCTCTATAGGACCACGAGTGAATTTCATAACAATAATCTTCAGATAGTAACTGGCGTGGCTTTGTTATTATCCCTTTAGAAAGCTTTGGCGGTGATAGAATTCTATGATTGCAGAGCAACAAGAATCCAAAGGAATATGCAGAGGAACTTGCAAAGGAGGCAGATCAGTATAATGGGTTTAACCTGATATTAGCTGATATTTCTTCAAAATCCATGGTTTACTTAACAAATAGGCCAAAAGCAGAAAAGTTCATCGTCATGGAGGTGACACCGGGGATGCACGTATTGTCAAATGCAAGCCTAGACTCTCCTTGGCCGAAGGTAATACGTTTGGTAGCTGAGTTTTAATTATGGGTGAAATGCTGAATTGAAGTGAGATTTTTTTTCTCCAGGCACAAAGACTGGGCAATGGCTTCAAAGATCTAATGGAAAAATATGGTGAAGCAGAACTTCCCACAAAAGAGATGGCTGATATACTAATGAGGAACACAATTAAAGATGATGATCCTGGAATTTATCCTTCTGAGTGGGAACACCAGTTAAGTTCTATATTCATCGAAACAGACTCTCCCCTGGTAAATCATTCTCTCTCTCAATTACTGTCTTGTATTCCACACGCAATTCTAGCAAGCATACCTTAAGGATCTCCTTGATATGCAGGGACGATATGGAACTAGAAGTACTTCTGCATTGTCCGTAAAATCAAGTGGAGAAGTTAACTTCTATGAAAGGTATCTTGAGGAGGACCAGTGGAAAGAGCACACAGTGAGTTACCAAATCAAAAAGATGGAAGTACATGTGTGATTTAACTCAGTCCAGTCATCCTTTCAGATAGGTTGAGAGTTACAAGATTTTCTAACTTCATGCCCTTTGGCAATTCATAAAGGAAGCGTTTCACTTGTATAAATAAGAATCTTGTGCCTTCTTTTGTTTCTTGACAGTACCTAAATTAAAGCTTTGTTGTTTCAAGTGCGTTCTTTGAGTGTCAGTTTTCTTTTGGAAAAGCCTCACAAATATATAGTCATATCACATTGGCTGAATACTTACCCCCAAAACCCTAATTTTTTGTTTGATTTTTATATCACGTAAGAATTTAGCAAATTTATATATATAGATGAAGATTTTGATTCAACTCTGTCACAAAACTGAAAGAGAAGCATCTGCATGAACATCAACAGTCTGTTCCAGCTGCTAGCTTTTTATTTATTTACTTAAGGCCAAAGATAGTCTCTAATTTACTAGATACTCATGCCACTCATCATCGACGAGATGACGGAGCTTGCTTTTGTTCTACGCGAGCTGGCTAAAGCTTCCATTCAGGAGCTGCAAGTCGGACAAGCACAACCAGCACCACACTTGCAGTATGCCTTGCCCACGCCGGTAGCCACCACGCTCCTGGCGCATGTGCAAGGATTGCACCCACAGTGCTCGCCGCACGAGCATTTGTTGTGTCCAGCTCCCTCTGCCTCTCCTCCGCTCGCCTTCGCTGAACTGCACCTGTATTCATATCAAGCAGCAGCACCTTAGAGGCATGAAATCTTTTTCATAGATTGAAAACAGAGACTGCCTTTTCAGCATCAACGTGCAAAAAGACGTGAAATATTACTCCATTAATGAATTAACAAGACAACCCAAAAACTAGATTTCAATATGTCAAGATCATTGTAATAATCAAAACTTGAAATTAGAGGCAACTAGCTAGTAAAACTTTACCTGCAGGCTTTGCCACCAGGGCATGGAACAGGACATCCACACCCATCATTACAACCCACAGCACTTCCCCTGGTATCTGCCATTATCCTCCTCGCTTTCTTTTGCCCCTCTCTCTCAGAGGGTAATGCTGCAAATAGCTTGCTCAAGCCACAGACAGGCACTGTGGATATATATATAGGATTTGTCGAAATCTTACCTTAACAAGTAGCAGATGAAATTCTATTAGACAAACACATGGCCATGCAAGGACGAGGTATGACGTATGACTGTCCTCGAAGGCTGCTGAGTTGCACAGGTGGAATGGAGAGGGTGTAGAGGAGTAACACCTGGAAATGTACGTGGCTGTTGAATCTATGACGTGGGTTCAGCAATTCATGCATCCCCTGCCACATCATGACAATATGGAGTCGAATCTAATCCTCCTTCCGATATGGAAACAGACTAGGACCCTTGCCATGAAATCCGAATTAATATGTGAGTGAATATTAAATGAAAAGGTAGCTATTTATTTCAGCTGGTAACAATTTCTGGTCCAACAGAGTGTTTTTTTTCAGTTAATAAAACAAGAAGAAGCGTTACAGATTTCTACTCAACTTTAAGTCATCTTTTAATAATTTTTTTAATTTAAAATAGAGTTTTTTTGGTTACGTTTTTATAAAATCTAAGGCATGTAAATGCAACTCTCGGCAACTAAAAAATATATCAAAATTTAAAATACACTTTTTTTTCTTTTAAATACTAAAAAGTTTCTTTTAAAAAAAGTAAAGATATTTTAAAAAAAGGAAACCAGTTTTGGAGAGAAAAAAAAATCCCGTTTTGGTGCATTTTTAGTCGTTTGGGAAGTTAAAAAAATAAACAATATATAAATCATATACATTTTCACGGGTAGAATGAATGAAAATCGGATTTTGCATATAGATTTCGTATAATTCGTTTTTTTATTGAGATCCAAATTTTTTTTCCTATCCAATTTAAAAGTTTTTTTTAGACTCTAATATATCACGTAAACACACATAATAATTCTAGCCAATAACATACTTACCATATGTCATAATAGACTAAAATTGAATAGGTAATATGGCAAACTCGTCATTGATTAAGATCTAAAATAACAATAACATAAAAATAACTCTTAAATTGGATTAAAAAATTTTAAGATTTTAATAAAAAAATATTTCAAATTATACAGAGGTTTTGATATGAGTAAAACCCAACGAAAATCTAATAAAAAAATTCAATTTTGTCCATGGATTCATAGAAGCTTTAAATGAAGTAGGAAGGGAGATAATCAGAAGAACAAATAATGTTTGGGCCGACTTGAACCAAACAAAGCTTGGGACAGATGAAGGCCCCAGAAGAAATGATCATGATTTGTCATGATCCTCCTTTCGATGTTAACATGCTAACAAGTTACCAACATTGAAACTGGACTTGACGAGAGTGCACGTCCAGAATTCTGACAAGTCACTGCGAAATGACCAAGCCCTTGCCTGATTCATGTCTACACAGCATGTTCTACCTTTAATTCCTGAGTCCTTCTGTAGGATACCTGCCTACTTTGTGGCCCCTTGGGCCTTCGCATCTAGTGATTTGATACTAGCTAGAGAGACCTCATGCACAGTACCTAGTTAAGGCTGAGACCAATTCAGATCCCTTTCCCTATGATCCCATCGTTAACATTATCGTCAGAAGCTGAAAACATGTTCCTTGCAACAAAAAAGTTCGAAACGGAGGTACAGCATATGCCTCCATCTCATCAGTTTGGGCCACATTTTGCTGTAGTGCAGACCCTGCAATTGTGCCCTACAGTGAAATAGGAATGATGGAGACACTTATGAGTTTGCGAAACTGACGTGGATGAAAGCACACAGTATGGGATGACATGTAGAATTAGTATGACGATCAAGAGAGCAGCGCTCTTTGGAAGGTTCAAGAACAAAATTTCTAAAGGTTTACAGAATATTAAATCAGTTATATAGGTTTGTTAGATCCTTTTTTTTATAATTTTAGTTATTCAAACTATAAATAGAGATAATATCGCTGATATTTATAGTTATCAATTGAGAAAATCTAATAAGAAATCATATTGCAGTCGTAAAGTAAGCATCATTGTTGAATATCGTAAAATTTTATGTTGTGTGATTGTTTTTATCTTTCTAAGTAGTCAAATGATGAGCGGAAAGGGCATATATGCTGCTGATTTTTTAAGTTCTTCGAAATATATTTATGAAGATTTTGGTTGAAAAATCCTGCTTTCTGAAGGTTTTTCAAGTTCTGATCAGCTTCTAATTTTAAGAGTAGAAAAGGACATTCTCCTGCAATGGAAGCCAGCACAGCCAACTTGTGGGCACATAACCATTGAATTTTCCTTACAGTGACAAGTAATTAACCAGCTGATTTGTCTCTTTTCTGAATTTGCATATATCTTGGTTAGCAATCAAATGTCACACAGCAATTTTCATTCTGAGCAATTTGTATATTTTAAGTTGACGAAATTCTGTGCCCAAAATCTCATGTGGGCGGCTTGTCTCTTTCTCATGCAAGGGTAACACCTGTTCATCACGGTAGTGCATGTGGCTGTCCAATTCATTGATTGGGACAGACATTGTTGGTTGATGAGGGGTCTCCCCGTTCTAGTGAGTCTTGAGATGGAATCAGCTATATCATGATGATGCTACAAGTTTTTGACATTTTTCCCATTTACCTGTTTTTTTTTTTTTTTTTGCCTTTTTTCATCCTAAACCAGAAAACATCACTATCAACCAAGATTCACGGGACAAAATCCACATAACAAGTGTTATTATTAGTTGGTTTGGATTATATTTATTTTCAAACATGCCAAGTGGACGATCATTTCAAATTAAGATTATAAATTGAGGAATCAAATAAATGGAATTTCTTTAATCCACCGACTGTCATTGGAATTAGAGAAACTAACCAAAGTTGGGGACAATTGGCTAGCCCTAGAAGCAACAACAAAGAGAGAACGCAATCTCTCTTTATTTTGTTATCTTTTTGGACATCGAGAACCACACTTCCAGCTATCGTGACGGAAGTTATTTATCAAATTTAGATAATATTACTATATTTCACACAAATAATAGTAATGACAAACGATCATTATTGTCGTTGTTACCAGTGAGTAACGACGGTTATATTAAAAAAATTATTCTGAGAAAAAAATCTATTCATGCAATAAATTCAATCATTAATAAATAATATTAAATTATTAAAAATATATGAATTAAAATAAAATTATTGATAATTATCGATAAATTCACAATATTGATTGTTATGATTGCCGTTAACCGTAACACGATTGTAATTGTGACTGTTTTTATAATAACATACGCTATTTAAATCCAGACGAAGAACACTGTTATCCAGTATCATTATTCACAAAACAAACCACTTAAGCTCAGAATTAACCATCAGTAATCAGCATCACCAACAGGAAAAAGAGGGCATAGATTTGTTTAACCAGTCTAGCTGAGTTACCGTTTATGTCCTTGTCGTCGTCTTGTAGCAACACACCAACTAAAGCATCAGAACCTTTTCATTACCCCTACCCACTCATAACATGGCATGGACGGATGGACCTGAAAAATCAGGGCAAGACTCATTGGCCATCATAATAATTAACGATAGTAATGTGTACTTTTATGGGTAAATTAATTTATTAATTAGTTTCTTTTGCTTTAAATTAATTAAACACATTACACCAACTAAAGCTCAGCTGATTGTCTCTTTTTATCTATCTTTCTAATAATATCTTCTTCTTTTTTCTAAAACAAATAAATTAATTCAGTTTTTAAAACAAAAAGGACTAGTTGATTCGTTTTTCAAAATTAAAGGGACTAAGTTATAATTTACTTGTACCTTTATGGGTCCCAAACATTAGCTGTAGATCACAAATGTTCCATAAAAGTCTTTTCCTCTGCATAGTCTTCGAATAGACCCAATGAATGTTTGGCCTTTTGTTTGATCATAATTTCGAGGCATTCGAAATTTTTTAAAGGAAAACAGACAAAAACCCTAACCAGAAAAGAAAAGATTATTTCTTTCATGATTAACATGTGCCTGGGAGGGATGGGTTTGCTATCTGAGGCAAACATTTTTCCTTTATTTGACTTTTGACGACATAAATTATAAATTATTTTATCCATGGTAGCATAATCCAAGAGATTACAGTTCACATCAACTATCTTAACTTATAAATAACAATTAACAAATAAAGATTCAGACATCTTTTTTGGATTTATGCATACCAGATATATGTTTTTTTTTTCTTTTCCTGTTTCAAATGGAGCAGGTTGACCCCGTTCTCTCTAACCTCTAGCAACTACCGAGTTTGCTTTTTACAGTTGTCTAACTTTATGTTTGATAATCAATTTTTAAATTTTTAATTTCGAATGAGATATTTCTCTAATTATTTTTCATTTGAAACCATATATTTTTCTTAGATTTTTATCAGTTTTTAACAATAAAAAATATACATAATTTATATTTATATGTAGTTGACTTTTTAGTCTACTCATTAAAAATATTCCAAAACTTGTGAATATTTTTTTTTAAAAAAAAATTTCTTTTAAAATACTATTTAATTACTTATAATTTCAAATTAGATCTTTTTTTGTTAGATTTTTATCAATTTTAGTATGTAAATGTAATTCCTTCATAATTAAAGAATACAAAAAAGCTTATAGATATTTTTTTTTACTCAAAATCTTTTTTTCTCTTCTAAATGTCAAAAAGTAAGCAATTAAAAACCATTTTAGAAGAAAAAAGTTTTGAAGAAAAAACAAATCTTTCATAAAATTTGAAACATTTTTAATTGTTGAAAAAATTAAAACGTCAACTACAATTAAAAAAAAATCATATGTACTTCTGCCGTTGAAAATTAATAAAAACTTAAAGAGAATAAACCAATTTCAAACAAAAATAATTTTTTAAAAAATCCAGTACAAAATTAAAAATTAAAAACTATTTTTAAATGACTTAAAAAAGAGTAAATTATAAATTAATCCCTTTTAACCTTAAAAAAAAAATTAATATCCTTTATTTCAAAAATTAATATTTAATCTATTTAACAGCTTTTATCATTGACATGCCTTCTTTTTTCATGAAACTTTACACATATATATTTTTTTGGTTTTTCTATTTCTTAAAATAAAATAAATTTTAAAAAATCAAATAATGAGGTCCAAGAGTAAAATATCTTGTGAATTGAAGAGTTGCACATGGGCAGTGTGGCAAGCAAGAAAAGGGAAAGTACTCAAAAAAATGACCTTTTTACATCAACATCTAATTAATAAGCATTCAAGAAAAGAAAAGTACTATTTTCAGTCGGCCTTTTGCTCGTGCTGAGACAGAATTCATCGATTGCAGGAAAAAATCTATTGAAAGCTAATAGAAAACTGTAAATCAATATTTTTACTATTAATATAGAATCAAAATCTAACATCACCAAATATCTCTTTTTGTACATCTGAATTATAATTATTTTTAAGCATAAAAAAAAAAAACTGAAGAAATACAAAAAAAAAAAAAAAATTTCTGCTCCTCCACCTTCATCACTCATCCAATTGCCAAATTAACCCCAAGAACTCAAAAAAACTGAAAGAAAAATCAAGTTCAAGAGCATAGAACCTGATGTTTTAACAATCCATAATCTTTTCTGCTTTTTTTCTTCTTTCCCGTTTTTCTAGGTCCTAGAAAAGACCACCACGGTGTCAGTCCAAAGCATTAGGACCAGAACATGCCTTCAACTCAGGGCTCCAGATCCATTGCACCAAGAACTTCCTCCCTCTTCTACCGTTCAAATTGAAGGTCTTGCCTTGCCTATCTCTCATGACCTGCCCTATATACCCACCACCACCACCTGTCCCATACAACCCTTCACACAAATCCCCTATCTCAGTCGGTGCTGTTGGATCTTCTCCGGCATACCAAGCATTCACCAAAGGATTTGAAGACAATTCTGCAAGCTCATGGCCGATAACACTGATCATTCCTTCCAAACCCACATCCCCATTTGGTGGCTTCAAGGATCCTGGCCCACCTCCACCCATGTAACCAGGGACGGCAAAAGGGTAAGCACATACTTCAGGACATTGTTTGCCTGAGTTACCGACCCAGGCATAAGGCAATGTGTAGCCCACCATCGATGGGAATGTAAAGTAATGAAATCCACACACTGCCCTACAAAAGTCTTGCATAGTCACATCTTGTGAGGTCAATATGAGGTAGATCCCATTCTTGTGATCTACTGGGAAAGGTGCAGACTTTACTGCTGAGGCTATCACTTGTTGGATTGTTAGTCTTGTCAGGCCATTCCCATGTGAATAAGCACTGTCACTGTATTCACCAGCTATGAGCATCGAACGGGAGACATTAGCTCCAGTTTGATCCGTGTACAAAGACACAGTGCGCCACCAGTCAGAGACGGAGGGCTTGGCGGCGACAGTGGTTGGGGAGATGGAGTTAAGGAAGTCTTTGATGAGAAGTTTTTGAGAATTAGCCCATCGGCCATACCATATAAGGTAGATGTTTATGGGTGTTGAAGAGAGGACTGGACCCATATGGTAACGAAGCTGGACCAAATCCGATGAGCCCTCGAATTTTTTGAGGAGGAAAGGGTTCTTGGTGGAAGTTTCGGGTTTATAATGTCTGGTTTTGTGTTAAGGGTTTGAACTTGTGGTGTGCTAGCAGAAGCACAGACATTGTGAATAAATAATAAAGATATCAAGCCATACAACAGAGTTAAAGAGAAACGAGGCTGTTGTGACATTTTGAGTAGTGGTGGTTGCGGTGGTGGTGGAGGGAATGGAGAGGTAGTGGGGGTATATAAAGAGGGGTGAGGTGGGGATAAATGGAGAATGGGAGGGAAATGGGCTGGAGACAGCTGCAACGTGTGGGCACACTCTGCTTTGAGTCTTGAAAGTTGAAAACAGTGTCTCTCTCTCTCTTTCTCTCTCTATCTTTGTGTCCTAACGTTTCTGGAAAACTGAAAATCGACTATAGTGCAAGGGATTCTAATGACTGTAATAGCCTTTGATGTCTCTCTTCTTTTTTAGTTCTGTCTGAATGACGAGGAACCCTTTTTAGTTTTTTCTTTGACTTGTCCTAACCACCTCTTCTCCTACTTTGTTTTAACTTTTTTTTTACTTCAATTCGTAGGAGTACTGAATCATTGCTGCTGGGAGAGTACAGGGAGTGATTTTGATGTTGGGCAGATATCATTTATTTATGCCTAATCTTCTTGGGTCAAATTGCTGCTGCAATCTCGACCTTCATGCCAAAACGACTTGTAGCTCACCATTGATTTGAAGAAAAATGTTCGATTAAAACTTGCTAAAGTCTGTCTCTTTTATGAACTTCACTGTCAATGCATTCTCCAATTTAAAATTAAAATACTTGAATTGTTTTACTGGTAACTATCATTTTCTTCTTACGATCTTATCGTAAACTATTTTGGATTACGTAAAATAAATGGATAATACAAAAAATTAAGTACATTTTCAACATTTTTAGTGCAAATAGACTTCTGATTTTTGTAATTATTATGTAAAGTCATGTTGGGAATCAAATTGCTTCGGTAAGACATGGCCTTTACTTCTTCACATTCTTTGAATCAAATACTCCACGTAGAGACAACGTATATTGTTGTCTCTTTTATCAACATATGCAACGAATTTTTGAGGCACTAAATCTACACAAGGCAGATGACTACAAAAGAAAATAAATAAATAAATAAAAAGCAAAAAAATGCAGCAAAATTCATTAATTAATGTGATTTCTGTGAAGAAAGAATGGTACAAAAAAAAAAAAAATCTCATTAATTACTATGCCTATTTGTCGGACACTCACGAGATGTATTATTTAAGGCAAACTTAAAAGATGTCCCACAACTATAAAGCCATTCTCAATTTTGCCTCCAAGTGGATTTTTATATCAACGTGTCCTTCAAATTTCAGAAATTCTCATCTGAGCACTTCCATTCATATATTTTTTTCAAGCTCACACATCCAGGTTTTTAATAAAACTAATTTATTTGTAAGAAAATCAAAATTGTTTTTGCTAAGAAATTCAAACAAGAGACCTTAATAAAGAAACCAAAATTATTTGAGGATAAAATCAATATTGTCAGGTTGGAAAGAACCTATTTGAACTTCTAGGTTTGAGTTAGGAAAAAAAAAATCATATCCCATTATTTGATATGGTGAAAAAATTTAAGTAAATTACTATTTTACCATTTTAATTGCAGTATATATATATATATATATATATATATATATAGTTTGTGACTTGGATTGGTTCGTGTGTATTTTCCCAACAAATACTAACCCCAAAAAAAATATTTTTTTGAGACTTGCTCCGTTATCTACAGAGAATAGGTCCTGACGCTGACGCTATGGTACCTCGTTGCTGGACTTGCATTATTAGGGCACCGTTGGATGATTGCTAAACAGAAGACAGTGCTAACCCTGCAATGAAAGGTATGGAGTAGCAGTGACAAATATCTTTACCTTTTGAAGATATTTTTCTCTTAGTAGGAAGTGAGCTGGGAAGAGTTCGTTCTCTCACATCCAGCAAAAGCAATCACAGGATGAAATCAAGGAAGGATAAACGTTTGAGCTAACTAATAGAGAGTTATTGACTTTGAAAAATTAATTGAGCTTCTACAGTTCGTCATATCTTTTGGTTCAGCTTCTGCCTCCCAACAAGTCAAAAAAAAAAAAAGAAACAGGGTCACATCAAATGAAATTTCAACCGATTACAGTGACGTAAATTTGGAGGCCGAAATTAAAATTTTGTCAACTTGGGTAGGGTTAGATTGAATAGGCGAGGATAAGCCTATGGTTGAGCCCTAGATGTGGGATCAAGCTTCTGTATATAAATATATATTTTTTTAATGGACTAGAGAAGATATTGCTTGAGAGTAAATTATAGATTAGTCCCCTTAGTTTTAAGAAATGAATAAATTATCTTTCTTTTTTTTAAAAGAAAACTAATTATAGATTTGTCTTTATATTTTAAAATTTTCTTGTAACTTAGTTATTTTCATTCTTTTTAAATTTATTTTAATTTTTTATTTAAAAAACAGAAACAAAAAGAATAAATATAAAATACAACATGCTTAATGAAAAAAAGATGATATTTTTTAAATTAAATACTTGATAATACTAATTAAAAAACTAACTCATTAGTTTTTGAAATAAAAAAGACTAATCAATTCAATTTTCAAAAATAAAGTACTAATTTATAATTATCTTATTTTAAAAAAAAAACTAATTATAGATTTGTCTATAATAATTATAGACTTGTCTTTATATTTTAAAATTTTCTTATAATTTAATTATTTTCATTCTTTTTAATTTTATTTTGATTTTTTATTTTAAAAAATATAAACAAAACTAATAATATAAAATACAAAAGGTTTAATGAAAAAAATGATATTTTTTAAATAACATAATGTTAAACTAAGTATGATTAAAACTGATTAAGAAACTAACTAATTAACTTTTGAAATAAGAAAGACTAATCAATTTATTTTTCACAAATAAAGTACTAATTTAAACTGTTTTTGATTAGTAAATTATTATTGATTAATATGATTATCCGATCCAACATAATTGGTTACATGTTTATAATAGTTTGAATTATTATACTCGAATTAAGTGAAATTGGATCGAATTTTTACTTAATCCTCTTCCATTTCAGTCAAATCAAATGAAAATGAAACAATGATCCAATGTGATAGGGATATGTCGGGTACGCGTTTACAATGGTTTGCATTATTAGAAAGATGATCATACCAAGCCTATCACATTTCAGTATCATCATCATAGACTCTGTCTACCCCCTTCACTCTCCTTGCGGACTGGCCGTGGACCCCAACCTTTTCGAGAATTTATATGACATGATAAAAGTAAAATTTTTATCCACGTGGCAGACCAAGTGTCTGAAGATGGACCACGTCATGCCGAGGTGTCACATTCTGATTGCATCATGAGAAAACATTATTAAAGGAGAAGAAGATGACTGGTGTGAGCTGTCTGTCTTTGTTCTCTTCTTTATCTTGTCCACTTGTGATGCTATCACGCCAGAATTGGCGTCCGTTGGCTTTTGCTTTTTGGTAAGTATATAGTTTTGGCAAATTAAGGGGTTAATATGTTGTAAAGGAGTCCTATTCTTTTTTCTTTTCTATTTTTTGGCTTTCGAAATTTGAATTTTAGGGTTAATATCTAAAATAAATCGTATGTTTGATCTTTTTCTTCAACTTTTTAGGTTTCTCAGCTTGTGTTTGCTTCTTGGTTCCAAAATACATTGGCATCACCAACTTGCGACTCATATGCACTGATTAAGCTCCTTTCCATGAACGCTGGCCGTTCGTTTAAGCGTTTAAGCTTCCTCGTGGCCAACGTTGGTTCAGACCGCACGATTGTTTGCTTCTTCTTTCATATATGTTTTAAAATTTTGTTTCTTATTTTTCTTTTTCGATTGTATTTTTTGTCATCCTTTCTATGAATCTAGGCCGTTCTTTTGCTGGTGAGCCACACATATGCGCTGTAGGTTTTACTTTAGTTAAATCTATAATGCATACCTTGTTTCCCTTCAATTTTATTTCTTGTAATACTAATAGCATAGAATGTTTTCAAACACATCAGGACCACAACAAGATCTCAATAAAAATTTATTCCAGTCAGCGATTAAGCAAGAAAAAAAAAAAAAAGACACTATAGACATACAAATCAAATCAATGATTGCAATTTCCACAACTTACTTTTTGGGCATGGCCTTTTCGTCAGATTTGTAACTTCAGTAGTCTATTTCCTTGAAGTGCAGCCTTCTCAAGCGGATCCCCAAACTGCAAGCAATTATGGAAACGTTAAAGAGCATTCTCAAGGGACGGTAAACATATTGGGAGGATTTTAGCCCACGTCAGATACCTACATCAGGAAATAGTTTACTTGTGCTAACTGGAAAATATGACAAGGCAGAAACTTAAGGATGAACCAAGGACCATGAATAGCATACAATTTGACATTTCTAGTGGAGGAGGCAAAGAGGGGATAATGCTGAATCATGTGGTGCTTTCAGTAAAATATAGCTGTTAATTTCCCAAGGCCTCGATGAGGCTAATTCCAAGGAATGTTGTTTCATGTGTTGTTCTACCAGAGATGATGACGTTTCTGCGAACACTGTATATAGACACCAGAAAAGATGAAACCATAAGATGATAATTGGATAGAAACCTAACAACCTCTGTTTTACTTTTACATTTTTCATTCATGTAGAGCAGATACAGTATGAGAAGTCTGGGGGAAAAAAATCTGCCACGACTCCCTCATTGCCTCCTTATTGGTTCTCAAAAAGGTCAAAGCCAGAAGGCATCACCAAGAAAATCTTTGCTATCGATTCAGAGTACCAGTGACTAGTCATGACAGCCGCAAGAGGAGGAAGGGAGAGGGAACCTTCGAATTTCATTGAAACTTAGATTTCCTAGAGATAACCAATAAGGAGCAAAGAATCACCAGTATAGGTGATCTGGATATTCACTTCTGTAATGGATATAGCAGAGGATTTGCTGACAAAACCTGCTAAATCAGAAGAACGAAATCTGTAGCATATCTACAAGTGTCAATTAAGTAGGGGCTTAAAAATCAAGAGAGGTTGATAAATCCTCCATTATAACCAAAGGTATACAAGAACATCACATAATGAGCAACTGCAGTACCGAGGACTTCATCTAAGTCACCATGAAGCTCATTCTTCTTTCCCTTTTCAACAATTTTCTTTATAATTCCATGTTCACATCCGCTACCGTAATAGACGAAACAAGCTTAACCTCAAACTGAACAAGAGAATTCATAGGCAAAGCATCATGCCATCCACTGCAAAGCCCAATTCAAAACTGATTTCCAAACTAGCAGAAACAATTTTATTCTTTTATTGGGTCCTTCCAATAACCTTAGGATTGTTAATCTTATATATAAGAAAAATCCCTATATTGTCATTTGATTAATACCTACCTGCATTGGTTTCCCAACTAGAGTTTTTAGTCTTCATTCTTATCCAATACGAAAGCTGTAGCTGTGAAAGAATATTTCCAAGCTTTCTGTTATGAGTTATCAATAGCTAGATTTCTTCAACATTGCCATTAATACAAATGGAAAATGAATAAACAAATTGAATTGCACCCAGATGTTCATTTTTCTTCTCTGACTGGAAGAACTTAAGAAGTATATGCTTATGCATCAATAAAAGATATACATTTGCAGTATAATACTTTTTGGTTGGGAATTGGGATTCCTCATATCAAATTATGTCCACAACAATCGCCATTTGGAACCATCAGAAATTACTAAATTTGAGGATCAACTATGAAGGGCTGGATAATGGGGCATCGAAAATGGAGAATCTTCTAGCAACTAATTTGAATCCAGCAATTTAAAGAACAGCAAAACATACAAACAAAGTAAGAGATAGATATCCTTAAAATCCTGTTTGCTATATCTTCTCAAGTTACAATAGAAAATGACAACAATTATGTAGTGTACAATGGTTATAATGCAGGTTGGAGTATCATAGTACAGAACATCCTGCAATCAGACATAAAGTTTTACAATTTTAAGATCGATAAGGTAGTTTCACACTGAAGAGATAATAACACAATCTATCTACAATACAAACAGGGAAAGGAACAAAAGCTGACTGCTATAATTCATAGTTGCCATATTCTAAGAAGAACATACCTATACTTTGACAGCAAAGATCTCCACGAGAGCATACCAAGTTCCTGAAACCGCAAGAACAAAGCCTAAGGTTACAATCACCACGTCAATAGTCCATCCCTTCCAACTCATTTCTTGCTTGAACACAAGCAAGTGAAACAAAGCTGGCAAAACAAATCCCAATCCACAGCATACACTACTCCCCACCAAGGACAAGAAATCGGCAAAATTGGGCACCATTAAAGCCACCAAAGTAACCAACAAAACCAACAGCCATCTAAGCCACAAACAATACCTGCCACCCCAAAACCTTCTCTCCACTATCTCGTAAACAGGGTTCATCATCAAAGGAAATGTGAAGAACAGATTAATACAAAGACCCAATTGAACCAAGAGGCTAATGATCCCAGGCCCTAAATTAGCAGTGATAATATCCTGTGTATCATTTCCAAAAGCAAAGTAACCCAACACACCAAAAGCTCCATATATCATTGAAATAAGCCCCATGCCGAATCCTAAGGTTCTCCCAAACTTTTCCCTCTCTTTCATTTCAGATTCTAATGGCAAAACCATACCAATCCCTTCAAATGCATAAACGGCGACACCCATCCCATAGAAAAACACAGACAAACCTCCAAAAGCTCTAACTTCTGGCCTATTTTCCATCATAATAAAAACATCCTTAACAATCACCACCCCCATGGCAGCGAGATCAACAACATCAGCAAAAATGCTTAAAGGAGCCAAATGCGTCAACGTTGCAATAGAACTTAACCCCAATTGAAAAGGAAAACAACCCCATATATACCAACTCTTAGCTGATACAGAAAAGGCCATAAGTTGAGAAGCCAAGCTGGGTGATGATGAATTGAAGAGATTAGCCATAGTATTACCGATAAATATCAAATAACCAATACAAAATCCAGATTGAGACAAGACAATCATAACATCAACAACAAACCTCCCAATAGAACCACAAACAGTGAAACCCAGATCACCAAAAGAGTTGATCTTTGAGCATTCACCAGACAAAGATTGAAGCTTTCTACGAGTGTTGACTAACAACATCATACAATAATGAGTTAAACCAGCAACAGAGAACAACATTATAAGACTCATTACCCAACCTGTGCGTTTAAAAGCATAAGGGAGACCAAGAACACCAGCACCGACAACAGCAATGAAAACATTTGCAAAAGTCTTGGATTGAGAGGATAAAGGCTCAGATTTGGCTATGAGAGGTGTGTCTTCTCTTGGTAGAGGTGTTCCTGATGAGGATACCTTTTGTTTTCCAAATCCCATGTTTGATTGATTGTTTGTTTTGAGGTTCGGTTTCAGAAACAATAATCTGAAGAGGGATCGGTCGTTGACGATGTTTTTAACAGAAATGGTTTTGACTGCTAATAAAAATAGGAATTTCTATTGACAACCTGGTTGGCATTTTCCTTTATCCAGCCTCCAAAGTTTTTATATATTACAGCTCAACTTTTTTTCATGGAAAAATATTTGAACACAATTAATTATAGAAAAACATAAATATTCCATATTTAACATGTGTCAATTCAATTTAAACCAGTCCAGACTCCAAATTGGGCTTTTCCACTATCAAAAAGTTTGAAAAAAAAAAAAAAAAAAACCAGAGCTTTGGATCGATCCTGCCCATTTAAATTGGGGGCAAGGTCGTTATCTCCATAGCATGGATTGGATCAAAATGAACACTTCTGGCAAACAGAAAATATGCAGACATCATTATATTTTGAGCATTTCTATATAGATAATTGCCTTACAAGTAGATTAATTTTTCAATCAATGTTTCTTTTTCAATTGAGGATATGATTTTTTTTTTTTAGTAAATCAATTTTCTTTTTAAATTGCTCATCAAGTATTTTGTTTGTTTAACTTTTGTCAATTATTTTATTATTAGATGATGTGTTTTTCACTCACACAATTAAATTACGATTTTGCCTCTTCCTAAATTATTTTTCCAATTTCTACTAATTTGTATAGTAAGATATCCAAATCTTCCTTATATTCGAAAAAAAAAACGACAAAATAATTTAAGAGGAAAACTTCTCATTAAAAATAAAATAACAAAATCATAATTTAGTAATTTAAAGAAAAAAACATGTCATTAAATAACAAAACAATATTAACAGAAGTTAAACAAAAATATTTAATTAATAATTTTAAAAATATTAATATACTAAAAAAAATTTAAATTCATATACTCGATCGAAAAAACATATAAAATTAATGCATTTATGTTGTAATTATCCCTATAGTTGGAAGCTTCATGGTACAAAACTTGGTTAAGCTTTGACACCAAAAATACGGCCACCCAAACGAATATTACGTCCAACACAGCAACCTTCTCTCCACCATCGCATAAACAGGGTTCATCATCGAAGGAAATGTGAGGAACAGATTAATAAAAAGAACCAATCGAACCAAGAGGCCACTGATAATATCCCGAGTGTCATCTCCAGAAGCAAAGTAACCCAAGACACCAAAAACTCCATATATCACTGGTAAGATTCTCCCAAACTTTTTCCTCTCTTTCGTTTCAGATTCTATTGGCAAAACCATGCCAACCCCTTCGAATGTATAAACAGCCACACCTATCCCATAGAAGAACACAGAAAAACCTCCAAAGGCTTTAACTTCAGGCTTATTTTCCATCATGGTAAAAACATCCTTAACAATCACCACTCCCATGGCAGCAAGATCAACAACATCGGCAAAAATGCTTAAAGGAGCCAAGTGGGTCAACGTTGGAAGAGCATTTAACCCCAGTTGAAAGGAAAACAACCCCATATGTACCAACTCTTATCTGACATTGAAAAGGCAATGACTTGAGAAGTCAAGCTATTAGGTGACGATGAATTGAAGAGATTAGCCATACTATTAGCAATAAATATCAAATAACCAACGCAAAATCCAGCTTGACACAAAATAATCATAACGTCAACAATAAACCTCCCAGTAGAACCACAGACAATGAAACCCAGATAACTAAAAGAGTTAATCTTTGTGAATTCACCAGATTGAAGTTCAACATCATACAATAATTAGTTAAACCAGCAACAGAGAAAATCATTATAAGACCCATAAGCCAACCAGTGCGTTTAAAAGCATAAGTTAGACCAAGAACACCTGCACCGATTATAGCAATGGAGACATTTCCAAAAGTGTTGGATTGAGAGGATAAAGGGTCGGACTTGGCAATGAGAGGATTATCTTCTCTTGGTAGAAGGTTTCCTGACGAGGATGCTTCTCTTCTCCCAAATCCCATGATTGATTGGTTCCTTTGAGATTTGGTTTAAGTAAGGAGAGATTGGTTGTTGATGATGTTTTTAATGGTATTGGTTTTGGCTGGCAATTAAAGAAAGAAAAATGAAAATGAGTTAATATAACCTTAAACAACCCAAAAATAAAGAGACAGAGAGAGGCGGGGAAGATCGACCGTTAATACTATGGTTAAATTATAATAATATCCTTTGAAATTTATCTTTAAATCCCCATAGATAAAAAACAATTCCCAATATCACCTCCGAACTAGTTTTATTTTAAATAAATTATAAATTAGTTCCTCCCATTTTGAAAAATGAATGAATTAGTTTTGTTTTTGTTTAGAAAAATTAATTATTTAGTATTTTAATAAATTTTGATCGTGTTTAATAAATATTTGTCATGTTTAAAAATATTGAAGATTCAATCTCAATTTTACTTGGTGATGACTTATTAATCAATTTGTCTTAAGAACATATAGAAAATGAAAATTCATTAAATCGAAGGATTTTTTTGGCTCTTCAATAGATGTTCATATGAATTTTTGATAATTTTTTCCATCATAAAAGACCCAATATAGCACAATTGGTCATGTCACATAATAAAAGCATTTGAATTAATAAACTTCTGGTTTACTATAGTATTTGTTTCAATTATTTCAATATTTATAATAAAGACTAGAAAAAAAGCGGATAAATTTTTCAATACATATTTTATTCTCGGTATGATGATTATAACATATAAGTATTCATATCTCGCTATCTTGATATGATATTAATTTAGACGAATATCTTTGAAACTCAATAAATTTCTATGAGAGTTTGAAGAGAATAATACATAATTTATAATAAAATTTATCCCTTCGGATAATAACATATTTGCTTTTCTGGGCCTTTGGATTATGTCACTTCAAGCAATAATATATCAACTTTTCTAGAATCTTTAAAAGTTGTCTCTTCAAGTAATAATATATTCACTATTCCGTAGTCTTTAAAAATTATCTCTTCATGCAATAAGGTATTTGCTCTTCTAGAGTCCTCAAAATTTGCCACTTCAAGTCATAATATAATCGATTTTTTAGAGTTTTAAAAATTTATCTCTTCATGTAATAATATAATCGCTCTTCCGAAGCTTTCTATTATATTGATATTATCATATACAATATTAAGGTAAAATAAATAAATAAATAAATAAATTCTTCATGGCCATAAATAAATAAATAAATAGTCAAATAAATTTATTATTATCTCTATGCAATTATAAGAAAATATAAAACATTTTATTTATAAATAAAAAAGCTAACAAATTATTAATTTCAATTATCTCTCGTTTTAATATATAAAATTAGCCTATATATTTTACTTTTTTTCTTTTCAATGAGGTTTGACAAGGTTTAATGAGGTGTTTTTATGTACGGTAGGTATACGACCAATGTCCATTCATACTATATTTATAACATTCATTTTTAAAATGTTGACTTTATATATTTTCATTTTTTTCTTTTCTTTTTTCATAATTATCTACTTCGGTGGTGAGATGTAATATTATGATTATCATAATTATAATGATAATTATTTCAATCATATCCATGGCTATGATCACGTCTATGTCCATGCCCAAAATTATTATAAGTGGTCATATTCACTTCGGATAATGGAGTAAATCCAATTGGATGAGATTTATTCCTTTTCATCAATAGCTTGTCATTTTATTTAGCTATGAGCAAATATAAAATCGATTCACAATATTTCTTAAATTTATTTTCTCAATATTGCTATCGCATGAGCATATTTAACACATAAAAAAAAAAGAGAATGTTTTTTTCAAAATCAAGCACTCATAATCAATAATTCTTATTTGAAATATCAAGAGCCATAAAATCGAGTTTATGAGGTTTGATATGGTAAAAATTTTATAATGTAATATATAATAATAATATTAGAAAATAAGAACAAACATAATAATAAAATTAAAGCTTTTCAAACAACACTTATTAGATCATTAGATTCCGTATATTAAATCATTTAAGTTTTTTAAATGTATATGATATATATCGTTATATTTAAAGTATACGATAAATTAGATACATACCTCTTAATGATCTAAATAATTTAGATATTTTGGCGAGCACTTGAACATAATAATAAAATTAAAGCTTTTCAAACAACATATATTAGATCATTAGATTCTATATATTAAATCATTTCAAATGTATATTATATATATCATTATATTTAAAGTACATTATATATTAGATGCATACCTCTTAATGATCTAAATAATTTAGATCTTTTGGTAGAGCACTTGTGTAGAAGAAATCCAATGGTTAAAACAATTGATTAAGTCTTTTGTTAGATACATATCTCATGGTGTATTGTCTCGATTGGCTAGAGTTTTGTGCTTGATAACGTGTTATAAAAGAAATAGAAATAATAGGAGATTGAAAAGAAAAAAATGAAGAAATGATTTCACTATAAAGAGAATATAAGAGATAACAATTCTAAACAATTCTCACAATCTCTATAAAATGCTTGTACATCAACTAATGAATAATTAAGCCTATTTATAAGCTTCAAATTTGAGAAGAGAATCGGAAGGGACCGTTAATAATTAATTGCATCACCTTTTCAATTTCTTATATTGAATGATGAATTGAATCATATTAAGAATCATGAGTAGTGAGGATATGAAAAGTAAATGAACATGATGATGAATATTCATTATTTCATAACATCCATGATATTTTTTTATTTTTTATTTTTTTCTATTTAAAAAACAAAAAAATTTAAAAAACATAAAATAGAAGAAAAAACAAAAAATTAATTTTAAAAAAGATTCACTAATTAATTCATTTCTCAAAACTTAAATAACTAATTATAATTTTATTCTTTTAGTCTTAAAACATGTTCCCGTACCAGTTCAAATAATTAATGGAGTACATAAAATTATCAAATATTTTTATTTATTCAACAGTAAAGAATATCCCCAACCATCTTATACATTCACCATCTTATCATACTAACCTTCTGCATTTTCTTAAATACTAATGGATAAAGATGTTATTTGAGAAAGTAATGCTTTTTTGGTTTTTATCAAAAATAAAATTTTTAAAATTTGTAAGATATATTGGGTAAGTTTTATTTTAAGACATCTGGTTTGTAGTTTGAAAATTAAAAATAAATTATAAATTAATCTCTCTAGTTTCAAAAAATAAAAATAAAAATTAATCAGTTAGTTTTTTTTCAAAACTAATTATTCAATTTCTTAATTTAAATTGAGACATTTAATTTAATATTATTTTATTGTAAAAAACAATTATTTTCTTGTAAATCCTTCCTTAATATATATATATATATATATATATATATATGTCTGCCATTGTCTTTTATTTATTCTAACTGAAAAAATATCTAACCAGTTTTATTTATTGTTTTGTAAAGGTGCAATTTTGATTTTTGTTCAGCTTAGTCGGGGTGATTGACTTATACTTATATAGGTGGCGTTTCAGTCAACATGGGTGTACGTGGCAAGGTATTATTGGCAACTGGTTGGAAGATAGGAATATCGGAAATTGAAATTGTTACGAGACTGTGAGTAAAGAAAACGAAACAGAAAATCAAAAACTCTCTTTGCGTTCAGCCAGCAGCAACAGAGACAGTAGAGAAAACGATGAAGAATTAGTTAATTAAAATAAAAATCTGGTAGAAATGAGAAGAATGGGATGCGATTATCGGTGCCTTCTGATACCAGCCGCCGTCGCATTCTTCTATATTCAGGTCAGTCGGCTTCAGCTTGATTCTTCTACTTTTCCGCTTCTCTTGCGGATCCTTCAAAAAGTTGCGTAATCAATCGGAATTTCTGTAATTTCAGATGCGGCTGTTTGCCACGCAATCGGAGTACGCGGATCGGCTTGCTGCGGCGGTTGAGTCAGAGGATCATTGTACGAGTCAAACACGATTACTTATTGATCAGATTAGCATTCAGCAAGGCAGAATTGTTTCTCTTGAAGGTGCGGCTCTCTCTCTCTCTCTCTCTGTTTTTTGTTTTTTAATTTCTTTTTTTAACGGTTATTAAATTGGATTGGAATTTTTTTTTATGGAAATAATTTCAGAACAAAACAGACGACAAGGCGAAGAGTGTAGACAGCTCAAGGCGCTTCTTGAAGATCTTGAAAGTATTTTTTTTTTTTTTGTTATTCCGTTTCGCACATAAGTTCGCTACTTTTGAGTTTTTTTCGTTAGTGCATAGAAATTTGGTCTTGGTTGAAAATGCGAACGGCCTCAAGTTGCTGTTTGTTTTAGTGTTTGATTGTCTGAGTTCACGATTAACGACCAGCTTAGGAATTTTGTTCTTCTGGAAAAGGGAAAGTGAGAATTTTGAAATATGTGGAAGTTCTTTTGTTATAGGCGTAGGAATCAAGTTCTCGTTAACTTAGATATTGTTTTACCTTTTGTTCTCCTTCCTTGAGAGTAGCATTGATTTCTAAACTTCCTATTTGTATAAGTTTTTTTTTTGGGCCGTTTGCATTTGCTTTAAATGTTTTTTTTTCCTGTATGAATGGAAACATTATATGAAGCTTAGCATTTTCTTTATGCTGATGTTGCAGGAAAAGGCCTTAAAAAAGTGGTTGATAAGGTACAGGTCTTGAACTGTGGATAATTTTTGAGTTTTTTTCTTTTTCTTTTTTATGTGTGTTTTGCCATTGCAGTCATCACTTCAAATTATGTAAGCTATTTCTACATCGTTTTGCAGGTACCAGTGGCAGCAGTTGTGATCATGGCATGCAATCGTGCTGATTATTTAGAACGGACAATTGAGTCTGTTTTGAAGTATGTTTTATGTTCATATAGTTTTTTCTTGTGCATTTAACTTAATCATACACACTAGCTGACTGGTTTTCTACGTTTACAGATATCAAAGCTCCGTTGCTTCAAAGTATCCACTTTTTGTATCTCAGGTACTGACAGCATTTTTTTCTTTTCCCCTCCTTTGTTGAAGTACAAATTAGGTTTGTTTGTGAGCATGGCTTGCGCACCTATTGTCCAATAGATATGTTGTATAAGAAACCAAATAGCTATTTCTTTAGTAATAAATTATTATTTTTTCAAATTTTTAGGATGGATCAGACCCAAATGTTAGAAGCAAGGCTATGAGTTATGATCAGCTAATGTACATTCAGGTAAACTGTCTTCTGTGTATTTTTGTGTGCATGTAAGGTTATTATCTGTTATATATTTATGGGTGCATGAATAGTATTTGAATATTTTGTGGTATGTCAATCTGTGTTTTGAGGACATTTTGCACATTCCACTTGTAATGCTTGATTATGTTAGTTTATTTTTCGTTATTTTGCAGCACTTAGATTCTGAACCAGTACATACAGAAAGGCCTGGGGAATTGATTGCATACTACAAGATTGCAAGTAAGGAATGATTACTTTTTCTGTAATACCTTTCTTCTACATATACTAACTAAAATAAATATTGTCTGTAGGGCATTACAAATGGGCAATGGATCAATTATTCTACAAGCATAATTTCAGCCGAATAATTATACTTGAAGGTGGACTTCTTCTCCTGCTGTGGAAGCTTTATTCACATCTTTCTTTTTCTCCCCTCTATATTCACTTGTTTGTGTGAGAGAAAGTATATGCTGAAGTATTGCTTCTAAAACAGATGATATGGAAATCGCCCCTGATTTTTTTGATTACTTTGAGGCTTCAGCAGCTCTTCTTGACAAGGATAAGTACGTTTGTTTCCATGGCTTCTAGTTCCTACTCATTTAATTTTAACTTAAAAACCAGGGGTTTAGGTTTTTGGTGAGCTAGTTTCTTTCTCATTTGGTATCTAACATGGTAGGTCCATTATGGCCGTTTCCTCATGGAATGACAATGGACAAAAGCAGTTTGTGCATGATCCTCGTAAGTTCTTTTGCTATTTACTTTCCATATACTACCACATCTCTCACTAAACTGTAACTACCTATTTTTTCTGATCTTGCATTTGATGTATTCTGCAGATGAACTTTATAGGTCGGATTTCTTTCCTGGACTTGGATGGATGCTGACTAAATCAATTTGGGACGAACTATCACCTAAATGGCCAAAAGCATATCCTTTTTTATTGTATTTTTTGTTTTGAAGTCAAGCTTTTATAGTGTGATTTGAGGCATTTTTACTATCATTTTCCTTAACAAAAACTCACTTACTGGGATGATTGGTTGAGATTAAAGGAGAATCATAAAGGTCGACAGTTCATTCGTCCAGAAGTGTGCAGAACATACAACTTCGGTGAGCATGTATGTCTGTCTATCTATTACTACTGCACTTATTGATTTATTTTCAATTATTTGGATGCATCCTTGTGCCAGGCTTACATATTAAGCTAGTGCTGATTAATGTTAATGCATCAAGGACTACTTAGGCAGAAGCCTAGAAATCAGTTGATCATTCGTTGGATTGCTATGTAGGGGGATTCAGTGAAAGAAAGTTTTTTTTTTTTTCATAAATATCACAAAACAGAAGGTTTATGAATAAAATGGCACCAAATATCACAAGCCAGAACCCACTAATTGACTATGGATTTATGATCACAGGGCTCTAGTTTGGGGCAGTTTTTCCAACGTTATCTCCAGCCTATTAAGCTGAACGATGTGATGGTATTGTATATTCCACATTTTTTCCACTAGTTGAAGTTTCTGCGCATATAATGTATATATCATTAAATTATAATAATGAATTTCACTTTTGTCTCTTCTTCAAAAGGTTGATTGGATGTCAAAGGATTTAAGCTACCTGATGAAGGTAATGAACAATTTCAATTCATGTAGTGTGGAGGCCTATAATCTAATTCTAGTCAATAAATTATGTAATGCTGCTCTTCTTAGGACAAGTATACAAATCATTTTGCTGAGATTGTGAGAAAAGCTAAACCTGTCCAAGGAACTGATGCTGTTCTTAAGGCCTATAATATAGAGGGTGATGTGCGTATCCAGTACAAGGACCAATCAAACTTTCAATGGATTGCACGCCAGTTTGGTATTTTCGAAGAGTGGAAGGTATTTCTGCTCTAACTTGGATAAAGTTACGCAAAAGGGAATGAAACCAGAAAATTCTCAACTTTATTATATGCGATTGGGTATATGACTTGGATCAAGTGACTCCGTATTGATCCTGTCATGGTACTTAACATATCATGGAATATCTCACTATTCCATGAAATGTTTAGTGTTACAGTTAAAAATCCCTTCTCTGCATTGCACTTTGTCATGCTTATGTATGTTCACTCTTGTTCGCTCAAGTTTTCTCTATTCAGAATCTGACTATTTTTCTTTTTATCATTTTCGAAAACAATTGGGCCCCCTCTTGACATTTTTCTTTTTCATTTCTAGGATGGAATACCAAGGACATCATTTAAAGGAGTAGTTGTTTTCAGATACCAAACAACAAGACGTATATTCCTTGTTGGTCCAGATTCTCTGAGGCAACTTGGGATCAAAGATGCTTGAAATTATATGAAATGAGAGATCATTCACTGTTAGTTCTATAGAGTTTGGTTTTTATCTTGTAGCATGCATTGCTGACTAGTAAGAGGAAGGAAGACTACCATCAAAGTTGAGAAGTTCTTGTCTATCTTTAAATTAACGGAGTTCAATGAAGGAAAGTATGCAAATTTGAGTGGATAGAGATAAACAGGCGAAAAGATACGGCTACACATTGGAGCCAGCCAGACACAAGCATAGTTGATCCGGAACGACGCAGAGGAATCAGCTTCTACCAGACGTGCTTTTCTTGACCCTTGTACCATTTTTTGTGTCATAGTTACATCTGATCATTGTATGAGATGCCTGATTCTTATGCTCCTCAAGTGGTGGAGCATGTATGTCTTGTTATTGCATATAGGACAGAAGTGCCCATGAATTTTATAGTCTTCATCAAGGACTTTGCTGTTACTAATGTTTTTCTTAACCTTCACCTTCCAAATGATAATTGACTAATGACTGCTTCTTGACCCATTTTTCTGTCTTGATTTTTTTTTTTTTTTTTTCACATGAAATAAAAGAATGGTTTAAAATATTTATAATGGATATGTCAAATTTACTAACAATATAAAAGAATGATTCATCTAAACATTTGTTATGGAAATGTTAAACATGTTAGAAGTTTTTGTGTTATGATTCAAAAATTACCATAGAAAAAGTCTCATAAAAATATCTAAGAGTTGTATGGAAAAAAAAACAAGGCCTTTTAAAACTAATTTCTTAGGTCTAAACCAATTGTATTATGAAGCCATGAAAGCATGCTAGCAATGATGGGCTTTGTTTGGGCTTTTAAATTAATTTTTCTGATTTTTTATTTAGGCCTTTGTTTGATCCTTGATTCAATGCAAAAGACACACAAATCTTTTCTTTTACGGCCCATTGCTATTTTATTTTCTCAAAAAAATAGAATTAATTCAAACGAGAGAGAGAGAGAGAGATTCAAATTTTTGCATGGCTCAATCCATGGGCCTTTTCTGGGCCGAACAACGGTGTCGTTTTTAAAGACAAACCTCTCTAACGACTCTCCCCCTAGAGCTAGAGGCCACCTCTAAAAACCTAAAAAAACTGCATTGTTTCCTTCCTCTGCTTTCCCTCCAACAGTAAAGCTGTAACAATGGCTACTCCTCCGCATTCAATCAACAAAGCAAAAAACCCCAAAAAACAGAGTCTAAAAGACCTCAAAACCCTAGGCCACCAACTTCTCTCATCAAGAACACACATAAACAACCTCCCTCTCCTTCTCAATTACATATCCCCTAACTTTCCTCCTCAATATGTCCTCGAATCTCTCCTCTCTCTCCACTCCTTCTTCTCCCCTCTCCTCCCCGACCTCCCTTCTTCCTCCCGCCGCATCGCCGACAGCAAGAACGACGAGTCGAACGCTGACTTTATCTATAAAACCTGGCTTCGCTCTAAGCTCGATGAGTTTGTTAAATCGTTACTTGATGTTGTTGTATCGCCGAAAGCTGAAGATGCTTTAAAGGTCAGTGCCTTTTTTTTTTTTTTTTTTTAATTTTGGTAATTTTTTTTTAATGATTTTTGTGCGTTTGATTTTGCAGGAAGTTGTGTTGGATACGCTAATGGAATTTGTCAAGAATGGAAATGGAGGGAGGTTTAATTCGTCAATTTATCACAGATTGCTTGTTAATATTGTAAGTTTTGTTCTGTTAATTGTGCGAGATTGGTGTAGTTGTGCTGTTAATTATTTATATCTCATCTAATTATGGTAAAAATTGTTTACTTCGGGTGTTTATGGTAGCGCAGATTGGTTATTAATATATTATTTTTCCGTATGATTATGTTAAATTAGTGTAATTATACTGTTAATTATGTAGTGTTAGTTCCTATGTTTCATCTAAGCATGTCAAATTAGTGTTAATCATAATGTTGAACAGATGCTTGTATTCATTTTCACTTGTAGGTGCAATTTACAGAACCTTTAGATTTTGTGGTAGAGTTGCTGGCTTCAAAGTATTTCAAGTACATCGATATCCGGTAAGTCTTTCTTTCATCTGCTTTTTTTAGAACGTGGAAGTGCTGATTATTGAATTTTATGATTTTGCTGGTTTATGAATGACAATTTGATTTTTGGGTTTTCTTTTTTGGTTCGTGGTACAGTTATTTTACTTACATCAGCCTTGAAAAATTTGCTAAGAATATGGAGGTGAAAGATATTGCTGGTACTAGTTTAGATTAGCCATGCTTGTCATTTGGAAAATTTGTGTTTTTTTTTTCCCAAATTTTTATTTATTTGATTTGTTTCTTTCTATTAGATGGGAAAACTGACAGTGGTGATAAAGATGGTGAGAGTGATTCAAGGGAAAGGTTAGTGTTGTTTATGATTGTCACATATGGAAATTTGGTTCTTGAAAGAATTTTTATTCCAATGTCATTATAGTGAAGTGTGAAAATTTATTTACTCTTCTATTTCAGTCTGGAGCTTTCTATTCACAAGATATATTATATCATATCAAATATCCCTCCTCTAGAAGACCCCAAACAGAATTCTGATTATGAGCTGTGGGGTGGTTCAGGTAATTGTTGGCTAGTGCAAATATCAGTGTATGATGATTTTAGAGCTGCTCTATGCATTCATACAGCTCCTTCCTATCGAATGCAAATGGGCACACACACTATTTCAGACAACTGAATGCGAGGCATCAAAAGTGGCTGATAATTTTAGAAGTTTAACTACTTTCTGCCCTTAATTTTTTATTTTACAAGCTTCCTACTTTGGTGGGTGGCTGAATTTTGAGTTTGATAATTTCTATACAAATCAGGATTCTCTGTTAAAGAAGGTGAATCAAAAGGACCTTCTCAACACCTGAAAACAGAAGACAAAGACCTTAAGTCTGAGAAACACAATACTGATGTGAGTCATCAATGATTTATTGTTGCTGGGTTTTTTATGCCATTCCCCCCACATATGCTAGGTAGCCGCTGATCTTTTATTAAACTCCATGACACTCTGTATAGAGCTTTATGATTTGCGTTTCATTCAGGTTTTATCTGCTGGTAATTATGCCAAAAAGATGAAATTAAAGTTTACCAAGGCTTGGATTTCATTTCTTAGGCTACCACTTCCTATTGATGTGTACAAGGAGGTAAGGCTCTTGGCCCCATACTTGCACTTGCATTGATGCACTTATGTTTAGTTTAAAGGCTGATATCGAGGTTGGATTCCTGTTTTTGTTGTGGCAGTGGTTAGCTTGAACACTGGCCTTTGTGTCTGTTTTCTTTTTTTTATACAACCGTCTGTTAATGTAATGCATTATTCTGTTCTGATATGCTCGTCTTTGATGCGTAGGTTCTTTCCAATCTCCATCAAGCAGTCATCCCTCATCTTTCTAATCCAATAATGTTATGGTAAAACATTACACCAAATTTTTTTACCTCATGGATTTGAATGCCCCTTCCTACTTATATCTGGATGCTGATTTGCTCTTAATTGTGCAGTGACTTTTTGACAAGATCATATGATATTGGAGGTGTTGTCAGTGTCATGGCCCTCAGCAGTCTCTTCATCCTCATGACTAAGCATGGTTTAGAATATCCCAACTTCTATGAAAAACTGTATGCACTCCTCTTACCTTCCATTTTTATGGCGAAACACAGGGCAAACTTTTTTCAGGTAATGTCAATACAAACGTAAAACGATCTGGTCTGTGGAATTATTTCTAGTGACAGTATGTTAAGTGAAATCAAAACTAGCTGTGAAGACAGTTGCTACATTACCTATGTGCTATTAGATTGATGATGACTTGTATTCATCTTAACATATGCTGATCGGTAATGAGTTAGCTTGTTTGGTTTGTGCATGTTAAGAGGATATGACAGGATCATGGAGTCCAGCAAGCTTTCCATTATGAATTCTTAACCTTCATGCTTTATGTTTGGTTTATTTAAGGTGATTTGATGATCATAGAATTTGGGAAAGTTCAATGAAAACATTAAGTATGTGCAACCTTAGCTCAATGACCTTGAATTTGATACTTAGTTCAATGGCCTTGAATTTGATAAACACCCCACCCTCTATAAAGAAGATTTATGAAATCAGCACAAGAGGTCAAAAAAATAATACTGGAATATGCTGATAAATATTGATCGTTTTGAATACATTCTGATGATGTGCACTTATCTTGCTGTAGCTTCTTGATTCTTGCCTAAAGTCACCACTTCTCCCAGCATATCTGGCTGCTGCTTATGCTAAGAAATTGAGTAGACTAGCACTTGTAGTCCCTCCTTCAGGAGCATTGGTTGTTATTGCATTGATTCACAACCTCCTAAGGAGACATCCTTCAATCAACTGTTTGGTGCACAAGGTACAAATACAATCTATTTTTTGTGAATAATGTCTTCACTTATTTATTGGTTATTTGTTTGAGCGGGATGACATGTATTCTGCATTTGATCAACAGATGTATGCGCTTCATAATTTTTTTTTTATTAAAGATTGTCTGGATACTATCTTTATAATCACTTTATCAGGGTGATTGTCTGTAGAGCATAAATAAGATGTCTTTACCTTTTCTTCATTTATTGAAAAAGAAGATGTCTCCGTATGGGTTTATTGAACTTAGAAGAATTGTCATATGTATTTATGGTATTTTTTCAGGAAGATGGTAATGAAACTACAGACAATGATTTGGAATCAGAAAGGGGAGATGATGACAATGAATTTGGAGCTAGCACATGTATTGCAGCCAGAAAAGCTGGCATCGATCATTTTGACAATGAGGAAAGCAACCCCTTAAAGTCCCATGCCTTGGGTAAGTGTTGCACATATATGTGTTTGAAGTTGGACAGAACTTCATCTGTGCATTAACAATAATAATATTCAAACAGGAAGCTCTCTTTGGGAAATTGATAGCCTTCGTCACCACTACTGCCCTCCTGTTTCAAGGTGCACATACATCTTTGATTGTTGTTGATCAAGTATGCTGCTACTTTTATGTCTCCTGATGTTTGATTTGCTGCATCATTAGGTTTGTTCAGTCACTTGAGAATGACTTGACAGTCAGAGCAAAAACCACTGAAGTTAATGTTGAGGATTTTTGTTCTGGCTCATATGCGACAATATTTGGAGAGGAGGTATGTTTTGAGTTATCCTCTAATTAGCAGAAATTTATTACGAGTCATGCATCCTTGGCTGCCAATGAAATAGCCAATGTTGTGTCATTTTATGTCCAAACAATTAATGGGTTCAATTTTGACTCGTTTGGCTCAATGTATCATTATAAATATGTTATCGCCCTTATACTTAATATTTAAGTATTTTCAGATCAGAAATCTTTTTGTTTTGAAGGAAAAGTAACCATCTTAACCTTGATTCATCGTATCTCTTTGAGTCAGTAGCAACCGCACTGGTATTATTCTCATTTTGGGGAGGGGTAGTTAATCATGTATTTGCTGGTATTTCATCCTGAATGCGAACTGCAAATGCTGATTGTTGTTGAATTTGTTTAGTGGTTTCTTATTCTGCAACTTGGGACGGTGTTGAGTTACTGACTTTATTCAGTAACCATTTTGATTGTGTATCTGAAATTTTTGAATGGACTTGTCTTTTGTTCATTCTAAGTTGTTTCATCTCCATATTTGTCACGTGATATATAGGAATGACTTTTCTTTTGTTCCTTTTTCCTTGATTGATGTTCATATTTGTGTTTGGTAAACCTACATTGCAGATTAGACGAAGAGTGAAACAGGTCCCAGTGGCATTCTACAAAGCAATCCCCACCTCTTTGTTTCCCGAGTCTGATTTTGCCGGTTGGACCTTCAAAGATGAAGAAAGCAACGGTACCTCAAACACATGTGAAAAAAATGATCAATGTCGTGCAAAACGACAACGAGTAGAGTGCTAATAGTCGCACACCTCACCTTACATGTATCCAAAGAGAATCATAAAGAGAGGCTTGCGAAGTCAAGCATGGAATTGAGAGTGGCATGGTAACTAATTTGGCAAGAGGAGCCTGCGATTGCCGGAGAAGATGCCGGAAGGAAATTAATCCAAGAGCAAGTTAACTGTTTCTAGTTTATACACAAATGAAGAGGGAGGGAGGGAGGGGTGTTGAAAACCAAATGTGGCCGATATGTTTAGATTTTGAAATTAAGTTATTAATGTTTATGAGTATTCAATTTATTCCATAGCCATAGCCATAGCCATAGCCATAGCCATGATACAAGTCGAGGGCAAGACTTGACATTTTTTGACTGGAGGAGCAATGTATTTTTCTCACCTTTAAAATTAGAAAAAACGAGGACAGGCTGTTTGCAATTTTTATTAAAAAAAGAAAAAGGCATTTTAATTTATTCACGCACATATAATTATTTGGAGCAGTGTAATTCAATGGAATCTGGCCAGTTTTTACCTAGAAGAAGGGAAATTGGAGTCGAGTTGGGGCAGATAAGATAGGCTTAGGTGGCGGTTATTAATAGGCTTGGGTGGTAGTTATTAATATAGTGGAAAGTCAACGGAGAGAGAGAGAGAGAGTGGGAGGGTGAGCAGTTTCAAAGTTTGATGGCGAGTGAGTGAGTTAGATAGTTAGAAAAGAAAATAAAATAGAATAATTGGAGTTAAAAAATAAAATAAATAGAATAATTGGTCGGGGAGGGGAGAAGCAAGTAGGCGCAAGAGAAGCCCAAAATCTCTGAATGATTCCTTCGTTTTGATTTGTCAACTCTTTCTTTCATCATCAATCAGAGAGGAGAAGAGAAGAAAGGAGGAGGAGGTTGTATTTAGGGTTACATAAGCCCAAAAGAGAAAAGATAAAATAAAATTGGGGAAGAAAGAGTAAATGTGGTGCTCCATTTCCATTCAATAATAGTAGTGATAAGCATTAAGCAATTGCTTTGCTCAGCTCTGCTCTTGGTTCGCGTTTGCAGAAGCCACGCATTCGATTTTGCTCCAATCATATCATTCATTCTCGTCAAGTCAAGGTTAAAGTTGTAAATCTTCTTTCTGCTGCATTTTTTTTATTGGGAATATTTCCTTCTTTGCCATTTGTTTTTGGGTTTTTGACTCTGATTTTAAATCTTCCTAACTCATCGCTTTCTTTGAGATCCATATCTATTCCATCATGAATTATGCTGCTGCTGTTCGACTTTTCTTCATTTTATTTGATGATTTATTATTATGCCTTTTCTCTTTGGATTTCAATTTCAACTGCTTTATGACTGAATTTGATCAGTGGATGATCACAACCGATTGTTATGTGAATATTGCAATTTAGACTACTACTTTTTGCTTCTTCATTTCGAAGCTGGATCGGGTTCTTCATTTCTGGGTGTGAATCAGATTCATAGGGTCGGATAGATTTGTATTGGGATGGAAACGTAATGCACTTTTCCCATTTGCTGGATTTCTTGATCTAATGCACCCTCTCCGTTTCTTGATGTTATTTCAAAATCTTGGTATGGATTCTTATGATAATCGCATTTCTTTTAACATTAATAATCTGCTTGGCTAGTTGATCTGCCATTGCTGTTTTTTTTTTTTTTTTTGCTCTGTTTATGTTTCTTTTTCTGACATTTTCCAATTATTTTGCTCCAGATTTGTAGGACTTGTGAAATCGTGGCCAATCTTTGTCCATGTTACTTGCTGGTACGATTCTGAAATAGTATCGTGCTGGGTAAAAAGTGAAGGTGAGGTATGAAGGGGTGGAATTTCCCAAGCCGTTACTTGATTGTCATTTTGACATTCATATGCACTTGTGTTTGTTATATAGAGCGAGTGGGTTTCTCCATTGCATATACTATTGCAGCTGATGCAGCTGGAGTGAACCAATCAAGTAAAGGCACTATACTGTCTACTTTCTATTATGGTTATGCATGTTCTCAGGTGCCTGGAGGGTGGGCCGCTCAGAAAATTGGGGGAAGGAAGGTTCTCCTTCTCTCTTTTCTTTTGTGGTCATCAACTTGTTTTTTGATACCCCTCGATCCTAATCGAGTTTTGCTCTTGGTGGTGGCCCGCTTGCTTGTTGGTGTTGCACAAGGGTTCATCTTTCCCTCCATCCACACTGTCCTGGCACAATGGGTTCCACCCCATGAAAGATCTAGATCCGTGTCGCTTACGACTTCTGGAATGTACTTAGGTGCAGCTATGGGAATGCTTGTCCTTCCAAGTCTGGTGAAATTCAAAGGCCCTCAAGCTGTATTTTTTGCTGAAGCAGCATTAGGCATTTCATGGTCTTTGCTTTGGCTTCAATATGCAAGTGACCCTCCTCGTTCTGACCATCCAAAAGCAACTGCAGCTGGTTTTGGGGAATCTTTACTGCCACTCAAAGCTAGTCAAAAGGCAAGAATGGAGAATGGAGGGACTGCTGTTAGAACTGCCAGAATTCCATGGAAGAAAATTTTTTTCAGCTTACCAATTTGGGCAATTGTGGTAAATAATTTTACGTTCCATTATGCTCTGTACGTGCTGATGAACTGGCTGCCAACATACTTTGAGCAGGGCCTCCAGCTGAGTCTTCAGGAAATGGGTTCTTCTAAGATGATGCCTTACTTCAACATGTTCCTATTCTCAAATATAGGTGGGGTGCTTGCTGACCACTTAATTACGAAGAGAATTTTGTCTGTGACAGGAACCCGGAAGTTCTTGAATACTGTAGGGTTTTTAGTTGCTTCTCTTGCTTTGATAGCACTTCCTATCTTTAGAACATCCACTGGGGCTGTCTTCTGCTCCTCAGTGGCTCTTGGCTTTTTGGCTCTGGGAAGGGCTGGATTTGCAGTGAATCACATGGATATTGCTCCAAGATATGCAGGAATAGTAATGGGAGTTTCCAACACAGCTGGTACTTTAGCTGGGATTATCGGGGTTGATTTAACCGGCAAAATTCTTGAAGCTGCTACTGCCACTTACTCAGATCTTTCTAGTCCAGAAAGCTGGAGATCTGTATTCGTCATACCTGGTTTGCTCTGCATTTTTAGTTCTTTAGTGTTTTTGCTGTTTTCAACCGGAGAGAGGATTTTTGACTAAGGTATGCTGCGCATCACAATCCATTGCTTGGAATATAGTTATCTAATAGAGAACTGGACATGTGAATGTCTTCCTGAGGTCCTCTGGTTCCTGCTCCAGCATACCCCCTCTCTGGAAGGGTTTGTATTGATAGTTTACGGGCCATGAACACCTAAAGTGGTCAGTATAGAGTGGAAAGCTTTAAGGAATCCATTTTTTACTAGTCAAAGTGAATTGCTAGAGAGGCTTATTTGCCCATTTTTCTTAAACACCACACTAGAGCAGGTCTAATATTTATATATTTTTTTCTTTGACATGGCTAACATTGCCATTTCCTTTGAGAATTGTTACATAATTTGCTCTTTGCAAGGCAATAGTGGCACTTTACTGCTGCGAAGCTGTGTGACTTTACGCAGAGACACGTAGATTTACCTTGCTAGGCATGCAGGAAATTTGTATTTGTTCGACCAGGAAAAGTTCAAGTTGTATCCTAGATGCTATAATAAGACCTTGTTGATTGTTCTCCTTGAAGAATGAGAAAATCCCTTGATTTTTATAGAATGTCTGCTTCAAATACATGGATGAACTCGTGAATCAGGTGGTCCAAAGTAATGTCATCAATTGTTGTAATTCACATGTTGTTTTGGCTGTTTGTCTGAAAGAGATTGTGTGCTGACTTTTCACTCTTGCTTCTTTTAGTACTAAGACAGCTCCTAACCATGCAATAAGGGGGGCAAACATTTTACCCATACTGTCTATGATTAGACTAAAGAAGTTATTTACAGTTGAAGATGGGCAAGAAACATCATATTCCTATGAGAAAGATGATGTTCCTAGGAAGCACGATAGAATCATATGGTCCACGAAATATCGTCGGTGTTATCCGCAACTTAGCCCTGTGCTGCGCATGCTAAAATCTTGATGGTTGGACCAGCAGTGGCATCGAAGAAGTGGATGTTCCATTGCCCCACTTTGAGAGGTGTTGATGTTGTGTTTCCCATTTAAAAAGTTTGTCAAATTAGCAGACCACACCACTTGCTGATGCAGGCGCCATTGTGATTGTGATTACAGGTCATGATTTAAGGGGGTAGTAAAATAATAATCCTGATAGTTAATATAGTAAATATATTAATAAATTACTTGGTGTTAATAAATTTATTTTAATTTCTATATTTTTAACAATTTTACTAATTAATTATAACAATGACATTTATAATAATTGAATTTATTAAATAAAATTATAATGCTTCCTATAGTTTAATCATACAAACAATAATAAAATACAAAAAAAATTATACTATTGTTATTTATCAAATAATGGCGTCTAACTAAAAGGAATGGAAGAAGCACATTAGAAGCATCTAGAATTTCAAAAATCCAAAAACAAATTATCGTTGTGATCTCGTCAAACCTTAAATAGATATCTCATAAATCGTAACTCAAGAATGAACTAAAGGATATCTAGAATATACATGCAAAGCATAATATCAACAAAGCAAATTCATACTTCTTGAAGAGCAACACGGATAAGTTGATTTCGATTTTTAGCTCTCCAATTATGAAGCTCGTATTCCGTCCATACGAACTTTATGAGATTGAGCCTTTGGTTTAGGACTCGATTTGCTAGTTTTGATCCTCTCTTTCAATTGTCCAAAGTTGATCTCTAGCTTCCACTAAATATTCTAGTTTGAAGTGATAACATGGTTAAGTTTTTCTTGAGTTTAAGTCATATGTCTCTTACACTTTCTAGATTCATGTCTAATTAGTAACTGGAGTATGATATCAACTCTTTGACATCATGAGAAAAATCTTTTCTTTATTCAATACTATTCTTAATGTATCCTTAGTCCCATAAGTCACAAGTGAAGTCTAGCATAGCATATCATGACTACTTAATCGGAGATGAATGTATTAAATCGATTAGGTACATTTAATGAAACCCATAATCATAATTACCGTATATTGGTATCCTTTCATTTCAAAATCTCGATCTTAGCTAGGGTCATATAAATGTCAAACCCTAATTGCTTAGATACCATGACCTCATCTCGGTTATAATTATTGATATTATAATATTCATTCTATAAACTCTTTTCGGTGAATCTATCTCGTCATGACTAAAAATTTTGTTTATCAAGAATAACCAAATAGCATAGGATCTTATCCTTGTCTACTCAAGGTAATGAATTCCATATTGGCTAAACATCTACCTCCTACACATAACTAACAAAGGCTACCATATACCATATACCCCTAGCATATATATGTAAGCAGTAACAAACCTTAATCACTTATGTGTGAGATAACCGTGTCACCTTAGGTCAAAGAATTATAGGCACCATTATAATCTAGATGATAAATCATTGATAAATAGTAAAAACTTCATGTTATCGTCATCTAATGTCAATAGTCGACCCTCTAAAAAAAAATCCACATGTTTGTTTGATATCACATATTAAATAGCATGAGACTCACTATTATTAACAAACGAGAGGTGATAGTCTTTCGGATATATGATGCCCAATTAGATATCCTAGGACCATGAACTCTTTAAAGTATTATCCTAAAATTATATGTCACTCATATTCTAAACATCTTTGAGAATAGATAGTCTAATAATTTACTTAATGACTATGTTTAAAATAATAAACAACTTTCATAAAATGAATATATCTTTTATTGTCATAAATAGATAATTATTTATAAATCACACAATACATATGACTTTTTGGCATACATATCCGACAATCTTTCACTTACATTAGAGCCATTTATTTAAGTACTAAGACCCATTCTATTAAGATGATAGTTCAACCGTTGTTGTGTCACGACCCTTGTTAATGGATCAATAACGTTCTCAACTAACGCCGTCTTTTGCAAGTATATATTGCCTCTTTCAACAATCTTTCTAATAATGTGATAACATCTTCTTATGTGTTTGGATTTTTGGTGAGACTTGGGTTCGTCTTTGTTTTCACGGTAGAGATAAATCGGTGAATTAATAGAAGGAACTATACCAAGTTCTATCATGAACTTTCTAATCTAGATAGTTTCCTTTATAGCAGCTTGATATAGCAATATGCTTGATCTCTCGCAGTAGTACTATGTTTGAAACACTTCTAACATACTCGCACCTCCATTATATATAAACATAAATCTAGAGATAGACTTTCTATTATCAATATCTTATTGAAAATCATAATCTATAAAACCATCTAACCTCAAATCACCTCCTTCATATGCCAAAATAAGATCTTTTGTTCTTTTTAAGTATTTTGGAATCGCTTTGATCGCATTCTAGTGTTCCAAACCTAGATTGGATTGAAATCGATTAGTCATACTAATAACATATGAGTTATTTGACCTAGTACACAATATAGCATGCATAAGGCTTTCAACAATCAAAGCATAAAGAATCCTTGTAATTTTTTCTCTATCTTTGAGTGTTCTAAAAGACATCTCTTTAGATAGATGGATATCATACCTTAGAAGCAATGATCCTTTCTTGAAATCAAGCATATTGAACTTCTTCAACACTTTTACCAATTATAGACTTTGAAAAAGTCCTATTATTCTTTTTTATCTATCTTTATAAATATGAATACTAAGAATATAGGTTCTATCTTCTAAATCTTTCATAAAAAAGATACCAAATAACTAGAATTTTATAATGGTAAGCATATCAATGTCATTTCCTATCAACAAAATATCATCCATATACAAGATAAGGAAAGTGAGTGCACTCTCACTAGTCTTTTTATAAATGTAGGGCTCATTTTTTATTTTTGATAAATTCAAAAGATTTAATGGATTCATTAAAATATTGGTTCTAGCTCTTTGAAGCTTGCGTAAGACCATAGACGGTTCTCTTAAGTTTGCATACCTTGGTACCATCTTTGGATTAAGACCTTTAGGTTATACCATGAAAATTTTTTCCTCAATAAAACCATTAAAGAAAATATTTTTGACATCCATCCGTCAAACCTTATAATCATAGGTGTCTGCTTAAAGCTAATAATATCCTTATAAATTTAAGCATGATACTAGCGAGAAGGTCTCTTTATAATCAACCCTTTGTCTCTAGCTAAACCCTTTAGTTATAAGCCTTGTCTAGAAACCAATGATTAAATTACCATGTACTAAAATCTTTTCATTTCAAGATTTTGATATTAGCGAGGGTCATGAATATCAAACCCTAATTGGTTAGAAACTATGACCTCATCTCGGTTCTAATTCTTGATATTATAAAACTTATACTATAAACTCTTTTCTAACGAATCTATTTGTTCTAGCTAAAAACTTTATTTATCAAGAATAACCGGATAACATAGGATCTTATCCTTGTCTATTCAAGATAATGAATTCCATTTTAGCTAAACACCTACCTCCTACACATAACTAACTATGACCATCACATGCCACCATCATATGCCATATACCTATAGATGACTAGCATAGATATGTAATGAGTTACAAACCTAATCACCTACTTGTGAGATAACCATGTCACCTCGAGTCAAATAGCTATATACACTATTATAATCTAGATGATAAATTATTAATAAGTAGTAAGAACTTTATGCTATTATCATCCGATATCGGACTCGTTCAACCTACTAAAAAAGTGTCCACATGTGATCGGTGCATAATTTATATAATTTTTATTTCCTTCTACATTAAACTTACTAATATATTAGGTGCCTTATTAAGTTGATAAATGATAACATGATATTTATTTGTTTTGCAAGAAAATGGCACCAAAAGCTAATAAGCCCGACCTAAATACATGATGGTACTAAGTCCATTTAATCTTATTCCTCAACAGGACATATACGGCTATGTAAAGATTATGCCGCCCATATGTATTATTGCCAAAAAATATACACGGCCTTGCAACAAAGGATACATGACCATATATCTAGATCAAGATCCACAAGCTTCCCATTCCGAAGTTACTATTAGTGTGGATATCAAACACACGATCATTTGTGTTGTGTTCTCGCCTAGCACATGATGTCACTATATATATAAAGGATAACATGATGTTTATTGGTTTTACAGGAAAATGGCAAGCAAAAGCTAATAAGCCCAACCTAAATACATGTGGTACCAAGTCCTTTCAATCTTATTCCTCAACAAGACACATACGATTATGTAAAAAATATAACACCCACGTGTAATGTTGTCAAAAAATATACACGATCATGCAACAAAGGAAACATGATCGTGTATCTAGATCAAGATCCATAAGCTCCCATTCCGAAGTTACCGTTGACGTGGATATCAAACACACGATCGTTTGTGTTGTGTTTTGCCTAGCATATGATGTTGCTATATATATCCGTGTGTGTGTTTTTAGGTTTCAAGGGAGATTGAGTTTTTTTTTAGAGAGAATAGATTATTCTATTATTTTGTTTTATTGCTCTAACTAGCATGTATGGCTAAACTCTTTGTATGGGTTCGAGGGAATTTCGAAGCTTTCATAGGCATCTCGGTGGTGTAATCTAGTAACTTTGTTCTTCTTCTCTCATTATTGGGATTGATTATGTTATTTGACTTTATTTGATTTATAGTTTCTATTTGATTAATTTGGTTTGGTCGACTAGATTGATTTTTATAGATTTCTATTGCTAGATCTAGAAATGTGATATATATAATTGTCCTATTTTTAATAACTCGAGTAGTGAATAGTGGTAGATGATTATGGATAAATTTTTATTTTTACCACTATGAATAATGTAACGTAAGTTAAATAATCCGAGCTTGTGAGATTATTGCTTGGATTGGTCTATTTTCCTAAATCTTAAAGCAACCATGCATTAAATTTAGAGAGCTTATTCTAAGTTGTGTTATGGTTAGAATCTAGTCGAAGACTTGTTTTATCGATGATACTCAAGAGAAATTCGGATGACGAAACTTATTATTATTTAGGATCAACAATTCCATAAGAAAAGTTGAATAGTTTACTCGTGGTTACATTTATTGAGTACGGGAGTGGAGATTGAACCAAAAACCGATTATTAATTCCATTGTTTTTAATCTACTCTATTTGCTTGTCTTTATTTGTTCATCAAAGAATTAAATATCAAAACCCATTTTTATTTTTATTTTCTTTTCTTTTAAAACAATTAGATAATTGATAAAATTTCTGAACCAATTCTCGGTAGGATCGACTCTTGCTTACTCTAACTACGGTTTAGTAATTAGGTCTAGTAAGGAAATAATTTGATTATTTTGGAGCATTTGGCACGCTATAAACATGTTTGTGCTGATATCACATATCAAATAGCACATACTCACTATCATAAACAAATATAAGCGATAGTTTTTTTTTGGATAAATGATGCCTAATCAAGCATTGTATAACCATGAACTGTTTAAATTATTTTGTATTAAAAATATTTATTGCTCATATTCTAAACATTTTTTTAGAATAAATACTCTAATAATTTACTTAAAAATAATAAACAACTTTAAGATCATTATTCGTATGAATTGTCATTATATTTTTTACAACGGTAACAAATGTATTCAAATATGTTAAATAAAACTGTTACGATATATAGTAAGGACGACTGTTTGAAACGATGCACACCACGCACCATGGTTGGGTTCTCTTATCTTAAATTCTCGATTAACTATAAGAAATCAGATTCTCCTACTTCAACTTCCCCACTTGTGAAATTCTGCCACGTTTTACAAATTTTTTCTCCGTACCCTTAGTTACCCCACCACAAAAATCATGGGGTCCACGTGAAAAATATGGGACATGGAAATGCAATACCATCAAGTAGCAGAGCTGGCCAAAATGTTAAACATGTGTAAGGACAAAGTTGCTAAGCTTGTCCAAGAACATTCAACTTCAATGGTGCATGCAATAAGAATCTCAGAATATATGCTGAAAAACTTGGTCATAAGCAAACATCAAGAGCATAAAGAAAATGAAAAAGCCTAAAACCTATTTCCTTACATGGTGACTTCACTCAGAAACATCTACATTGCTTCCCCATTGAGTACCACAATGTTTGGGTTGGATTCAGTTATGATTGCATCCTCCATTATCTCCAAAACGAAGCTTCATAGTGAAAGAGTGGTTGTCCCTTGTCACCAAGAAAAGGCAAGGGATTTTCCACATGACTAATTACTAGTCAACTCATAAGTGGTAACCCAACTTACCAAGTTGTTCTCTTTCTCCATCTTCAAGTATTCCCTTGTTTAAATATTTAATTAAAGGAAAGTGCCCAGTACCCACCATGGGAAGCCTGTGGCTCTTGTTTCTCAGCTCACTCACATACCTTTTCTCTTGAGAGTACTGTAGTCTAAGGTGACCTTCTGCTTTTTCTTTTTTACTTCCAGAGTAATTTTGTTTCTTTCCAGCTTTTGTACATGTGTAGTTCTTTGTGTGTTGATGAGACAATTTCTTCTTTGCCAAAATGGTTGCTTTTCCCTAGATTTAATCCTTCATCTTTAGCTAATGATGGTTTTGGTTTGAGCTAGAGGCTGGGTATGTTCATGGTGAACGCCCCCTGAATCATAAAAAAAATAATTCTTTGCTTTTTGCCGGCTCTCTCTAGGTAAGAGTACTATCTGTTTGTTGTTTTGGTATCAGGACAAATGCTGTTTTCCTTTAGTGGGAAAAGGACTAATTGTCGACTTTTTTAACTGCTCTTTGGTTCCTTCTCTTTTCTTTTCGATACATGGTTAGCACCTAGCAACACCAAGAAAAGTTATTTTTAAATGCTTATGGGTCCCTTTGCTTTTTAGAATTCCCTTTTTTTTTCTCAAGGTATAACCACTTGCCTTGGACGATGACCTTTTGCCTCTTCATTTTATTCGCGTTGTTGATAAGATAGTTGAAGTTTCTTGAAATTCAATTTTCCAGTTGAATTTGATTTGGGGTGTATAATTCATTATGTTTCATGATTTTGGAAGCTAGGTGATTCCATTCATCCTTTAGCATCACCATGAATCTGGCCTGGCTTTTGCCCATCTTGATTCTTTGTATCAGTTCTTTTTCACGAGGGGCCTTAACCCCCGGTGGTACTGTGAATGTTGGAGCTATTTTTACATTTAGCACCATCAATGGAAAAGTTGCAAAGATTGCCATGAAGGCAGCTGAGGATGATATTAATTCTGATCCACGCTTTCTTGGAGGAAGGAAACTGTCTATAAATATGCATGATTCCAACTTCAGTGGATTTCTGGGAATCATTGGAGGTATTCTTTATTTCTCTGTGTAATTCTTATCTGTTACTTATTTTGTTCTGTTTTTTTTTTTTTTTTTTTTTGCCCTTTAATGGTGCTGAGTTTGTCAGTTTAATTCTCGTAATTTTAGCAGCAAGTTTACTTTTCTTTGTGAAATAGAAGTACTTAGGAATTGCACTTCTTGGTCCGTTGCAGCGTTGCAGTTCCTGGAGACTGATACTATAGCTGTTATTGGGCCACAAAATGCTGTAATGGCTCATGTACTCTCACATCTTGCAACTGAGCTCCAAGTTCCTTTCTTGTCATTTACAGCTCTAGACCCCACTCTTTCACCTCTCCAATACCCGTACTTTATTCAAACAGCTCCCAACGATTTGTTTCAAATGACTGCCATTGCAGACATGGTTAGTTATTATGGTTGGTCAGAGGTTATTGCAGTTTTCAGTGATGATGATCAGAGCCGAAATGGTATAGGTGCACTAGGTGATGAACTTGCGGAAAGGCGTTGCAAAATTTCCTATAAAGCAGCACTTCCTCCAGACCCAAAGGCCACCCGAAGCGATGTTCAAGATGAATTAGCGAAGGTTCTGCGGATGGAATCTCGAGTAATTGTTTTGAATACCTTCAGCAAAACAGGTCTCTTGGTTTTTGATGTTGCGAAGGGACTTGGAATGATGGAGAATGGGTTTGTTTGGATTGCTACCAGTTGGCTGTCTACTGTTATAGATTCAACTTCACCTCTTCCTACTAAGACTGCCAATTCAATCCAAGGAGTTTTAACACTCCGCCCGCATACACCAGATTCAAAAAGAAAAAGGGATTTCGCATCACAGTGGAGCCAGCTGAGTAATGGCTCTATTGGGCTAAATCCTTATGGTCTATATGCCTATGATACTGTTTGGTTACTTGCAAATGCGTTGAAATTGTTTTTTGATCAAGGCAACTCCATTTCTTTTAGCAATGATTCGAGATTAGGTGGAATGGGAGGGGGACTTTGAACCTTGGTGCTTTGAGCATATTTGATGGAGGAAGCCAATTGCTCAAAAATATATTGCAGACAAGTATAACAGGTCTGACAGGACCTGTTCGATTTAATCCAGACAGGTCCATTTTACATCCTTCTTATGATATCATTAATGTATTAGAAACTGGGTATCAGCAGATTGGATACTGGTCAAACTATTCTGGGCTCTCGGTTGTGCCCCCAGAGACACTTTATGGGAAAGCAGCTAACAGTTCTAGTTCAAGCCAAAATTTATACAGTGTGGTATGGCCTGGGGGGACAACAGCTCGGCCTCGGGGCTGGGTGTTTCCAAACAATGGAAAGGAATTACAAATTGGAGTTCCAGACCGAGTTAGTTATCAGGAGTTTGTCTCAAAGGTGAATGGTACCGGTGAGGTCCAAGGATATTGTATTGATGTGTTCCTGTCTTCCATTAAATTGCTTCCATATGCTGTTCCATACAAGTTCATTCCATTTGGAGATGGTCATAAGAATCCAAATTACTACGAACTCGTAAACAAGATCACAACCGGGGTGAGTAAATTTGTAGCCCCTCAGAAAATAATCAGATGATAGAGCTTATACTGATCCTATGAAAATGTTCTCACAGGTCTTCGATGCTGTTATCGGTGACGTTGCTATTGTCACCAACCGGACAAAGATTGTTGATTTCTCTCAGCCATACATAGAGTCAGGGCTGGTTGTGGTGGCTCCTGTCAAGAAGCAGAATTCAAATGCTTGGGCATTCTTGCGGCCTTTTAGTCCATTGATGTGGGGCGTCACATCAATTTTTTTCCTTGTTGTGGGAGCTGTTGTATGGATCCTTGAACATAGACTCAATGATGAATTCCGAGGGCCACCTAGGAAACAATTTGTCACAGTTCTTTGGTGAGTAGATGGCATTTTAGACATGGATTCATGCATATTTTCAGTACTTTAGGGTTGCCAAAATTCTTTTGACTTTCACAGGATGTTACTGATTCCATGCTCCCTTCCCTGAAAATTTTTTATCTCCGGTTTCCTTTTGCCAACACACGACACAGATTCACACTAACATAGTGTCTCTATTTGAAAAAGGCATTTGTAGGAAAGTTAATTTTTATTTGAAAATATTTTAAATCAGATAGCCAACAGGCTTAGTAATATCCTTTGTCAGATTGTGGTAGTTTCAAATCCAAGGTTCATTTCTAAGTGTTGCAGCAAATGTTATAGCTGCCTTTGTTTCTTGTTGCAGCTATGACAGATTAAGGTCTCATTTTTCTTTAATGTTTGCTTGATTTGAGCACTGGAAGTAGATGAACTCCACGGGTACAATGAATTTATCTGAGAGCTGTTCTGTTAGCTTTGTTTCTTCCCTTCCTTGCTCATCTTTCCAAATTTTGGTTTATGGCCGGCAAGCCGTGTGTTAAATGATGGATGTTTAATTACTCTGCACTTACAGCTCACATTTTATTCGATTAATATTGAAAATGTTTTGCTTTTCTTTCTTCTGAACTTGTGCATTCTGCTCTTTTTCTGATTCCATTTTTTTTTTCACTTGCAGGTTTAGCTTCTCTACTTTGTTTAATTCTCATAGTAAGTTCATCTTTTAATTTCCAAGTTGGGATTAAATAATTTTTTTGTGTTATCTCAGGAATTTATCTTTAGCTAAGCCAATAAAGCCAACTCTGAATTTTATTGAATTTTCAGGAGAAAATACAGTGAGCGCACTTGGTCGCCTTGTGCTGATCATCTGGCTTTTTGTAGTTCTGATAGTCAACTCAAGCTATACTGCAAGTCTGACATCAATTCTCACAGTGCAACAGTTATCCTCCCCCATTAAAGGAATCGATACCTTGATTACTAGCCATGCTCAAATTGGATTCCAAGTAGGATCCTTTGCTGAAAATTATCTAAATGAAGAACTTGGCATTGCTAAGACTAGACTTGTTGCTCTTGGTTCACCAGAAGAATATGCGGATGCTCTTAAAAATGGTACCGTTGCTGCTGTGGTTGATGAACGACCTTATGTAGAACTCTTCCTCTCAGAGCACTGTGAGTTCTCTGTAAGAGGTCAGGAGTTCACCAGAAGTGGTTGGGGATTTGTGAGTATCTCAACTTGGAGATAATTAATTCAAGTTCTTATTTCTACTTTCTTTACTAAATGAAGTTGATTTGCTTGTAAGTTATAATTGCTTGGAAGTCGTCAGAATTAAGTAGCTTGAGAAGAACACGGGGGGGGGGGGGGGGGGGGGTTGGTGGGGGTTGGGGGGCGGGGGGCTGAATGAGTAGAATTTCGTAGGCATACCCCTCTCCTCCACCCCTCCAGTGGCAATAAATGTTTGATAGGATGATGATGAGAGTGTAAAGTGCTACATAAATTTGCAAAGGAAAAAAAACAAATTAGAAAACTTTAGATAGTGTCAGCCCAAGCCTGAAGAAAAGAAACGATGGCATAAAATCCTCTTAAGACATTGTGTGTTTTGACAGGTCATTAATTTGTTTGTTAATGTCATGTGTGTTTCTTCCAGGCATTTCCAAGAGATTCACCCTTGGCCATTGACATATCTACTGCCATTCTCCAACTATCTGAGAACGGCGATCTTCAGAAGATCCATGACAAGTGGTTGCCAAGAAAGGCCTGTAGTTCCCAGGACATCGGGTCCAGTGCAGATCAGCTGCAGCTACAAAGCTTCTGGGGGCTTTTCCTCATTTTTGGGATTGCGTGTTTGCTTGCTCTCTTGATCTACATTTGCATGACATTTCGCCAATTCAGCCGGCACATACCGGAAGACAATCTTTCTGTCCAAAGCAGCTCCCGCTCCAAACGTCTTCAAACATTCTTATCATTTGCCGATGACAAGGTTGAACAATGGAAGAAGAGCAAATCCAAGAGAAAAAGAGAAGATGAGTTGTCAAATCGTAATGTGCAGAAAACTACATCATTAAATGGATCTGAAAGAATCCGAAGGGACATTTCTCAGGAAAGGGAAGATAGAGATACTTGGTTGCATTAATTGGTCATGATAGTTTTATTTACATAACCAACTATATCTAGGTAGCCAGTTGATACTTCATAATTATGTTAAGTGACTATGTTTTACTACATAATGTAGAAAACATTTGCTCTCACATGAGGTAGATTATAGCTTGCAGTTCCTTGAACTTGTTATTCAATTGTCTACATATATATATATATAGTCAATACAAATGTAGTCTGTGTTCTATGTAAGAATGGAAATACCTCTCATGATGATCCATAAATGGAAAATGATGAAACCACCATTCTTCTCTTCTCCTCTCTGTATTACTCATCATGTAAACAGTCAGCTACTTGCAGATTATCCATGGAGAATCTAACTTGAAGACACTCATCTAGGATCAAGTACAGTTGCTATTGTTCTGCTATAATAACTTCAAGCTACCGAGACTTTTTTGTCCTATTTTGTTCCTTGATAAGGTGGCAAAGATAAAACTAGCCCTCGAAATTATGGTTAGCTGCACGCATCCGGTTATTTGATTTTGATTTCGACTTTAACAAATTCAATTTGTTTTTCGATTAACAGAACTTAAAAAAGTCAAAACCGAAGTATCATGGATTTGCATATTAGTGAGCGGACGAGCTAGACATGACTACGCACATTTTGGAAGTATAGGGGGTGATATGCTTGAAATTATGGATGAGGAACTGATATGGTTAAATTTATAAACTTGGAGGACTACATGAATAATCCACCCCTCTCTATCTTTATCGCTTTAAAAGGGCTGGAATCTGAAACCCTGCCGCTTTTGACCCAAGAAAAAGGGCGAAAGCACTCTCTTTCTCTACATACAACAAAAGATGGCAATCTGTTTTCTTTCTCCTTTGAAACTCATAACCCCTGCAACTTCATTAACAAATCCGATTCCTAAAAAACCAAACCTTCTCCGCTGTAACCTGTCGCTGCCCACAATCATAACCACGGAACCCGAACCCGTTTTCACCTCGGTCAGATCCTTCGCACCTGCCACTGTCGCCAACCTTGGCCCTGGTTTTGATTTCCTTGGCTGCGCCGTCGATGGGCTCGGCGACTTCGTCTCTCTCCGTGTCGACCCATCCGTACAACCCGGCGAGCTCTCCATCGCTGATGTTTCGGGCTCCAAAAAGCTCTCCAAAAACCCACTCTATAATTGTGCTGGCATCGCCGCCATTGCTACCATGAAAATGCTCAGCATTCGCTCTGTGGGTCTCTCTCTTACCCTTGAAAAGGGCCTTCCTTTAGGATCCGGACTGGGATCCAGCGCGGCCAGTGCTGCTGCGGCTGCTGTGGCGGTGAATGAGCTGTTTGGAAGGAAATTGGAGGTGAAAGATTTAGTCTTGGCTGGATTGGAATCTGAAGCTAAAGTTTCAGGTTACCATGCTGATAATATAGCACCAGCAATAATGGGTGGTTTTATTTTGATCAGAAGTTATGATCCATTGGAGTTAATGAGATTACAATTCCCAGTTGAAAAAGATTTGATCTTTGTGCTTGTTAGTCCTGATTTTGAAGCACCAACTAAGAAAATGAGGGCTGCATTACCTGCTGAAATAGGGATGCCACGCCATGTATGGAACTGTAGTCAAGCAGGGGCCTTGGTGGCTTCGGTGTTGCAAGGGGATTTGGTAGGTTTGGGAAAGGCACTCTCGAGCGATAAAATTGTGGAGCCTGAAAGGGCTACTTTGATTCCTGGTATGGAAGGAGTTAAGAAGGCCGCTCTAGAGGCAGGGGCTTTTGGATGCACCATTAGCGGTGCGGGGCCGACTGCGGTGGCACTGGTGGAGAGTGAGGAGAGAGGAATGGAGATTGGGGAGAGAATGGTGGAGGCTTTCTGGGAAGAAGGAAATTTGAAGGCTGCGTCTACTGTTAAGACGTTGGATAGAGTTGGTGCTAGACTTGTTGGTAGTGTTCCTAGATAATGAAAGTTTGAATAGCACCAAATGTCTATCTATTCACCCAAGCAAACAATTAGAGGAGAGGGCTTCTTTAGGTTTTGTCTTACTTAGTGTTAATGCAGCTGTTTTTATGAATAATATAGACATGTTTTTGCTCTGATGCAACTTAGGGTTCTTCTCCGTCATTCATGGTCTCATATGATTCCTTCATGCCTGTGTTTTGGTAATGCAGTTGGAATTACTAACTCCTATCCTTTGTAGTACATTGGAAGATGGTATAAATGCCATTGTTTTGTCTATTTATGCCCCAAACATAAGGAGACCTTACTTGACTCTTCCAACTCGAAAATAAAACCTTCTATTTCTCGTACATCATTTATCATCCCTGCTCTTAGCTAACATGATACGAGGGGTATTCAAGAACTTCAACGTATAGTAGGGAAGGAACTTTGAAGTCTGTAAAATAAAATCATAACATAAGGAAGGAAAAACTGATGATGTATTTTTTTCTACAAAAATAAAACAGAACAAATAAAGCAACGGTCAAAACTTTTTCTATCCGGCCGAAGCCTGCAAAAGCGCCATGGCAAAAAACTCGAATATCACTTCCAGAAGCATGCCTTGGTTCTCTGTAACTTTCAAGAAGACTAAGCACAAATGATATGATGCAGACGACTGCATACAAGCCAAAAACACCAGCAAGGCCAATCCAGAATGTAAGGGCACATATGGCTACGCAAAGGCCGCGAACACGAGTAGAGAAGATCTCTGCACATAGTATGTTGGGAATTGGCCCAAAAACCTATGACAAAAAAAAGAAATAGAGCGCAGCGCTAACAGTTGAAATTGATCCATTAACAACACTGCCCATATCCACCAAGCTTCCAAGGACCAACAAAACGAGGGATAAGATAAACACGGGGATGGTACTGAGCAGCAAAGTCCTGCAAAACGCAACAGCAATAAGGATATTGGGGGGAAAACAAGGGACAACAAAGGGATAGCGCACATGAATCATAGCTTTTTTTTTTTTTTTTAATCCAGTCAAAGGAGGAAAGAAGAAAATGGAAATACCTTCTCCCCGAGATATCCATGAGCCTCATGGCAACAGCTGTACAAGGGAGCATCAACATTGTTGTAACTTGTAAGGGCGCTGATAAGCAGAGATGTAGAAGCCGAACTAAGGCCCAAGTTTGAAAGAACTCCTACTCCTGCCTGCTCAAGAATTTGAGGAGTATAATAGAGAACCCCGTTTATACCAGCGAACTGCATAGGCACACAAATTTAGAAGCAACTTGTGCAGAAGTGAAACAAAACCTTAAAGCAGTATAATGTCTCCATTAACCAAATCACTATGCTTCAAACTTTAAGGCATAGTTGTCGAAAGGAAAAGAAGAAAATGATGGTGTGGAAGTGTCGTATCCATTCGTTTAAACCGTTCTCTGCTATTAAAGTTTAGAAAATGTCCCTCTTGAAGAAAACAGAACAGATGCTAGGATAAATGTGCTACCATTATAAAGACCAAAAGAGTAGGCATTAAAATTACCTTCATCACAAAAACCGAGATCAATAGACTCTATTTTCATACCTGCTGAAGTATTTGAAGTCCCACCACAACAGCCAAGGCATGCCTGACTCCAGGTTCGAAAAGATCTCTCCAGCTTGGTCCTTCAGCTGCAGTTTCGGATGGGTGGACCATAGCTGGTCCAACTGGATGCTCATTCACAAGCTCCTTGCGATAAAGAGCTGATTGACTCAACAAAGCAGCAGCCTGAATTTATTCACCATCTGCATGGGCATCAGCACCAGTCAGAGAAACCAGAGATCCACGCCGAGAACCAGGGGCTCCCTATTGATGCAAACAAATTCTCTAAAAGCCTCTTTCCTTCTTTCCATCCTGACCTTCTCTCTCGGACGATTTCCATGCCAGCTGCCAACCACCACCAATCCCTGTGTTACGAACTGGATGACGGATCTCCTGCATTTCCTGTTATCAGACTCCCTTGTCTCATGTTTGACATGATTCCAAGGGCAGGTGGGACTGTGTCCTTGTCCATGCTTGTTGTCTGACTTTAGATCAATAGAATCTTTAAATTGTCATTAAAATCAACACCATGCATAGCCAAAATCAACACCATGCATAGCCCGAATCTTCAAATTGTCATCAGAATCGACACCATGCGTAGTCCTCCAGAGAGACTTGGCTCTCCTTATCCCAATCTTCATTTTTAGGATGATTCCCTCCTACATTTCCTGTTATCAGACTCACATGTCTCATGTTTGACATGCTTATATGAGCAGGTGGGACCATGTCCTTGTCCCTGTTTGATGTCAAACGTGAGATCAATAGAATCTTCAAATTGTCATCAGAATCACCACCACTCATAGTCCTCCCAGAGAGACTTGCTCTCCTCATCCCGATCTTCACTTTTAGAATGATTCCTCCAATATTTCCTGTTATCAGACTCACATGTCTCATGTTTGACATGCTTATATGAGCAGGCGGGACCATGTCCTTCACCATTCTTGATTTCAAACGTGAGATCAATAGAATCTTCAAATTGTCATCAGAATCACCACCGTGCGTAGCCCGAATCTTCAAATTGTCATCAGAATCACCACCGTGCGTAGCCCGAATCTTCAAATTGTCATCAGAATCACCACCATGCATTGTCCTCCCAGAGAGACTTGGCTCTCCTCATCCCGATCTTCATTTTTAGGATGATTCCTCCTACATTTCCTGTTATCAGATCACACGTCTATTGTTTGACATGCTTATATGAGCAGGTGGGACCATGTCCTTGTCCATGCTTGTTCTCAAACGTGAGATCAATGGACTCTTTAAATTGTCATCGGAATCACCAACAGCACCATCAGGTGCATAGTCCTCCCCTTCTCTGGCTTGGCTCTCCTCATCCCAATCTTCATTTCTACGACAATTAATTCCCTCTACACTAAGCATGAACATGCTGCCAAAGTGAGGGAAAACATGTCAAGTTATTCATAAATCCAGCTGCATTAAAACCAAAGTAAAACAGAAACAAAGTAGGCCCTCTCCACTACTTGTTTGCTTGGTCCTCCACACTACTTGTTTGCTTGGTGAGTTAGCAGATATTTGCTGCCGTTCAAACTTATTATTCCACAGCAGATCAAAATGATCGGCGTCATTTTATGATTAGTATCACCATTATCTAGGAACACTACCAACAAGTCTAGCACCAACTCTATCTAACCTCTTAATCGCAGCAACCGCCTTCAAATTCCCTTCTTTCCGAAAAGCCTCCAACATTCTCTTCCCAATCTCCAGCACGCTCTCCTCACTTTCCACCACTGCCACCGCAGTCGGCCCCGCCCCACTAATGGTACATCCAAAAGCCCCCGTTTCCAGAGCCGCCTTCTTAACCCTTTCCGTCCTAGGAATCAAAGGAGTCCTTTTAGGCTCTACGATTTTATCGCTCGACAGTGCCTTCTCGAATCCAACCAAATTCCCTTGCAACACTCAAGCCACCAAAGTCCCACCTTGACTACAATTCCACACATGGAGTGGCATCCCTATTTCAGCAGGCAATGCAACCCTCATTTACTTATTTGCTGCTTCAAGTTCGGATCCTAAAAAGGGCTTTTCAAAGTAAATAGAGAGACCCAGACCGGACGTAGAGCATTTTCATGGTGGCAGTGTAGGAGATACCAGCACAGTTATAGAGTGCGTTTTTGGGAGATTTTTAGAGCCCGAAATATTGGAGATGGAGTTACTAGTTAATGGCTGGTTGTTAGTCCTGATTTTGAAGCAGCGATGTGTGAAATTATAGTCAGGTTGTGGCTTCAGTGTTACAAGGGCATTTGGTGGGGTTTGAGAAGGCATTGTCAAGTGATAAAATAGTGGAGCCTGAAAGGGCTCCTTTCATTCCGGGGATGGAAGGGATTAGGAAGCCGGCTCTGGAGGCAAGGGCTTTCGGATGTACCATGAGTAAGGCGGGGCCGATTGCGGTGGCAGTGTTGGAGAGTGAGGAGAGAGGGGTGGAGATTGGGGAGGGAATGGTGGAGGCTCGTAGAGAAGGGAATTTGAAGGCTGTTGCTGTGGTTAAGAGGTTGGATAAAGTTAGGTGCTAGAATTGTTGGAACTTGTGTAGTGTTCCTAGATGATAATGTTGATTGATCATGTAAGATTCTGGTTTTGCTTTGGTTGGAATAATAGTTTGAATTGCAGCAGATTTTGTTTTACTTTAGTGTTAACTAGTTACAAGGATACAGAAGCTAGCTTTTGTGACCTCGAGAAAGCAAACATCGTAAATCCTCTGATAAAATTGGAACGATACAGACAATACATCAGCGAAAACATAGCATTTTCTCTAACAAAATTGGAAGAGAACTAGTTGGACAGTGAGATAAGAAAATCGAAAGTTTTTAAGTTGAAAAATTAACTTGCAAAATGTTATCATTGAGCTCTTAAATAGGTTCTAAAAATTACATTTTTTGTGGAATTATCCAACTGTATGCAATGGCGTGTCAAATATGTGGTTTTGTTTTCAATATCTGACCTGGGAGCTATCGTTGTTTGGACTCCAGATCTGTTTAAAGACATGTCATCTGAAAATAGTCCTCCCAAAATTGGACTGGATTCCTGTGCTTTCCATTGATTAAGGTTATAATAGAGAACACACTCTTTCGAACATTTATTTGACTTTCTTGAGATGGCTGGCACATCATCAATCCACAATGGACTCTTGTTGTTTGGTTGCAATTAGAGTGTTTTTCAATTTAGTTGATTTTCTTTAGGGAAAGAACAACGCAAAGTTAAGCTTTCGTTATTGCTGCCTCATTGAGCAAGTTTGGTGGCTGAGACCTTTGTCTGTGATAATATGTTGATTTCTTATTATTGCAGTTGTAGAACCATCAAATGTTAGTGTGCTTTTGTTTGAACATTGAGATGCAAATTTGACTCTTAAGCTCATAGCCTTTACTTTTTTGTGGTGGTTTCAGGTTTTGAGTGCTCCATACCTCCAAGGTGCATCAACAGCTCAAATTCAGGTGAGCATGAGCTGGACCTACATAGCATGACATTTTCCTATTGCACAATTTCCTCCTAAATAGCAATGTCCTTTCGTAGTCCATTTTCCTGATACATCCAAACGTTAGCTGCATGTGGTCCACTTGGACATGCCATTGCCCCCACTGAAAAATGCTATTACGTTTATAACCCATTCTAGCATGGAAAACCAATTACTTGATTGAAATTTACAGCTCGATTGATCACTTGTGCAGGAATTAGGGCAACACAGTCTAAGAAACAAAGGTTTATGTCTTGTACCAATCTCTTGCACTGCTGGCATTGCTCGTAGTAACGGTGCAGATCTCTGGGCCCCCATCAAGAGCCCTCCTCCCAAATTCAGTAAGGCTATCTCACAATTTAATTGACACAATTTAGCTCTGCAACTTGAAGGTTGCTTTAAGTTTATTGATAAGGTGGCGTGAAGGGTAACCGACTTTCTGGATGCGCAACAAGGTTTTGTCGGGCAGATGCAACTTTGTAACAGAATTTAACATGGGCGCAATGGATGTTCTCATGTTATATTTAGTCAAGCTCTCAATGATGTATAATGTCAAGTCACCATTCTAGTATTAAGTATGTTTCAGAAAACGAAATTTCTTGTTTTAAGCTGATGACAGGGCACGGTATATGATATGACTCTGTATCTCCTGATTAGCAAAATGTATATTTACAAACCTAATATGTATAAGGAACCTAACAGATGATTAATCAATATATGGGAGCCATTTATGGTTTAGATTTTCCCTGCCTTTTCTTTGAAAGATATATCTAGCAGATTCCTGTTATGAGCTCAGAAGGTGCTATTAACTTCCGAATTTTCATTTAATTATCCCAACCATGCTTTGGAGGTGGGTGGTTTGAGCCCCGAAACTCTTGAGCGTATGATTGAACTACGAAACTCTTCACTTGAGCATAAAGATTGAACCACAGGAAAATCAGATCATATCTATATAGTTGCAACTTGAGTGATTTTGCAGGAGAAAGAAAAAACTGAACGATTTTGGTTTGCACGCTCGCATCTGCAAAACTACTACGAAGCCTAGCTACATATTGGACACTTGACAGGTAGGCTCTCCTATGTTTTAGGCTTTGAATGATGCACAATAAGTTCAAGAGCCTAATTCTGAGCTGAGATAGAAAAATGGACGATGCATTCCAAAATGAATCTGAATTCTCATGACAACAAATGATTGTGTGAATTTATGGATGCTCCCAAAGCAGGGTACCCACCACCCACATTGGATGCTCTAAAAGCTTGGCATCGAACTGAGATTGCACTTTGGCTTTTTTTAAAAAAAAAACAAAGACTGCACGGAAGATGTGTAGCTTCCCTGAAATCAAGTACAGTACTTTATATCACTAACGACCTTCATAAAACATCAATTTGGAGGCTTGGAGCCACCCAGTCCTATGATATCTTAAGAGGGGCAGAAAGGAACACTAATAATGCCGATCACCACTGCATATTTCCAAGTTAACTAAATCGTTATTCTTTATGAATCCAAGCTAGTAAAGATACAGGCACGTCAGCGCGAAATTAAGCCACTCTTTTAATTGAGACCCAAAAAAGCCACTCTCTTAGGATGCTGAAACAGGCTTAACCTTCTCCCTCAAGAACTGCAGCACATGTTCCCGTTTCCAGTTGTCAATTCTGCAAGTAAAATAACAGTAGAAATTCTCAGTACAGAAGGCAATAGAACCTCATTATTTTTCTTGGAATGCAAATTTCTAATATATGAGAACTGCTAATTGCTTTGGAGGAGCTAAACAAGGCTCGTGTACTTGCCAGGCCAAATGAAGATCAAAACAAATTTCTGTATATTTGTTCACCAATTGTTATGCAGGAGCAGAAGTAGACATAATAAAAGCAGCTCACCTAATGGTTTCCTTATGCTGACCCTCATCATCTAGCATGATTAACTTTGGTGGAGAATTGAAAAGATACTGGACTTTAACAGTAGGAAATTGATCCTTCTCTTCTTCAATGAAACTAACAATTTCAGGATAGAAAACCAATTTCCTCATGCAAACCTCTAGTATTGCACCGGAGTCCGTAATCTGCAGCAATTTAGATACATCTTTCAGTTCCAATAAAAAGGAGAAACTTAGTGATTCTCTTTGATGTATATGCATGTACGAAAATTAGATTGTAAACTTCTTTAGCATTCAAAGCTAGTGTCAGTTACGATTGCATGTCCATGAAAAACTGGAGAAGACTTAGAAATCTGTTCTTTATTTCATTTAAGGATACAATTGACCACATTTTTTTCCATAGTCTGTGTTGTTGTAAATATAGTATGTAGATATTTACATGTTGTAACTATAGTAAGTAAATACATAATTATAGGAGTAATCATAGGAGTGTCCTAAATAGGGTAGCTGTGTAGATATATATATATATATATAAGAGAATTCAGTTTCATCTCTATTTACACGTGCCAATTAGTGGCCTTTCGAATTGAATTAGAAATGAAAGAATAGTATAAGCAAGGAATTAAAAAAGAAAGGGTCAAAAGGAAATTCAAAACATAAATTTGAGCTCCAAACATTAATTTACCCTCAATATAATATATACCTTGCTCATGGAATCATCAGAATCCTCTGTGCAACACTTCCAACAGTCAGACACCAACTCTTCAATCAAAACTTTAGTGTTAAAGACTACCAGTAACCAGAAGGCAGTAAAACAGACTTTTTACATTACTATGCCCTTTAGAAAAGTAGAGTCCAATTGATAAGTACAATATCTTTGATCCAGTCACTTTATCTTCCTAAAAGTAAAGCCAAGTATCCCATCATTCAATTCTGTCAACTTAGTTACAGCCTGACTGCTAGCAGCTAGTGTAGTGCTATGGGCAGGAAGAAATTAATGTGTTCCTGTCTAATGGGCTTTGCCTTGGTCTCTTTTTGGCTTAATTCTATCGCTTACATAAAAATCTTTCCATCAGTCCCCGGTTTCTTATTATTAGATTACAGTGTCGTTGATACGCATCCCCCCACAGTGCTTAAGTCATCGCATGGGCATGGTACCAAACACTATACTTTATCCTGTCTTATCTTAGACCCCAACAAGTTCAATAACTTCACAGAGACTATTACCATCAGTAATGCATATGGTAATGTCAACATCTCAGTTGAAGAACCAAACGAGAGAATAAGCTACCATAAAGCTTTTATTGGACATAACACCTGCAACATGTTTCCATAGAATGACCAAGTCATTTAGAACAAGATGGCCTGTTTACATCCTGCACACCAGATGACGATCATGTCAATACCACAACACTCGAAAATCATTCACATTATCTAAACAGCCAATCCAGCCATATCAAAAACAAAACCAACAAGGAGAATCATTCAATCATTAATATGTCTTCATCACGCAAATATCTATGCCTCCCTACTTTATAAGCCGAATTCTCACAGCTGAAGCTCACTAACCCATATTATCAAACATCATAGAAAACTGAAATGGCAAACACCATCTATATAAGGCAATTTCTTCCGAACCAAAAGCGCCTGCTCTTTTTCAGTGAGATTGGAGGAACACGGGATAATATCAAATTCTCTGCACTTTCAAGTTAGATCAACATGCCGATTTGAGAATCCAATACAATCTCAATGTTAACACTAATTAAATAGAAACAAATCGAAACTAACTCAAATGGTCACCACCTATTGCATTCTACAAAACACTCAAGATCCCAACTTTTAACCCAAACAAACCTTCAATATCCCATAATATTCAAAACCCAGAAACCAAATAACCAAAACAACCCCCAAAACAAGACATCCAAATAACCACACTAAAACCTACATTTCGCTTAAAAATCCAAAAAGACAAACTTTATGACCAAAAAAAGGCTAAGACAGAGAGAAATGTCAAAAGGGTCTTTAGAACTCACCTTGGTTTTTAACATACTCAGCAAAAGTATTGCAATCAGAGCAAAGTGCAAGTCCTGAAAATCCTAGATCCTCACGTTCTCTTGAGCTCAATTTTTCATTGGATTTCACAACTGGTAAAATAAAAGTAACTAAAAGCAATAGTATACAATATTTATACACATTCATGTTTAATATCTCAATCTCTATAATGATTTTTTTCGTAAAGTTTCAGTCTTTTTAGAAGATCAAACAAGGTTTAGAGTTGAACTAGTGAGTTACCCGCGCTACGTTGCGGTCGGATACCTATTTTATATAGATGATCAAGAATGTTCCCGCAGCATACTACAGGTGAAGCACCATTATATGTTTCAGGCATTTGATATTTTTTTTAGATAATTTTGACACAGATGAATTATGTTCGTAAGAAATTAGTTTAAATTTATTTGCTCAATCATGTTTTGCCTATTGTGCTTTAGCCTGTGCTAACCTTTGTAATAAGTGAAAGAGAGATTTATTTAGCAATGATCATTGGATGGTTATGTTTAAAATATATATAAATGATTGTAGGAAGGTTAGTGGTGGTACAAAGCACATATTTACATAATATATGCATAATAAACCTAGATCAAATGTTAAGAATGCTTGAAACAATCTTAAAAGAGAATTAAATACCTTTGGATAGTCTCATTATAGCATTAATCACAATATATGCAGCTTTTACTGCTTCTAGGCCAAATGAGCTGATAAAAGAGATACTAACTAAATTCTCTACACAATCAATTATCCTAAAGAGGATAAAAAATTTCACCTTAAATGATAAAAGCAAGTTAAATGTCACCTGAAAAAGCAATTTAAATAATCAATCCAATCATCTCCTTAGTACAATCATTATATAGTTATGGAAATGTACTTAAATGTCTTCAAGGTTCATAGTACAATTATTTAAATGTCTACAATTATGTTTCATAGTTGTAGACAATCATGGATGTCACGAAGGCCATGCATGATATAACTTACTCAAAAGTACATAGCAGAGTGTAATGAGATTAAAAGAACTCTATGATATTAATCATGCATGTTTTAAACTCATATTTATCCATGTCAATAGTTTTACGATTTTCGGTAAGATCTTCACTGAAAGACAGGATTATTGAAGATGTTAAAACATTATGATTTCTTGTAAGCTCACAAACGGATAATATAACGTTGACTTTCATCGAAAGTATAATTATTGCATATAAAAATTGCCAACACTATTATCTACAAAAGGTATTTCAAGCAAGTAGCCTGATCTTTATCAAATCACAAACTATTCAATGCTGTAAAAGCATGCACAGAAAAATAAAAACCTAGTACCTCAATATATGATAACATGTCTTTTATCAAATTTAGTTGTTCCAAAATGAATCTCTGAAAAATAGTTGCTGATGCACCGACAACAAAAAAACAGGATGTCTAGGCAAAGCAATCATGTTGACTTGTCAGCATTATGTCCCTAAATTTTAGGTTCTTATGTAGAGTTACAGTTAATGTATAAACGTTGACACCCTTGGGCAAAACAATTGCTCCAAATTCCATATCTTGCAATGCCTCCTTAGATATCACACAAATAGGAGGGTAAAGGCACAATGATTTGTGAATCATTACTGTCAACTACAATCAATCAAGTTGTTAGTCAGTTAAATGATGTTTTCATAATTTAAGAACCAGAGAGATAATTCAAAATAAAAAACATAAATTATACCACTCACTATTTTCATCTTGCAAATCATGTCAGCATCCTACAGTTGCCCCCTACAGACTTCACATGCTTCTGCTCGAACTCTGTCTTGCCATTCAGGATTTGATGCCAAAAGCATCATAGTCCATGTTGCAATGATAATAGTTTCAAAGCTTGCCAAATATATGTTCTTGCAATTGTCAACGACGAAGCACTCTATTTCATCCTAACCAGATTCACTATCCTTCGTACCTTTTAGGATAATTTCCAACAGGTCCTTCGATGATGGTTCTTTCACTTCCTCCACTTTCTAATTGGATATCTCGCGCTACGGTGCGATCGGACGGCCGTTATATATGTAAGATTAATAATTCGTATCGTGTAGTACGAATAAAAATCTTATTTCTCGTAATTAATAAAATCAAATCTATTTGTTAAGAAAAATCGTTTGATTTATATATATTTATTAACAAAAGAAGCAATAATACTATCATAAAACGTTGTATTTGAAAAATTGAAAAGTTATTTCAAAACATTATTTCAACTATTTTATTTAAAAAATATTGATTTTAGAACATAAAAAAAAATATGCGGATACATAATTAATTTCTAACAAAACTAATAATTTATATATAATTGGTTTTATGAATGCGGATACATAATTAATTTTCAACAAAATTAATGATATATTATGATTATATTTAATAGATTCAGAGTATATAGTATAAACAATTTTTTTTAAAAAAAAGCATCTAAATTGTATGGAATATATTAAAATTAATAAATTGAAATAAAAAATACTTCAAAATTAATTCTTATACATTTTACTTCTTAATTTATGATGGAAAAATGTTTTTAAATCGCAAATTAAATTATAAATTAGTTCATCTTGTTTGGATAAATGAATTAATTCTTTTGGTTAGAAAAATAAAAATTTTCAATTTTTTAACAATTAATTTATTTTTTATTTTATAAAATGGTTTTTTTTCCTTCCATATTTTCACTTATTTTTTTGTTCTTTATCTGTTTCTTAAAAGAAAAAAAAATTAACAAAAAAGCCAAAAAAAAATTAGTTTTTAAACCAAAAGGACTAATTAATTTATTTCTCAAAAAAAGATGGACTAATTTATAATTTACTATTGAATAGCAAGTAGCTGTAGCCTAAATTCATCATGAATGGGTACTTTTATTGTAGTTGTCAGGAAATGGATGCTAATACACGTTATTCTGTTTTATACAGAACACAAATGCTAGTACTTATGTTAAATGAGGGCTGTACATTTTGTTGCAGATCATTGTAGCTATTGGATATATGGGCGAAAGGCTTGAAATTCCAAGCTATGTAAATCCTTCAGTGGCTGCCTTGATTGATGTCTGCTCGGATAAGTAAGTGGGACATTCATTATCAGACCTACTTCTAAAGAGTTTATAAGACTAATTTTATCTCTCAAATTTGAAATTCATCCATCTTCCAGAAACCCTACTCAAGAGAAGGAACAAAGTAATATACAGGGCATGCCTGTAATCTCACTTCCTTTTACTACAGCGAGCCCTCAAACTGTCCTTCATTCTCGTATATATGGAAACTTTACAGGAGCTGATAAATAACTCCATCTCCCAACCAGTTGCTCCTGGCGTTCGATGACAAATCCGTAAAAGGGGAACCCCAGATAAAATCTTAATTAATATGCAATGTGCCATTCATGTTATGCTCATCTGGTACATATTTCAAGTGTGCCCTGTCATAACAACAACCACTGAAAAACAAACATATAAAGCATCAAATTTAGAAGCCAAAATTCTTGAAACCAAGACAATACTGACATGCCAGAAAGAAAAAGATAAAAAAAAATGGGCTAGAAGAACAAAAATAATCTGACAAATTCTGTTTCAATTCACCTATCAATACAGAGATCTCCTAACGTGAACAGATGGAATTTATCATAAAGTTATTGAAACTGGAAAGGAGGAACCTCAAATTGAAAGGAAAGAAATACACTAAGAATGAAAGGAGAGGAGAGAGGAACACGCACAAATTGAAACATCATACAGATTGTATTGCTTTGTTAATCTTTATTTCTCGCATCTATCCGTCTTGAATTAATCCAATAGTTCATATTTGGAACCCTTATCAATGATGAGTAACAATCATACAGGGTTTTAATTAATTGTTTAATTTCACTGATTTGTCCTCTCTCTTTCTGCGAATGGATTATGGATCAGTAGCGTTAATTTGCAGCCATAATTAATTAAGCTGGTTTTATTTCAGTAATGAACTTCGTAGTTGCCTGCCATGCTAGCAGTTTCATCTAACGAGCTCATTTTGAAGTTTTATCATTTAGAGATAAACTAGCATACCTCTCTCTCGCACGTTGTCGCTCGCGGATAAGAATATATAATATATTTTAATATTTTAAATAATTAAGAAATTTAGATATCAAATAAAAATTAATTAACAATAATTGTGAAATTTTATTATATATATATATATATATAATTGATTTTAAATATATCTTAGGAATATTTTTTATTTTGAATAATAAAGAAATATGCAATTCAATATTTATTTTTTAAAAAATCAAATTGTGTAAATCATTATATATCATAAAAATATTCAATTTTAGTTAATGAGTCTATAGAAAAAAAAAAGGGATAATTACTAGAAAAACCTTATAAAAAAATCTTCTATCTAAAAAATCCACAAATTTATTTTTAAATCTATTAAACCAAAAAAAATAGTCGAATGTTAATGTTTAAAAGTCAAGGAACCTAAAAACCTTTTTTTTTTTTCTTTCAAATGCAATAAAAACGAACTTGACTTGATCATGAAAAAAAAAAAAAAAAGTAAACATCAATCTCATTAAAAACTATGAAATGAGTTTATTATTAGATAAAAACTATATATATAAAAAAAAAGCTCTAAAAAAAATTCTATCTAAAAAATTCATTAATTTATTTTTTAAATCTTTCAAATGTAAAAAATAAAAAATCATCTTATCTAAAGACTCAATAGTTAACTAGTGTTAAGTTAGAAGTTAACTATTAAGTATTTTGGTAAGAAAAATATTACTTTGGGTTTGAGAGATTTAAAAGTAAATTGATGGGTTTCTTGGATATAAGATTTTTTAGAGGGTTTTTTTGGTAATTATCCTTAAAAAAAAATCATTAACTATGGAGAAAAAAATATTTTGAGTACATAATAACTAATGAAAAATAAAAACATAAAAAAAAAAAAAAAAAAAAGACGATGGGCTGGAAGCATAGTTCAGCCATAAAAAACACAGACCTTTCTGTAATAAAAAATAACTTTTAAGAACCATTTTGTACAATATGATAAGTCGAAAAATCAAAGTATAAAAACAACGACAAAAAATTATTATTATCGTAAAAAAAGGAGCTGTTTCAAGTCAAAAAGACTCAAAACAAAGTCATTTTATTCACTGTAGAACAACTTAATTACAGTGAAAATACATTTTCTTTTAATACATGTATAATGCAGCTTTTTTTGTGTGAATAACTTCTTGTGTTTTTGCTATCTTTTGGGTCTAATAGAACTTTAGGTCCTTGTCGATAATCTCTTTATAATTCCTTCCTGCCTCCATTTCAGGTGTAAATATATCAGATGATATATCTTATACTGATCCTGTAAAAATGGGTTAGTTGCATAAAAAGTCTATTTATTTTTTATATTTTTTCTAACGTGATCTCTCTCTATCCTTAATTCTTTTTGTCCCATTTTTTAAATTTCTAAATTTTTTAATGTATTCCTTCCTATGGTTTTTCACTAATTTTTGACCAAACACTGGACAAACATAACATATAGCAAAAATTTAACATATATAATGTCATGGCAGGTAAAATTAATGGGTGAAAAAAAAATTAAAAAAATAAAAATTTAACTAAAACAAATAGAGAAATACTCTTTAGTGACAAAGATTAATGCCTGTTTTATTCCTTAATTAAGGTAGTAAGATAAAACCAGCCCTCAAAATTATGGTTAGCTGTAGGCATTTGGTGATTCGATTTCGGTTTCAATTTGCATAAATGCCATTTGGTTTCGATTAACTGAATTAAAAAAAAAAAAAAAAAACCCGAAATATCATGCATATGCATATTAGTGAACGGAGAAACTACACGTTTGGGAAGTATTGGGGGTGATATGCTTGAAATTATGGTTGAGGAACTAATATGAATAAATAAATAAATTTGGAGGACTTCGTGAATAATTTACCCCTTCACCATTCTCTCGGTGCCTTTAAAAACGACTGGAATCTTAAACCCTTAGGTCTTTGACCCACGAAAAAGCGGAAAAGAACTCTCTTTCTCTCTGCACAACAAAATATGGCAATCTGTTTTCTTTCTCCTTTGAAACCCATAACCCCAACAACTTCAATAACAGATCCGAATCCTAAAAAACCAAACCTTCTCCGCTGTAACTTGTCGCTGCCCACCATCATAACCGCCGAACCCGAACCCGTTTTCACCTCGGTCAGATCCTTCGCACCTGCCACTGTCGCGAACCTTGGCCCCGGTTTTGATTTCCTTGGATGCGCCGTCGATGGGCTCGGCGACTTCGTCTCTCTCCGTGTCGACCCCTCCGTCCACCCCGGCGAGCTCTCCATCTCTGATGTTTCGGGCTCCAAAAACTCTCCAAAAACCCACTCTATAATTGTGCTGGGATCGCTGCCATTGCCACCATGAAAATGCTCAGCATTCGCTCCGTAGGGCTCTCTCTTTCCCTCGAAAAGGGCCTTCCTTTAGGATCCGGACTCGGATCCAGCGCGGCCAGTGCTGCTGCGGCTGCTGTGGCGGTGAATGAGCTGTTTGGAAGGAAATTGGAGGTGAAAGATTTAGTCTTGGCTGGATTGGAGTCTGAAGCTAAAGTTTCAGGTTACCATGCTGATAATATAGCACCAGCAATAATGGGTGGTTTTGTTTTGATCAGAAGTTATGATCCATTGGAGTTAATGGGATTACAATTCCCAGTTGAAAAAGATTTGATCTTTGTGCTTGTTAGTCCTGATTTTGAAGCACCAACTAAGAAAATGAGGGCTGCATTGCCTGCTGAAATAGGGATGCCACACCATGTATGGAACTGTAGTCAAGCAGGGGCTTTGGTGGCTTCAGTGTTGCAAGGGGATTTGGTGGGGTTGGGAAAGGCACTTTCGAGCGATAAAATCGTGGAGCCTAAAAGGGCTCCTTTGATTCCTGGTATGGAAGGAGTTAAAAAAGCGGCTCTTGAGGCAGGGGCTTTTGGATGCACCGTAAGTGGGGCGGGGCCGACTGCGGTGGCAGTGGTGGATAGCGAGGAGAGAGGGTTGGAGATTGGGGAGAAAATGGTGGAGGCTTTTTGGAAAGTAGGGAATTTGAAGGCGGTTGCTGCTATTAATAGGTTAGATAGAGTTGGTGCTAGACTTGTTGGTAGTGTTCCTAGATAATGAAAGTTTGAATTGCACCACCAAGTAGAGGAGAGGGGCTTGTTTAGTGTTAATGCAGCTGGTTTTATGAATAATATAGACATGTTTTTGCTCTCTTTTGGGTCTAATGCAACTTAGGGTTCTTCTCTGTCATTCATTATCTCATTATGATTCCTTCATGCCTCTGTTTTGGTAATGCAGTTGGAATTACGAACTCCTATCCTTTTGTTGTACATTGGAAATTTCAGAGAGTCACAGCAGATGGTATAAATGCCATTGTCTGGTCTATATATGTCCCTAGCATAAGGAGACCCTACTTGACTCTTCCATCTGGGAAATAAAACCTTCTAATTCTCATACATCATTTACCATCCCTGCTCTTAGCTAACATGATGTGAAGGGTATTCAAGAACTTCAAAATAGAGTAGGAAAAAGAACTTCGAAGTCTGTAAAATAAAATCATGACAAAAGGAAGGAAAAATTGATGATGTATTTTTTCTACAAAAATAAAACAGAACAAATAAAGCAACAGTCAAAACTTTTTCTATTCATAGGTGTTCGGATTCAGTTTTCCTTGGCAGCTGCAGCCTGCTTTGCACCGACGGCAAAGAACTCGGATATCACTTCCAAAGGCATGCCCTTGGTCTCTGGAACTTTCAAGAAGACAAAGACAAACGATATGATGCAAACGACTGCATACAAGCCAAAAACACCAGCAAGGCCAATAGATTTAAGCATCACTGGGAGTGTATACGTCACAATGATGTCGCCAATCCAGAATGTAAGGGCACATATGGCTATGCAAAGGCCACGAACGCGAGTAGGGAAGATCTCTGCACATAGTATGTTGGGAATTGGCCCAAAACCCATGACGAAAAAACAGAAGTAGAGCACAACGCTAACAGTTGAGATTGATGCATTAGCAACACTGCCCATATCCACCAAGCTTCCAAGGACCAACAAAACGAGGGATAAGATCAACACAGGGATGGTAACGAGCAGCAAAGTCCTGCAAAACACAACAGCACTAAGGATATTGGGGGAAAAACAGGGACAACAAAGGGATAATGCACATGAATCACAGCTGCTGCTGCTTTTTTTTCTTTTTTTTTTTAAAATCCAGTCAAGGGAGGAAAAGAAGAAAATGGAAATACCTTCTCCCGGAGATATCCATGAGCCTCATGGCAACAGCTATGCAAGGGAGCATCAACAAGGTTGTAAGGGCGCTGATAAGCAGAGATGTAGAAGCTGAACTAAGGCCCAAGTTTGAAAGAAGAACTCCAACTCCTGCCTGCTCAAGAATTTGAGGAGTATAGTAGAGAACCCCATTTATGCCAGCGAACTGCATAGGCACACAAATTTAGAAGCAACTTGTGCAGAAGTGAAACAAAACCTTAAAGCAGTATAATGTCTCCATTAACCAAATCACTATGCTTCAAACTTTAAGGCATAGTTGTAGAAAGGAAAAGAAGAAAATGATGGTATGGGAGTGTCGTATCCATTCGTTTAAACCATTCTCTGCTATTAAAATTTAGAAAATGTCTCTCTTGAAGAAAACAGAACAGATGCTAGGATAAATGTGCTACCATCATAAAGACCAAAAGAGGAGTCACTAAATTAACTTCATCACAAAAACCCGAGATCAGTAGACTCCATTTCATACCTGCTGAAGTATTTGAAGCCCCACCCCAACAGCCAAGGCATGCTTGACTCCTGGTTCGAAAAGATCCCTCCAGCTTGGTCCTTTAGCTGCAGTTTCGGATGGGTGGACCATAGCTGGTCCAACTGGATGCTCATTCACAAGCTCCTTGGGATAAAGAGCTGATTGACTCACCAAAGCAGCAGCCTGGATGTATTCACCGTCTGCATGGGCATCAGCACCACTCAGAGAAACCAGAGATCCACGCCGAGAACCAGGGGCTCCCTCTTGATGCAAATAAATTCTCTTAAAGCCTCCTTCCTTCTTCCCATCTTGGCTTTCTTTCTCGGACCATTTCCATGCCAGCTGCCAACCACCACCAATCCCTGTGTTACCAACTGGATCTCCTGCATTTCCTGTTATCAGACTCCCTTGTCTCATGTTTGACACGCTTCCATGGGCAGGTGGGACCATGTCCTTGTCCATGCTTGTTGTCTGACGTGAGATCAATGGACTCTGCAAATTGTCATCAGAATCACCAGCAGCAGCATCAGATGCATAATCCTCACCCTCTCTGGCTTGGCTCTCCTCATCCCAATCTTCATTTCTAGGTTGATTCCCTCCAACACTGAACATGCTGCCAAAGTGAGGGAAAAGCATGCTTCTCATGCTTCCTTGTTCAGGGAGCTTCTCATGGACGCTACCAAAGAGGGTGACAAGAGGATCCATAAGAGGTAGGCTCTGGTTCACCATGCTTCCACGCCTAGACACAAGACCAATAGCACTCTGCCCACCGACAGGTCTGGCAACCCAGCTGTGACCTTGTTCAGGCCCATATAACTTGATCTGATCCTTGTCGGCAGATATATCATGGTCATCAATGAAATCGCTGGCAGGGCCAATTATGTATTCCTCTATTGATGTGTCAGTTCCTACTCCAAGTCCCTCGACCAGTAAAGCCAGTTCACCTGTTCATCCAAACAAGATTGTTCTCGTGAACATGATAATTCATTACCACCAAATTGTGAAAATAAACATCCTAAAGTTCAAGTATTGAGTGATTTCACACCATTTCCACCAAACATGACAGAATACTCAAACTTCAATGCAGGAAGTAGAGCAGTAATAGGAAACACTGCAATATTATCGCTCATAAGGAGCAAAGAGAACACAATTATTAAGAACTAAATTGACTATAGTAACCAAACCATCTATTTAAGTTGCTGTAAATTCAAACAAATGGTTCTCTCCTTTAGAAAAGCTAAAAGAAATACAAAAATAATGCTTTGATTTGACAGAAGGATATACATGGCAGGCGGGGGTCACTTGGTAAGGTTTCAGAGGGCAGGCTAGTGAAAGAGAGAGAAAGACTCAATGAAGAAGAAATAGGAAGGGCATTCCCCCACCACATGAGACAGAGTTGAGTCTATACATTACAGTATTTTGCAAGGCAGACAATGTAAGAACTATAACTAACACATGATTAGTTATGAACGAATATGGCCTAGGAAACTCTATATAAAGCATCTACAATATAGCAAAGTACAGGTATGTGATCCTTGAAATCAAATTCTGCTCACTTAAAACAGAATGCATTATATTTGAAGACAATGACATTTTGTAAAACAAACACAGAAGAGAAAGAATAGAACAGATTACAGTCAAGCGGATTTGTACAAACTTCCTAAAAATGACTATCAAGATTGCTATATGAATATATGATCCTTTGAATAGGCACACTATTGACTGATGGTCAATAGAATACCGAAAGCATAAAATTTCCCTTTGAAGGTAACAAATGTAATTCTCTGCTGAAATCTCACTGCCATTTCACAATTTTTATACAAGCAATGAAATCAAAACAAGAGCCTCTGAAAGCTTGCTTAATCATAATCCTTCTTGCAATTTATGATATAGTCTGAATTTTAAAAATTATCTATTATCTAGTCAATGAGGACAAGAATAAGAAAGTTTCATTATATTGCAAGGAAGCGGTAAAGAGATAAGAAGTGAGCTGAAGCAAAAATAGATTGAAGAAAATAACGTGTAGATACATTGTGCCTAGTAGTAGCCTAACAACTGAGCATCAGTGAGAGCAAAACAAATGAAGCCCAAACTGCCAAAGAGAATGATTGTTGAAATACAGAATGGTTGCTTCAACAGGAATCACATGAAAGAAGGGAAACTCTTAAATTTCAGAACTAAAATCACCCCACATTGAACAGAAAACTTTCATATTAAAAAGTCGAAGCATGCTCCTTTTCATACAAAAAATAAAATCCTAATATCTTTTCTCATTTTTCTGGGACAATTTCTGCATGAACTAAATTTCCAAAACTCTACTTTTGTCTAGCAGAAAGCTTTTACCTTATGTGTCATGTCACCCATCACTAGGCATATCATAACAATATTGCTATTAAACTCAAAATCCACGCAGATCACATATTTGTATCACCAGACAAAAGGAACAAATAACTTTCAAAGAGGCATAGCAGAAGGGCTAACCAGCGACATCTTCTCTGCCACGGAGCCTCTGCAAAACCCTCTTGGCCTCAAGCATTCGTCCTTTACTCACAAGCCACCTTGGCGACTCAGGCAAGAAAAATACAGTCAATAGAAAATAGATGATAGATGGAATAAAAAGAACTCCAAGCATCAATCTCCAACTTGGAGCCTCCGTCAAGGACATTCCAAACACCATGCAATATGAAAGAAACATTCCACCAGATCCGGTGAACTGAGGAAGGGTATTCAACAACCCCCTTATTTCTGGTGGTGCTGTCTCAGATATATAAACGGGAACAAGAGTAACTGCCAAACCAATGCCAAATCCGTCCAAAAGCCGTGCCAAGAGGAGAACATAAACATTAGGAGACCAAAACATTACAAGACCACTGACAAAATAAAGTACAGCTGAGATTATCATCAAAGGACGGCGGCCTAGCCAATCGGATATGGGTCCAGAACACATAGTAATTAAAGTGGCTCCAACAAGTGACGTAGCCACGATTAGTCCTTCAATAGTTGGTTCACTTTCCAAATGAAATTCCCTTTTTATGTATAGAACAGCACCTGAAAAAAAAAAAAAAAAAGACCTGATCACTTAGAATCAATAGCCAAAACACACAAGGTTCTAATTTAGAGAGCACTATATGTTAGCCAATTCAAGCAAGGTACAATTATCAAGTACTGAGGGAAGCAAATCTCAGTTGCTGTAAGTCCATCACAAAAGCAACTTAATGCATGTTGTGCAAGTGATCGCCATTGAAAGCTCAAGAAACCTTGAAGCATTTCAGGCCTTGACAGTAAAACAAGGAATTAAATTATCACAAGGGCAAAATTACCTGCGATGGTTGCATTATCCCATCCTTGCAATAAGTTGCCAATAGCAGCAGCAACAGCTACAAGCACAGCTCCCCTCATCTTTCCTTCAGCCAAGATTTCTTCTAAACTATAACCACGAACCGTACACTCACTCTGATACAGAAGATCCCAAAAATCACAGATCAAATGGTTGAAAACTTTATCGCTTTCCCAATTCAACAATACCAAATATTATTACAAGGTTCGATTCTTATGAGGTACGAGGATCTCAATTTGGCAGAGAAACAGACCAATCGATCAACACTATCACCCTAACAACCCGATGGACACTATGGAACAAAACAAAATAAAAATTAAATAAGAAAACATAAAACAAATGAAAAGGCAGATGTCCTAATCTAAAATGAAAACAAAACAAGTGGTTTTTTAAAAAAAAAATTACCCAGACGAGGAAGGAAAATAAGCAGAACCGTTAGATGGGTCCTTTCAGGTATCATCAGACGCAGAAAAGGCCATCATATCCTGTGTGCAAATTGCAATGACTTGGCGTCAAGAAAGTTGTCCTTAGTGAAGAGTTTTTTCTATTATTATTATTATAATTCAGGACAATGAAACCCAGATCTTTCTAGGTGGCAAATACCATAGAGAAGTTAAAAAGGAGAAGAATTTTGGCAAAAGGGAAGCAAAGCTGACGCCTTTCGAACTCGGACACCTGCCCCTTTATACCTCTCTATTTGCCCTGCACGTCACCACCTTCCTCGGATTGCTATTACTTCCTTACTATATATCATCGCTATCAAACCCTTATACGCATCACCACAAGAAAAGAAGGGTACCTCAATTTTTATATATTACAAAATTTCATATCAAAAAAGGAAAAGGAAAAAAGCTTGAAACTTTATAAAGGGAAATCACCGTTTGGGAAGATTCTGGTGTGATTTATGAAAAAAGAAACAATAATGTTGAAGAGTACAGGGGGGCTGAAGGGGATCAGTCCAAGATCCAATGTGTAAGTCTGGACTCTGGAGATTGGAATCTTGTGGTGTGACCACTGGCTAACGATTTGGTGTCTAACCAAATAATTTACGCAATCAAAGACACAGATTGCGTCAAATTTTCTTTCCTTTGTTAATCATGTGACATTAGCAAATGAGGATTCCACCTTCTGTATTACCAAAGAGACAAAAGCTATTGACTCATAGGCTCATAGCTGAAGCCGTCAAATTTTAATTAATTATTATTATTATTTTTTTTTAAGAAACAAAGTTTACAATAACGTCGTACCTGTACAAGTGACATCAAATCGTTAGCCTGCTCTCGTCTGGTCTGTCCTCTCTTTATAGCTTGCAAAATTGTGAAAAAAATAAATAAATAAATAAACGTAAATTAGTCTCTATTTCGCCCCCAAAATAATATTTAACATCAAATTTGATCCTTCAAGTATCAGAAATTGTCAATCAAGTCTTTCCTTCATATTCAATTGTCAGAGCCACGGCCCTTGAAAAGGAAGGAAAGTAGGAAGGAAGAGCAGAAGATGCGGGAACTTCGTTTACTAGTTAAGGGCATGGTGCGGGATCGATGAGAAAAAATAGGGAACAGCTTCACTGACAATTTTAGTGCTATTTGCTCTCAATTATTTGTACTTGGGACCCACCACCTATTTTGCGTTGGGTCCCACTCATGATATGTTGGTGTTTAATAATGCTACGATTAAAGTGGATTTGATTATGATTTAACGTCTGATCACAATCAAATTGAACTTTTGATTTTAGCTTGGTATCAGGTTTAATCAATTTCATCTTGTCTGATTGCGAGGTTTAACCGATTTCGTGTGGAAAAAAATTATTCGTGTTCCCGTAATTTCATCGAATTGGTTTTTTATGTTAAATCGATTTGAACGTTTATTTTTCAAAAATAATATGAAATGATCTTGATGGAGGTAATAAAAAAATTTAAATAAAATAATATTAAATTAAACGTGATTAATACTAATCAATAAGTTATATAATTAATTTTTTAAAACAATAAAAATTAATTAATTTATATCTCAAAATTAAATGGACTAATTTATAATTTACTCCTCAAAACATATTGCAACTCTCCTCCTAGTAGATAAAAAAGAAAATGACGCTTGAGGTCGTAACCTAACGGTTGAGGGCTTGTCCCGATGACCATCCGAGTTTGACTCTCTCTACGTACATCCGTCACCCCTGCGATGCCTTATCCGTTCATTGGACTTGTAGGGTGTTTAGTAGGTCCAGGGGTTAGTCATGGTATATGCAAGCTGGCCCGAACACCTTGGGATATAAAAAAAAAAAAAAAAAAAGAAAAGGTTAGTTGGTATTTATTTATGTGAGAAAAAAAAAAGGAACAAAATATTGAAATGGAAGAGCCGCGAAGAAAAAGTAGTGAGAAGAAAAATTATAAATCTCCAGAATCAAACAGAAGAATCTCAATCCTATATTATTAATTAATTATCTCACAAAAGTCTATTATGCAAAGCATAAAGGCAAAGCACAAAGTAATTAAGATGGAAAAAGCAAATACATAGATTAGTAAAGAATGCGCATTAGCTGGTTAATTAATCAATGAAAAAGCATTAATTATCAGGGGGAATGTAGGATGTTCAATGCATGTGGGCCATGCAATACATATAGTAAGATAATTAAAGCTACAATCTTTGAAAAAATTGAAATAAAAAAAGGGGGGAAATGGCATCATGCGGTACGGTCAGAATATTACTCATTTGAATTGAAGCTGAAAGGGCAAGCAAATAAAAAGAATAAAGCTGTCCGCTAAGTCACCACTAATTAATCACACTAACCATTCAGACAAATCCAGTGGGAAACATTTGCTAGGCTGGAGGAGGAATAGATGCTGAAATAAGTCAGTTTTCCAATTATTGGAAATTATTAGATTTTGAATAAACGACAACATTCTAAATCAAATTACTTTGCTCATCATATTCATTGATTGATTTTTTTGTTCAATCTTATGGTTTGCCTCCGCGTTTCAGTGTTTGTGATCCGCAATTGATTTTGATTTTGATCTTGTTCGAGTGTTTTTAATTCAATTAATTTGTTCTTATGTTATCTAATTTGAATCCATTAAGATTAGCTAGAAATTTTTATCTGAATCCGATGTTAATTTTAGATGAAGTGGGATAAAATGGGTTGAAAGTAAAGAGAGAGAAATGTTTTTTTAAAAAAATGGATGACACTTTCGAGACAAATTAAAATAAAAACACAAAAAGATAAAAATCATCTAAGATTTTCCAAACATTCCTAATATATATATATATATATATATATATATAATTAATATTAACTAGGAGTATTTTAGGAAAACACACTGCTTAAGATCTTGACCGTGTAAGTATTTTAAAAAATATATATATATATATATATATATATATATATATATATAAAAAAGAAAGACAATTTATTTGGGATGGAGGACCTCTGTTTTAAATAAATTGTTTTTTCTTTGACTTTCTACGCATAATAAGAAAGTTATTAATCATTATTTGTTATCAACATATTTTGTTCCTACTTTCCTAAAATGTCTTCATTTTTTTCAAAAAAACTGTTAGTCATCAAATTTAATATCTCTTTGGAACAAAAAAGAGTATTTTATTTTGACTATCAAAATTCTAAAAAACTTAAAAACGAGCTAATAAAAACACAAAGTAAATAAATTATATCAAAATTCATCAAATTATCAAATTGAATCATTGATTAATTTTTCACACATCATTTTATTATTATTGAGTTGCTTTATTTTGTCTTCTCTTGCACCAATACTGATTTAAAAAAAATTATAAAAAATAAGCTTTTTTAGAACAAATCCTAAAACATTGGTTAAACTTTTTATTATTTTTTTCTTGTTTATAGATAAACTCTAGCAAGGTATTTAAACCACTTCTAAATTGTATAGTATTATATTGGTACTTTATAACTTTTTACATAAATTAAAAAGGTTATTAATTGTTATGTTACACCAATTTTTTTTTTTCAAACATTCTACACATGCATATATATATATATATATATATATATATATATATATATATATATAGAAAGACAGTTTATTTGAGACGGAGGACCTCGGTTTTAAATAAATTGTTTTCTTTTACTCTTTACACATAATAAGAAAGTTATTAATTATCGTGCATTGTCAACATATCTTGTCCGTACTTGCCTAAAATATCTTCCTTTTTTTAAAAAAAATTGTTAGTCATCAAATTTATTGCATAACACAAATCTAACATTAATTATCGATGTTTTAGGAAAGCATACTAGTTAGATTTTTTACCATACAAGTAATTTAGTATAAATATAAATAGACAGAGAGACAATCTCTTTAAAATAGAAAGAGTATTTTTATTTTGACTATCAAAACTCTAAAAAGACTTAAAAACAAGCTAATAAAAAAAACATAAAGTAATTGAATTGTATCAAAATTCATCAAATTATCAAATTGAATAATTGATTAATTTTTTACATATTATTTTTATTATCGTTCAGTTACTTTATTTTGTCTTCTCTTGCACCAATACTGATAATATTGAAAAGGGCAACGTAAATTAATAAAATATAATTTATACAATTTTTATTTGCTCGTTATTAACTTATATTCATGGCACATATACACGTGAAATAGAAGAGAAATATTTTAAATAAAAAAGTTTCATAATAATACATCATCAATTGAAAATATTTGAGTAATTACTATTTTTAAGAATTACATATATTCATCCTAACTATTAATGATTGATTATTTTGACTATCAAAACTCTAAAAATACTTAAAAACAAGCCAATAAAACACATATAATATTAAAATATGAACATAATTAAACTATTGTTTATTTGTTGGATTTAGGGTATGTTCTCTAATATCCCTGCGACTTGCATTTCAGGATCATAGACCGTAGAGTTTTTTAGCCTCTAATAATGTATTAAATTAAATATTTAAGATTGGAATTGATTTATAAAACTTAAACTTTATGGTAGATGGTCGATTTGTAACTTTATATATCATTTATTAATTGTTTAATTGTTTAATATACAATATGTTCTCTAACAATAAGCTATTTTTGGTTATTTTATTTTATTATTTTTTACTCTAAATAAAAACCGATAATATTTAAAAAGGCATGATTTTAAAATATGATTTATAATTTTTTTATTGACATACACATTGTTAATTTATATCCACGTCACGTATAATTGAAAAAAAAATAGCTCATAATAATATAATATTATGCAAAAAGTTTTGAATATTATAATTTCTAAGACTTATATATATTTATCTTAACTATTAATCACGAAAATGTGAAAGATAAATCGATTTTTTACTTACAGTTTTAAATTAAAAAATTAATTTGATTTAAATTATCAAAATTTATATAAAATTATTAAAAAATAAAAATTATTTAGTAAACATTAGATGCTATTCATTTATAAATAATTTTAAACAGTCTATTATAAATTATAAAAGTTAGTTAAATCATAGACGTACGCACATGCTATGAGAATCGCAATAAAAAAAAAAAAGCCTTCCATTAATTTTTTTTTATCGGATGAGAATTGAACCGAGTATGGATCATGCATGCATGGAATTGACAAACAAATATTTACTTCAAAAAAAATCTACGACAAAAGCATTACTTTTCGTAAATCCAAAAGCCAAAATTCCGAACCTTGAATCTTAAATTCTCCTCATCAATCTAACTAACCAAAAGCAAGCCGTCCATACCTAAAAATTCATAAAGAACTTTGATTTGATGGTCTAATCTCGAATAGGAAGCTTGGCGTACATAAATGATGGCAGGATTATGTGGTAGATCATTAATAGCGAATTCTCTTCTCGGTGGGTTTTAAGCATGAACAGGCTTTATCCTCTCTTGGTGTTTTGGGCCCTTTTGGAGTTGAGTTCGAGTCTTGTTCTTTCTTTATAAGAAAGAAGACACAGGCCAAGCCTAGACAAGACATAAAATTCGAAAGATGGGTTAGTGGGTTCAGTTTGGTTTGGTTTGGTCTTGGTGAATCAGAACAGCATAAAGTGTGTTTTGATTTGCGCCATAAGTTTGGCATCGGAACTGCGTACGTGTAAGAATTGGCAGCAAGAGAACAAGTCAGGTCTTTTTGCCTCCTGCTGCTCCTTCTAGTTAAACCCTTGAAAAGCCTCTCCTCCCCGTGCATACTTCTCTATCTATAGTCTGTAGTATTTCACGGGAGTTTTGGTTCCAGTTTAGCAAACCCATATATAAAAGAAGGGTCTTTCTTTGCTTTTTGGTTCAAGTTTTAAACTTGAAGAGAAATGTGGCTTCTTTTCTTTTCTTTTCAATAAATAAAGAAAGAGAATAAAAAAGGAATTGATCCAAGAGGAGTGCAGGAAATGAGAGGAGTTCAACAAGGTGGGAGTAGTCTTGTGGAGGAGTTCTCACCTGCTTACTATGGACTCTGTACTGTTGGAGGAATGCTCAGTGCTGGTTCTACTCACCTTGCTATCACACCTCTTGATGTTTTGAAAGTCAATATGCAGGTGATTACTTGCGTATTTTTTTCCCCTTTTCTTTTTATTTAAATGTCTTGTTTTTTTCCCCCTCTTTGTAACCTGTCTTGATCATCAGCACATTGTAAGCCTTGGTTGTTTTTCTTTTTTTGGGCAGTTGTTGTATTTATGTGATTGTACGGCATGTTGGGGTGTTAAAGTTTTGACTATAAGAGGGTTTTGGTGGGTTTTAGCTCATTCATTCTGGAAGTGGTGGAGTATGGAGTTTGTTTTGCTAGTTGTAATTAGGATTTTCCATTAAGGGCTTAGAGAAAATTTTTCTGATCACGCTCTCAAGGATTTCATGGTGGCCTTTGGGTATGCTAGTTATTTATGCTTAATACTGGTGTTTCCATTTCTTAATTATTGTCATTATTTAATTCCTTGATTTTGTCTTTTCTATGACGGCTGTCGATTATGTGTTGTTATTTTGCCTATGTTTCCTTTAGGATCCCGAAACTTTATTCACTTCTGAAACTTTTGTTTATTAATTTGGCTAAAGAAGCAACAATCTTTTTCGTTATCCCATTTCAAAGTTTCAACAGTAAAAATGACCTTTTAAGAAAATATTTCCAAATTACAAAAGTCTGTCATTCATTTCTTTGGCAATTGGAAGTAATCCTGTCGTCTCTTTTCCACTATTTTTCTTCTTTTTCTCCATTTTCCACTTTCTCTGCTACATAAAAGTTTTGAGGCCACTCTTTTAATATATACTTTCTCAACTACAGGCGAATCCAATCAAGTATAACAGGATTTTGTCAGGGTTCTCTACCCTCTGGAAAGAACAAGGCCCTTCTTCCCTTTGGAGAGGTTGGTCTGGCAAGCTCTTTGGATATGGTGTTCAAGGTGGCTGCAAATTTGGCCTTTATGAATACTTTAAGAGGCTTTACTCAGGTGTCTTGGTGGATCAAAACAGGAATTTCATATTCTTTTTCAGCAGTGCATCTGCTCAAGTATTTGCCGACGTGGCTCTCTGTCCATTTGAAGCTGTCAAAATTCGTGTCCAAACACAGCCCAAATTTGCAAAGGGCTTGGCTGATGGGTTTCCAAAACTCTATAAAGCTGAAGGACTCACTGGGTAAATTACCTGAAAACTTGATGATCTTTTCTTTTATCCTTCTCCCATTATGTTTACTGTCATATCATTTGTGCAGTTTTTACCGGGGACTTGTCCCGCTATGGGGCCGCAATCTTCCATGTATGTAATATCACTGTTTCTCTGCATTCTTGGGATTCTTTTCTTTTTCCTCTCGCTATTTTCTTGGTTTATAATTTAGGTGTCAAGCTATTATAATTATACAAGACTTCTATACTTGTGCAGCTAAACATTTTCATTCATTTAATTTGAGTGACTACCGGTACTAGCCAACCAAGAGAATGTTATTTCAATGAATGGCATAATAGCATCTCCTACTTGTAATAATAATCAGTTTCTGTTCTATTAACCTTCTTTTGCATCTATATGCTGTCTACTTCCATTTATTTAATGCAGGAAAAGAGTGGCATGCCTCGAACGGGGATGATAAACATTATACCTTTTAGGATTGGAGGTTAGGGTCCCTTGTGAATTGAAGTGATAGCATACAATATTTAGTTTAATTAAAGCTATTGTAAAGTAGCAATACGTGAAGAATTTTATTACTTCTGTAACTTATTAGGCATGGATTCCTAAGCAAGAAAAACTAAACAAAGACCTGTGCAAGAGCCAGTTAAGCAATCTAATAAGAAATTGAGACTTACCAGCTTAGGTAGAAGCATAAGTTCTTGCCACTGCATGATAGGAACCTTATTATTATGGCACTTCAGAGATTCAAGTGACAATGGGAGGACTGCCAATCAGTGGGGTGCCTTTTTGGAGCAACTTACTATAAATTGACAGGGATTGTTGCCTTGATGAATTACTTGAGCTTGTGTTTGTGTGTTTATTTATTTATGTTCAGAAAGCTTTTCAACCTTTGCTTGCTTATTGTCGTGATTGGCAGTCTCAATGGTAATGTTTACAACATTTGAGCATTCAGTTGACCTGATATATCGCAACATTATTCAACGGAGAAAAGAAGACTGCTCCAGAAGTCAACAGCTTGGTGTGACATGTTTGGCAGGCTATGCCGCTGGAGCTGTTGGTACTGTAATTTCTAATCCTGCTGACAATGTTGTAAACTCTCTTTACAATAAAAAGGCTGAAAATGTGCTTCAGGTATGACTTGTAGGTTAAACACTAATGCTTTCTGTGAACTATGCATTATAAGAGATTGATTGCATTGGATACAACATTTCTCAGGCTGCAAAGAATATTGGACTAACTAAGCTTTTCACTCGAAGTCTCCCTATTCGGATCACTATCGTGGGGCCTGTAGTTACTTTGCAGTGGTTCTTCTATGACACCATCAAAGTACTAAGTGGACTGTAAGTGTATCTCATTTATCATGCCATATCACAGATTCACGAGATCAAAGATATCTTTTTGCTTCTTCTGTCAATGTTGGACCCCGAATGAGCGATAAGGATCTGTAGAATCATAAAATATGTATAGGTTATTAGTTGAACGACTAGAATTGACACTGCCATGATTCTTAAGAGAATCATGTCTTTATTAGAAGAAAATTGTCTGGAACTTTTTGCCATTGAGCTTAGGGTTTCACAAAGGAGATTTCAGTCTTTTTCTTTTTTTTTTTTACCCCTGTTCTCTTCTGTTAACAAGGCATTTATAGCCGCAGGTGGCATTTTGTTACTCAACTAATAAGTACGAGCAGTTAAGGTTCCTTCTATAGCACCCTCAAGAGGTTCTGTTGATACTGAATGGAGGATTGGTATATATATTTCCCAGCAGTCCATCTTGGTACTTGAAACAATGATACTGGAAGATGCCCTTGATATGTTAAGTTCAACCTACTAAAAGGTTTTCACATAGGCACCTTGAAGATAACCTTTTATGACTTTACCAAATGTAGCTTACAACATAATAGAGCATTTTGCTTTCTGCAACATATCCTGTCACAGCATGCAATAGGTTATGCTCTAAATAGCCAAGTGTTTGAGATACGGGCTCCTTGTTGATTTGTGTTCTTGAATTATTTTTTGGGCTTGTCACACATATATTATCCCTATTGTTCATTCTACCTGACATTTAATTGAAATTACTTCAGGCCTACCAGTGGAGAGCTTGGCAGACATCAGAAAGACACCAACCTGTTAGCTTAAAGTCGGGGAAGTCTGAAACTGAAGTTCCATTGAATCGTCGTCTCCAAATACGAAAGATAATTCCAACTTGTGGCATTTGATAGTTTTCTGATCCAGACATAGTTTTTCTCCTGGTCCAGCTTATACATCGTATTATGTCAATTTTCTCTATTCTTTGATTATCTCTTTTCCTTTTCGTTACAGTCGCAGCTCATAGCTGATAAAATTGCACTGTAATCCTAAACCCTCCCATAATTATAATCAGTGGGAGTGGGAGTTTTCTCAGTTCGGTTAGATAAGTAATATGTTTAGCTACTTAAAAATGTCAATTTGTCATTGGAGATGTACACAGACGATGTGTACTTTTCTCCATTCTATCATCAACTTTAAAAGGCCAATTTTGTTTCCCACTGAACGTTTAGTGATTTTGTCTTGTTTGATCTCAATTCATGCATAGAGTAGGACAGCAGGGTTGTCTTTCATGTTGTCTTGCAATTTTTTTCCCCACTGTCATGAGTTGAAAGATTTGACTGTTGACCAAAAATATTGAAAAGAACTCTCCTGTCCCTTAAGAAAGCTAGAATTACTTTCTCTGCAAAGTAAATCCTTTTCTTGTGTCAAAACTGTAACTTTCATCTAACAAACAAAGGTGTGGCCTTAGATGGGATTTCCCTTTTATCTCCTTTATTTTGTCGGATACGCTAGCAGCCATTAACCATCACAACTTTCTCCCGTCTTAGAAAATGCAGTCTTTTGTTTTTTTACTGAAAAGTCCATGAGAGAGAGAGAGAGATCCATGGAATCTCAATATATATATATATATAACACAATTCGCGCAGGTGTGTAATGTCCAATTGCATGGAAGAAGTTGGTGGATGGATGATGACGTCAGAAAAATCACAAACATGATAGCGAATGACTCTAGCTTGGGGTTTCAGGGATGTTTCCTTGCTTGCACCAGATGGGCCTTACCTAGAGTGAATCAGTCAGTCAAGATTGCTTGATTGAAGGAGTCAGTCAACTTGGCCAACTCTGATGCAATGTGCCAATTGCCATTTACCATTGCCTCCTCCTCATCTTCTATTCTATAGGGGTATAACTTTTCTTCTTTATAATTTTCAAATGAATGAGCTAGATGGGCAATTTTCTATTGTTGACTATTGGCTGGCCAGTCAGCCATTCACCTTGGAAGAAAAGATGAGAAATTTTAGGTTAACAATCCCTTTTAATTTGACTAAATCGAAAGATCTTGTAATATAATAATAATAATCTCTTGTAAAAGATAATATAATTTTAAATCTTAATAAATTAATTCTATTAAGAATTTTGAACGTATGAGTTAAAAAAATAAAAAATGGATGCAAGTTTGACCTCAACAACGGAGATCAATTTTAATTCCACATGCACCTCTCTAATCCATCCTAAATACCAGTAGATACCTTCATTACCTTAATAGCTTTGTGTAAATAATTTAAAGCAGATTTTTTTTTTTTTTGGCAAGTTCTGACCAGTGCATGCCTCCCGGAATCCAAAGATGAAAGATGCACTTAAAAAAGAAATGAAATATAATTAGATGCTCTTTATCTTTTGTGGATAATTGGAATGTAAATTGCTCAAAATAAAAATGTTAATAGCCAAGGAAAAAAAATTCAAGATTTCCAGAAATGGTAGCATAAAGGTTGTGAGAGTAAGGTTGAGAGGAAACGATGAGTCTTGTCTAAAATTAGAACTTAAAAGCTAAGTTTATCTCTGTTCAAACTAACAGTAGCTGCAATATTTTGACCAAACCATCCTCAAAAAAGAAAACTGAAATCCATGTTGTCAGAGAAGACCAGTATCTCCAACAGAGCGTGAGAGCTACGCACCAATGAAGTTTATTTGGGTAGCCAGCAGGATTTGCTCTTCAAGCACAAGGTCAAAGATGGAACCTTGTTGGTTGGTTAGCATTTCCTGGAGGGAACTTCGTAATAATAGAGAGAGAGAGAGAGAGAGAGAGAAGAGTAGGGGTAATTACTATTCTTATCCAAAAAAAAAAAAAAGAAAAAGAAAAAAGGAACAAAAATAAAAATGGAGGAGATTAAAGAAAACTGTTGTAGTAATGACTTGATTGGAAGGTAAAAACTAAAGAAAACATGTAAAGCCGCGTGCCCTTTCTTCCACCAAAAAGAAAATAAAAAAAGAGAAAGAAAAACAAGAAGGAAAAGAAGTTAGCTGGTCAGCACTCTCCAATCCGATGTTTCTCAGCAACAACATCAAACCCCATTTAATATTCGTAAGATCACATTAATAAACAAACAACTCCCCTGTTGTGTTATGTTTTATACATTGGTTTCTTCTCATTTCTTCCATTTTTCTTTCTCCTACGTACAACTCAGATCCATCCTTTCTTTCCCTTGTATAATTCAAGACAAAATATAGGTAAGCACTTAATCTATCATGTGCTTTCTTATGTTTAAATCCTGTCACTTTCTTTAAATAATTTCTAATTTCCTTGTTGGGTTTGTCTACCTTTGTAATTTGTGATGATATTCGTCTGTGAAGATTTGTTCTTGTGGGGTTTTGACTGGTAGTTTCATCATCATCTTTTTTATTTATTTTGATACAAAATCTTTCATTTTGTTTAGCTTTTTTTGTTCCCTTCATTGGAAAATGGAGAGGGTATTCACTTTCTGATGAAACAAACTGAACAGTTGGCTTGATCTGATGTTAGATACTTTCTAATCTTGGATTGGATTTGTCTGCTTGTGTATGCGCCTACAAACACATGTATAGATTATGTGCACAATAGTATTAATATTTTAGTGTTTCGATGTGTCAAGTTTCTAAATTTGTATTTGCGTTATTAATTATGATGTAAAATTCGTTCTTGCAGCGTAATTGATGAGACCTCATTAGATGAGGACAAGGTGGTGAAGTGATTAAAGGGAATCGTGGTTGTTCCATGGGCAATACATGCCGTGGATCTTTCAAAGGAAAACTTTATCAGGGCTACAATCAGCCCGACGAGCAATCCACCACCACTGCCTCCAATTCCAAGCGCAACGCCTCCTCTGATAACTCCAATTCTGAGCATTCCCAGTCTAGCCTAACCTCCCAAGAACTCATCCAGAAAAAGGACAGCAATTTACCTCTCATTAGCCCCAACAAGAAAGATACGATGATGAGGCGCAGTGTTGATAACCAGGCTTATTATGTTTTAGGCCATAAAACTGCAAACATTCGTGATCTTTACACTTTAGGTCGTAAATTAGGACAAGGACAATTTGGCACTACTTATTTATGCACTGATATTTCTACGGGGATTGAGTATGCTTGCAAATCTATATCCAAAAGGAAGTTGATTTCCAAGGAGGATGTCGAGGATGTTCGGAGAGAGATTCAGATAATGCACCATTTGGCAGGTCATAATAATATCGTGACCATTAAGGGTGCATACGAGGATCCATTATATGTCCATATTGTTATGGAGCTTTGCTCTGGAGGAGAGTTGTTTGATAGGATCATCCAAAGGGGGCATTACAGTGAGAGGAAGGCAGCTGAGTTGACTAAGATCATTGTCGGGGTTGTGGAGGCATGTCACTCACTAGGGGTTATGCATCGAGATTTAAAGCCTGAGAACTTCTTGTTGGTGAATAAGGATGATGATTTCTCACTCAAAGCTATTGATTTTGGACTCTCTGTGTTCTTCAAACCTGGTATTCAACACATCATTTGCATTTTGTTGAATTATCAGCATATCGAGATACTAAAGATGATCTTATAAAAAATTATCAAGATATTGCATACTATTTCTTATGAAATGTTTCTACCAAATAGAATGCATGTTTTACCTATTAATAACTCTCCACATGTTAAATTATGTCTCTTATGCTTGATGGTATTCGTTCGGTTCGAATGAATTAAATGATTAATTTTTTGCATACCTCTAATTGCTTGACAAGTATAGCGAACTTATGTAACACTTTGCTCCTCCAAAGACCTGAAATCTAATTCTTGAGATATAGTAATGTGTCACGAAACCTTTTATTACATGGTAAAACAATGTAATCTCGAGTATTGAGGCTTATATGTGGTTTGCTACTACAGGTCAAGTTTTCACTGATGTTGTGGGAAGCCCATATTATGTTGCTCCAGAAGTACTCCTCAAGCACTATGGGCCAGAAGCAGATGTGTGGACAGCTGGGGTCATATTGTATATATTGCTAAGTGGAGTACCACCATTTTGGGCAGGTAGGTGTTCTTTGGGATACTGCTATAAAAAAAAGTTTTTATTCTTTGTGCAGTTTACTGAAAATTTCGTCCGTTTGGATTTCAGAAACACAACAAGGAATATTTGATGCTGTGTTGAAGGGATATATCGACTTTGACTCAGACCCATGGCCCCTCATATCAGACAGTGCCAAAGACCTCATCCGGAAGATGCTTTGCTCTCAACCCTCAGAGCGTTTGACTGCTCACGAAGTGCTATGTATGTCTGACCTTTCAATAATTTCTTGTGTATGCGATTGATAAGCGGGTAGGCTGCTATCAATTTGGATTTCGCTTTCTGTGTTTATTGTTACTGCAACATAAATGCTAGACAGCAGAATGGCTAATAAAGGATGTGTATTGTGTAGTCTCTGTGGCCCTCACTGTGTTTGCAGTGCTAATAACAATTATGACTTTCCTTTCGGGTTCCTCTTAGGTGAATCAATTTAGGTTGCAATCAATGCCCGTACATCATATTGTCCTTGAATTACTGCATTAGTTATACTGATTTTTCAATTCAATGTTGTTCTGGAACTCACTGCTCTCTCAAGTAGGTTCATTAGTAAACATAATTTTGCAGAGTCTGCAACTTTTGGATTCAGATCCAGAATCATTATGCTATTGCGGGAATTCCTTTTCTGCATAGTTTTCTTTCTTCATGCTTTATTTGATTTTCAGCTAAACTCTAGGTCAAACTGACATCTGTTGGCTTTAACCAGGTCACCCATGGATATGTGAAAATGGAGTTGCTCCAGATAGAGCACTGGATCCTGCTGTGCTTTCTCGTCTCAAGCAGTTCTCTGCAATGAATAAATTAAAGAAGATGGCTTTACGGGTAAGTGCATTTGTATGTTCATGCAATGAATTTTTGAGCATTCTAGATTCTAGTTGACACACTTCATGGAGAATACTTAATCACTAGGCAAATACGGATGGAGGCACTAGTTACACATATGTGTACTCATCCTCATATTGTTTTTGTTGTTTCCCGGTTACCTACTTGCACCTATGAGCAGTCTATCATTTAGCTGGAAAGCATACTTACTTGGCTTTGAAACTTACTTTGCTAATTCTGAAGCCAGAGGGTTGATCTTAACTTGTCATGTCATAGATTCAACTCTTTATACCATACACATTCTGATGACTTCTACTTGCTTGTTTCATATTATCAGGTAATAGCTGAAAGCCTTTCGGAGGAGGAAATTGCTGGTTTGAAAGAAATGTTCACGGCTATGGATACTGATAACAGTGGTGCAATCACGTTTGATGAACTCAAAGCTGGTTTGCGAAGATATGGCTCTACCTTGAAGGATACTGAGATACGTGATCTTATGGATGCGGTAAGATGTTTGTGCCAAAGCAGATATCTGTATCTGGTTGTTTCTGTACATCTTAGTACTTCTCCATTCCATTGTTTTTTTCCCAGTCACATCTCCTTTTCTCTATTTTCTTATTCTTATTTTTCCTCATCATAGGCGCAATGCTTTTCTTCTTTATTATGTTATATCTTGTGGTTATCTTCTAATCAGCTGATTAGTTATTTTTTTGTCAATTTCAGGCTGATGTGGACAACAGTGGAACAATTGACTATGGAGAATTTGTAGCTGCTACAGTTCATCTTAACAAATTAGAGCGTGAGGAACATCTTGTTGCAGCATTCCAATATTTTGACAAGGATGGAAGCGGTTATATTACAGTCGATGAGCTTCAACAAGCTTGTGCTGAACATAACATGACCGATGTTTTACTTGAAGACATAATCAAAGAAGTTGATCAAGATAATGTAAGTCATATACACTAATATATGGTGGGGGTTGGAAACCAGATTCAGTTATTTGGATTTTCAATTCCCTTATCCGTTTGCTTGTTACCAAACTTCACTGATATGGGTATATGTGTTGTTTCAGGATGGAAGAATTGACTATGGTGAATTTGTTGCCATGATGCAAAAAGGCAATGCAGGAATTGGTAGACGAACTATGCGAAACAGTCTGAATATGAGCATGAGAGATGCACCAGGGGCCCTATAGCTGGGAAATACATGATGTAAAGGTACCTTTTAGCCTTTTGTTTTCAGATGCTTCCCGATTTCCACTTCCTTCTTACATGTGAATTATTGCTGGAACTGTCTCTTTACCGGGAATTTCTATTGCGCATTTCATAACTGTTGATAGTAGATGTTCAAAAGAAATAAATATTTAATCGGCAATTATTAAATCAATGTTTCTGGTACTAATGTTCTTGACAAAATAGTGCAAGACTTTCTAATCATAATATTCTGTTCATGACTTGTGAAGATTTAAAACATGCTTCCAAAGCGAAAATCTAATGATTGTAAAGTTGTTTTCAATTTTCATAGTGCTTTTGTACCTTGCAATCAAGCATTACAAAACAATAACTAGCTCTGATTAATTATTGTGCACAATTAGTAGTCTTAAAGGATATAGCATTAAAATTAAAATACTATTGAGACATTTTTTGACGGTGCTTTTAAATACCATTGCATAGCAACGCATGATTATCAACTATAGTCCTGTATTTTGATTTGGATTCACATTGGCAGGCTGCAAAGCAAAGCTGGCAGATGAGGATGATTGGTGACAGAAGTTTGCGAAATGATTATGATTCCTTCCAAGTAACAGAAGATTTTTAGATTTTGGAAGTTTCTGTGCTTGAGCATTTACATTGCTGTTTGACTGAGGAAAATGATTGTAAGCTTTGTATACTTTAGTGTGAAGTATTATTATAGCTGTTCAAGTTGATAAGTTAATTCGTTGTGTTTTTATTTAGGGTTTCTGTTTGTTGATTTTTGAAGAACAATGATCTTTAAGTTTCATTTTGTACTCCAGGCATTGCTTGAAACCCCAGGTTGAAAACTTCACAGTATGCTAAATTGCTAACGACTGGGGGGGTTAACGCTATCTGTGCCAATTATAGACAGTCTTGCATGATGAATTGGAAAGCAGAAATTGGTCCTTATACTTGAGAGTAATTTTCAAAATTGACCAACAATGAAAATTTTCCAATATTACATGCTCCTTGTAACATGCTGTCTTGTGTTATATTCCATCTCCTATTTGGCAAAAACCAATAAAAAATTCGTACACTGCAAAACCCTATTTCGAGATTAATTTTGGCTTGAAAACGGTGCACGTACAGCATCTTTTTATATGTATTACAAATAAATTTAGCTGTTTTGAACGGTCATCTCAGCCTAGACGCTCTCCGAAATTGCAGATTCCTGTGCTATCAAAATTTCCTGCGAAAGAAACGAAAGGGTAAGGTTGAAAACAACACAAACCTCTGGATTCATATTAACAAGTGATCATAAATCCATCTGCCCCAGTTTCAGATTTATTTATTTGACAGAAAGAACAAAAAATTATGATGAATGTGAAGAACCATAATACCATTTGGCAGGTAGAACATTAGTCAAGTAGATTTCTCAGCTTGACAGAAAAAGATGCGAGAGTTCTTTTGGCCTGAAGTAGGCCGACTAGTCATGAGATTACACGAACCTACAGCTAAGCCTCTTTGTTAAAAGAAATAAAAAAGTTCCATAATAAATGGATGCACTGACCACCTAGCTCGAGTAATTTCAAATCAATGACTGCTAGATGTTAAACCGAAGAACAAGTGAAATCTGAGTAAAGAGGAGTCAACTGATAGTAAAAATCAGTCTATAGCAACTTGCCTTTAACTTCACATCGCTGGAGAGGATACACCTTGATGTAACAGCACATCCATGATCAAACAGCCATCCTACCTCACACCAAGTTTCACCATCTTCGTTTGCTTTAAGCGAGCACCACAATTGCTTGGGCAGCAAAATGAGATCACGTTCGTCTCTGACTGACTTCCGCACCATGTCATCAGCTAGTTCTTGAAGCAAGACCTGGATTAATTAAAAAATTAGTTTGACTGTATTTAGCATTTAGTGCATGGAGTAGGGTTTGTTTTAACGAGTTTTGAGTGCAAAACTAGTATTTTTCTGCAGCCAACACACACCTAAAACTTTGAATTCACCGAAACAATAGCTGTCTCACTCTTTCAGTGCATGAGCATAAGGACTTGTGGATGCATGAACTCTTCATCAGTACTTGGAAGAAAAAATGAGGAAGGAAAAAGAAAGCTGATTTAGCAGAATCAATCCAATCCCTATGGATGGAATAGTTTAGATATCAGAAATAAACAAATCCCAAATCTTGGCAAATGATATATAACATAATTCTTATTTCGCATATCTAATAAAGCTTTGAATTCATAGAAACGGGCTGCGTGATTGCATGAACAAAGAGTTAAAGAACAGAATGCCCTTGTAAACAATGGACAAGATGAGCCAAGATCAATTTCTCTGATTCTGGATGAAATGAAGATAAGACAAGATCAGGGAAGGAATCTGGCAAACTCACATTTTGAGAAGAATCAAAAGTGGAAACAGCACCGGGACCCTGCCACACGCCAACAACTTCAGACGCTTTCAAGGCAGCGGTGGAAGCGAATGCTGAATCCCGGATAGCACATCCACCTAGTTGGTCACCATTTCTGAAAGGCCCATACCACTGCTCGCAAAAAACTCTGATGTTTTGCAATTCAATCCCTGTATTCGCTACACGAACAACCTGGATTATTCTCATACGAGACTCCTTATCTCGAGGATTGATCAAGCAATGCTCCAATTCAAATTGCTTATATTCACCATTGTCCACAATTGGCCAGACAGCTGCATAAGACCCACCTGATTGATATGCAAAGGCAGAAACATTATTCTCGACTCCTCCAACAACCCTCTCATCGATGCTATACCGAGTTGCAGCATCGGCTTCACATCCTACGGTGGGAAGTAGTTTGATGGTTTTGTAAGTCATAAGAAGGTCCTGTGGTTGAGCGACGGTCGGACACTGAGTCTGCCAATCAAAAACCTTAACCTCCCACTCCCTGTAAGCTTCAGGCACCACAGATTCAGGTAGTTCAATTGGCTTTCCTTCAGTCGTGAAGTCTGCTCCAAACCCATCCCATTCACCAGATATTTTGCTAGCAAATTCTGACCAGGCTATAACAACACAAATTAAAGAAAAAAGAACCCTCAATTTCCTTCCACTTTAATGTTTACTCAAACGTTTCAAGTTCATCAATTTTATTTCTTTGGGTATTATAATCCTAACAATTGTAGTTAGAAAGATGAAAACTTTGCATAAATGAGACGCATTAAGATTCATCTGCTTGGAGAAGCAAAAGGACCCATGTTCTTGTTTATGGTTCTTGGTGTGAAATAATCAATTAAGCTGTACAGATGCCAAAGTAAGAGCAAGAAATTCCAAGTCTGAAGTAAGAACTTACTAGTCGTGGAGATGGTGGGATTGATGGTTTGCTGGACTTGATCAGCAGCAGAGACAGTACTGCTGGTCTTTGCCACACAATTAGACAAGGTAGCAGTCGGAAGTTTGGATTGGAAGAGATGGTGGTGTGGAGTATTATTACAAGAAAATTGCTTAGAATTATTGTTATTTTGCATGTTGTTTCGAAGTTTTGACGTTGATGGCAAACTGATCATAGGAAGAGAAGAAGGGGTTCTATTGTTTTGGTAGATTATACTTCTACCGCTAATACTATTTCCTCCTCCTCCTCCTCCTGTTGCTAATGCCATCATCTGCTGATGCTGCTTCTTCTTCTTCTGATTCTCTGTCTCTCTTATCTTTCTAACAAAAAGAACTGAGCACACAGACAGTTCAGATTCGTTCTTTATAGTCCTTCTCGTTTCAGAAGACGAATTATTAGTCGTTATTTGTTTAAAAACTAGTTATTTAATTTTTTGAATTTTAATTATGTTAATAACTTAGTTTTTTTAATCGATTTTTTTGTTAGATTAATAATTTTTTAAATTATTCTTTGATATTTTATTTTTCTTATCTACCTGTCAAATTTTAATGGAGGGAGAACTAAGGAATATTCTCATCCTATCTTTTCTTTACCTGTCAAATTTACAACAGAAATGGAAATTAGTTAAACTGGATCTAGTTGTTTGAAGGCCCAACCCAATTCTTATCGTCCACTTCAATGGGCTATTGGAGTTTTGTCTTGTTAAGGGCCCAATAAAAATAAGAAGGGACCCAAATTAAAATCAGGAAATTTGGAGGACAACACAGATAATTTAACACCTCATGTATGAATTTTGGTTCACAGTAACAAATAAAATGAACAACCGTAAATTACGGTCTAATCACGTTTAAAACGCCTGAAACATGAGAACAATGTAACAACAACAATAACAATAATAATATATACATTGGGGAGAAACATGATTTATTGGTAAATAAGCTGTTTTCATTTAATTAATATTTAGATTTAGTTTTTATTATTTACGAATAATCAATTATAAATTTTTTTAATAATATCAAATTGGAGTTGGTTTAATCTAAAAAATAGTCTAATAATCAATTATATTCTAACACTATCTTATCTTAAATGGTTACAAATTGCATTTTCATTTATAAAAACTGAACAACAATACTTTACAAAATGTAAATATTAAATAAATAAATAAATAACAAAAAAGAAGAAGAAGAAGAAAAAAAACCTCGGCCACTAGTGGTAAAGTCTCGTCGGTGACCATTCCACGAGGGGATTCATATGCCTTATCGTCTTCATTTGTTCAAAACACATCTTGCACTCGTCATGTGTTTATCATACCTTGAAAAAAAAAAAAAAACAAAAATTTGCACCGACACGTTTATATATAGTGCATTATGATTTAATTAGGAGCATGAGCATGAGGTCCCTTCATTGCCACATCGTGTGAAGTAATTCCAATGGAATAAAACAAGGCAATGTTTGTGTATGATCAGTTGGGAACGAGGGAGATGGGATATGATCCGAGGTTGTAATTGAAATAGTAAGAAAAATATTTTTGATTCATTAAGCTAATAATTTGATTCTCGTTTTTTTTTAAAACTCAACGAGGTAGGATAAAAATTATTAGTGGGTTTAAAAAATATAGTTTTTAAAATTGATTAAAAATTAAGAATGATCCTATATTAATTTAATCTAAATAATAAATTTAATTTAATTTTAATCAACACAAAAACTAATTAAAAAATAACATAACTACTTATATATCATAATAAAATAAAAATTGAGAGAGATGCGTGGGTCTTTTTTCTTGAAGCTAACTTAGAAAGCTACAGGCATGGCGTGATCACATGCAGGATAGGTCGTCATCTCATCCTCTCTGGCATATGATTGGCATTTCACTTTTTATTTAGTTCCTGTTAGGTTTTTTTTTGTTTGACATTACGTTACGAATAAGATAAAATATAAAAAATTATTTTAATTTTATTATTTATTTTATAATATAAATTTATAAAAATATATGAAATCAATGATAATAAAAAAATTTATATTTAATTATTTTTTATTTGTGTGTTTCATAATTTTTCTTCTAGAAAAAATATCTATCATTTTTAATTCATGGATTATTAACTGAAAAAAAAATTAAATAAATTTTTTTAAAAAAGCTTCAGTATTTTATAAAATTGTGTAAAAAAACAAAAATAATAATTATTAAAAGCTTACCTAGAATTGAATAAATAAAAAAATTATTTTTATTTAATGTTGATAAGAATATCGATTTTTTTTTTAAATGTGAATTTAATTTATATATATATATCACCACATTTTACTCTTTCCGCCTAAAGTAATGTTTATAACTAACCAGACTTACTCTATTAATTAATTACTTCTCCCTTCGTTTTATAATTAAATTAGCTATCCCGTGGCCCTTAGGCATAGCATAGTATTAAAGAGAACATTTTATCCCTCCCCATTCAAATTAATTAATTAATTAAAAATAATGAAAAGGCTGAAAATATACAGAATTAATTAATTAATACATCATCACCGTCAACCCAAAGATTCTTCTTATGTGGACTGAAATCATTTGGCGTTGGGTTTATGCATGGGCCCCAAAAGTTCGGGTGAGAATGAGAAATCCTACGTACTCGCTTGCTTGTGCAAAAAGAAAATAAAATTCAATGAACAACAAAATCACATACTCACTACTTAATTTAAATTAATTGATTACAATGGGAGCTTCAAAAATATAATAATCAAACAATAAATAAATAATATAATTTAATTCATATACAAGAGTAGAATGCAATATGGGTTTAACTAAGAAACTAAAGTAAAAATAATTAAGAACAATAATCTTTATTTGGTTGGCAATAAGCAATCAATTAATATTAATTACTAGCTCGTACTGCTGGCTCCTCGAGCTTGAAAGATACTTTGATTCCTCTTCAATCAATGCATCGATCCTTCCTTCCTTCCTTCCTTGCCAATGAATTTAATTAAGAATGGATTGATCTCTCTCAACCAATTAAAAACTCATAATCTCTGACAAATCATCTATCCACTCAACCCATAAGTACTAACACAAATATTATTATACTCTTAATAATAACATATAATAATCTACCAAGTATTACAAGGCAATTTTCATGGACAAACATGTACACGCATTGACAAGGCAAAAAAAAAAAAAAACGAAACATACAAAAAAGAATCCTATTTCTTGATCTGAATCTTGAATTCTTGAATTCTTGAATTTTTTTTTTTTAAATCTTATTGAACGAATTAATCAAATATGGACCTGCTTGCTTTGAATACCTTCAAATGTTGAAGAAGATTGCATACATGCAATAACCCAAGTAGAACTCTTTTAATCGTTTTGAGCTTTGATGAGACCAGTACGTACTAGTTGGTTCGTCAATGGCCAGGATCGAAATTCTTGGAGTAATTGAAAGAATCATACTTGCAAGTTTGAGGAAGGCCGACTTTATCTTCAGATCTCACAAGCTTTCTTACCTCGGACCTGACCTTAAAGAACACATGTCTCCAGCTCCCTTTGTTATGACAACCGAGAAACCTGGTCTCTTCTTCGTTCATTTCCAGATCTTGGGCAAAAACGGGCTTTCTTGAAAGGATCCAAGACCAGCCCCAGTCCCACCATTTCCTGATGGAACTGCCAGCATATTCTCCCATGGCCGACACGGATTTGGATCTTTGAAATGCCCACTGACTAGCAGGAGAAGAGATGGGCTGAATTTTGAGGGAAATAGAGGAGAGTCTTCTACGTAGACCAGCTATAGCTTGATCTTTCGAGTCATGGTGAGCTTGTGAGACGGGGAGTGCAGCAGCATGGTTTCTCTTTTGAAAGCTCTGGACAATGGAGCTCATTTTTATTGGTATAGTGATTAAAGAAGAAGAAGAAAAAAAAAAACACAGAAATGGGATAGCAGGAGATCGAGGTAGCTAGCTAGCTAGTGGTAATGGTGTGGGTGTGAAGGGTAGGAAGGAAGAGTAGAGAGAAAATTAAAGAGAGAGAGAGAGAGGTGAAATATTACAAGTGTTAACAGCTAGAACACAGGCTGGTTTATTCTTTTTCTGTGGAGGGATGGGTGGATGCTGATAGGGAAATGGGCTGCATGGTGGGGCCCATTTAATCATTCTTATAGACTATAATTATTATTCATTTTCATCATTAATTAAAGTTAATTACTAATTAATTATATATTATATCAAACTAGATAATTATCTATGTAAAAACCACAACTAAATATTATTTCATAGACTCCAACAAATTATATATCACAAGAACATGTTTTATGGAATTAACCACTTACATTACATGGATAAATTGTAATAGCTAGTGATAATACAAAGGTACTCATTAACCATTTTTCTATATTTTCTATTTTTTTCTTGTAATTTATAAACTAGTCTCCATATTTTCAAAAAAAAAAAAAAAAAAGAATTAATTAGTTTTTTAAAATAATTTTCTAACTAACATTGATTATGTTTAATTTAATATTATTTTATTTTATAAAATGTTATCCTTTTCTAGTTAATTCTTTCATTTATTTTAATAAATTTCTTAAAAGAAAAATTGAAATAAATTAAAAAGTAACAAAATGGGTTAAGTTGTGAAGAAAAAATTAAAAATATAAAAGCTAAATAAGTAATTTTTGAAATAAAAAATGACTAATTAATTTGTTTCTTAAAACTAGAGGGATTAATTTACTCTTCTTTTAGGTATTCAGTAGCTTTACTTACTTTGCCGATATAGTTAGAACGTATAAATTCAATTTGACCAAAAGAACTAATAATAGAAATAAAAGTTCCAATTCATCACCCTTAGCCTTGGATCCATCTATGATTAATTATTTATATATTAGAGAATAGTTAATGAGTATTATCACCACATGGAATCATATTCTAATGACAAAAGCTAGGAGTAGTAATGAATGTTTTATGTCCATACATGCATTGACAACCATTTGTCTCTTAAATAAATTAAAAAATAAATCAAAGAGAGTGGCAATTTCTCAGCTCATTCTCTTTCCCATATTCGTGTAACGTTTTGAGTAGAAAACGTGGGGAGATGGGACCAACTCAGATGTCGGTTGTGAAGTCTGGATCTCTCCTCTGTTTTTTTTTCTTTTTTTCAATAGAATTTAGTTACGCAATAATTACATATAAAAACCTCATCTCTCAAATGAAGGCGTAATTAAGGCAGAATTCTATCAATCAGTTGACTAAATGAAGCGAGAACAAGAAAAATAAGCTAATGTCAATTTTTATCTTTTTCATTCTATTTATACGATTGAAAGAAGGCGTAGTTTAATAATTAACAAGGATAATTAACTCTGATTCCATCTTAGAATTAGCTTAATTTTAGAAGAATTTATTTTCTTAATTTTTTAATTTCATCAAGAACTTGTTTCTATTTTCAAATTATTCCTTTTGTACCTTATTTCTCTCCTGCACTCAATTTTTTTCCTCTCTTATCAACCATCATGGTGACTTCTCTCTTGATTTTTTCAATCAGTTATTGGTCAAGGAGAGAGAAAAGGTCATCATAATAGTTGAGGAGAGAAAAAAAATAGATGGAAGAGAGAAATAAAGCATTAAAAATATAATTTAAAAATTAAAAATACCACAGTAAGACACCCCGTCACTAATTTAATGAAAAATAACGAAATAACTAAATTATTGACAGAATTAAAATATGAAAAACTAATTGATTAGTTTTGAAAACCAAAAAAATTAGTTAATTCGTTTGTTTAAAGGAGAGGGACTAGTTTATCATTTAATCGAAACACAGCGGTCAAAGGAAAAAAAGCAAAAAAAAAAAAAAAAAGGGACCTAAATTATCAGGGAAGTGACCCATTAAAATGAGCCCAAAGCCCAGGCAATAGCCCTGATAGGATGTTGACGAAAAAAGAGGGTTCAGTGATGGTTGATGGGCCCACTCAGTTTTGAAGCCCATAAGATTATACTTCCAATTTCCCTCCTTCCAAATTCCATCTATACTCTCAAGCTGATGAATTATATTTTCTGTGATAACCTAACTTACGTGGACAAACTTAATTTGATTATTTATTCCCAAAAAAAGAAGAGAAAAGATGAATGCATGTTTCACATGCTGGTGAATGGTTCCCACTTCCCACTACGTTGTCATTTGTCAAAGATACACTACGGTTCTCTCGTCTCCCATTGAAAAAAAAATGAAAATGCTTAGAGCCAAAGCATGCTAAAGAATGAACAAATCGTAAAGTCTGAGTTTGATTTGAAAATTTGATTTACTACTTCACTTGAAAGCTAACACATGCAAAACCAAAGCTATATACAGCTACCCCCATCCCTTCCTCGTCTCTCATCCTTCTCCCTTCTCACCCTCCCATGGCTCCCTCAGTTTTAAACATTTCTCTTCTTACCTTCTTGGGCTCACTTTTCGTGTGTTCGGTTCTAGCCCGTGATTTTTCGATCGTGGGTTATTCACAAGAGGACTTGACTTCTGTTAATAAACTTATCGAGCTATTCGAATTATGGATTTCTAGGCATGGAAAGGCTTACGATAGTCTTGACGAGAAACTGCATAGGTTCGAGGTGTTCAAAGACAACTTGAAGCACATTGAGCAAAGAAACAAGGTGGTTACTAGCTACTGGCTTGGATTGAATGAGTTTGCTGACCTGAGCCATGAGGAGTTCAAGAGCAACTACTTGGGATTGTACCCTGAGATTCCTAGGAAGAAAAGCTCCGAAGACTTCAGTTACAGAGATGTTGCAGACTTGCCCAAATCCGTTGACTGGAGAAAGAAAGGAGCTGTTACTCCAGTCAAGAACCAAGGTTCTTGCGGCAGTTGTTGGGCATTCTCAACAGTTGCAGCTGTTGAAGGCATAAACCAGATTGTCACAGGAAATCTAACTTCATTATCTGAGCAACAGCTGGTAGATTGCGACACAAGCCTCAATTATGGCTGCAACGGAGGCCTCATGGATTATGCTTTTCAGTTCATAGCCAAAACTGGCGGACTCCACAAGGAGGAAGACTACCCATATCTAATGGAGGAAGGCACTTGTGATGAAAAGAAGGTAAATGCTGACATAGTATCTAACAATGCATTCAATTGTTGAATACAAAGGATAGAATTTGTTTAATACCTCTATTTGTTTGCTGTCTTCAGGAAGAAATGGAGGTAGTAACTATTAGTGGTTACCGTGATGTGCCACAAAATGATGAACAAAGCCTCCTAAAAGCACTAGCTCACCAGCCTCTCAGTGTAGCTATTGAGGCTTCTGCTAGAGACTTCCAATTCTACAGCGGGGTAAGAAAGTTGAACATGCTCTCACATCTATAATATACCTGCTCTTTCTCACTTCCCAACTTCAAGAAGCATTCAAGGAGGCCAGTCTCATTGACTCATTGTTTATGGCTTTTGGTCTTTGCAGGGAGTATTCAGCGGATCTTGTGGAACAGATCTGAATCATGGAGTAGCAGCAGTTGGATATGGTTCATCAAAGGGGATAGATTATATCATTGTGAAGAATTCCTGGGGAGCCATGTGGGGTGAAAGAGGCTACATAAGGATGAAGAGAAACACAGGCAAACCTGATGGGCTCTGTGGGATCAACAAAATGGCTTCATATCCCACTAAAGAGAAGTGACATCAATATGATTTTGTATTTTGCTTCTCCTTCCAACAGTTCCACGATCGATGATATCGGTTTGTTTTACTCTTGTCCATCAATAAAATGCGATGAAAGTTCATATAGAAACAATTCCTAACATTAATTAGCATGGACGAAAAACTAAGAATAATCCCTACACTAATGCTAATGGATGGCATTGCCATTGCGTCCTGCACATGTCACGCACAGTTCATAAACAGATAGAAGAAAACAAGACTACCATGTCCGTGCAACAGAACTTACGAAAGATGCCACACCTCACATACATGTATAGCAAAATGGCCAAAAAATAAAACAACACATGTAATCAGTTCTGTGCTTCTTTATTATTTGAAAGTACTGAATTTTATAGTTCATGGATATGTTCTACGCAATGAGACCTAAAATACATGTGTACTGAATGGTTGGCTCGTGATAAATTGGGTTAGTAGTACAGAGAAGAATCGAAAATTTTAACTCACGGCTTCATTGTACTTGAAAACACAATCGTAAAGCCGTCCTCCAAGGAACTGAGCAACCTCTGGATGTTTCACCTGTTTAGAAAGAAAACAAAAATTGGACAGATGTTGGCTACAAGATTGGTGAGATTATATAAACCAGCGCACGTGAATTGAAATCCTCAATAAATAAATACATAAAATTTCAAATAATTACCATCCCAATCTTGAGAGAGTCGCACTTAAATTGAGCATAAAGATTTGTCTCTATCCCACGACCCTGCCAAAAGCAGCAACAGATATAAGTTCACACAATGGAGAATCATGCATTTCTTCTATTGAATTCACTTGCTAGCCCAGCTATCTTGATGTGGCTTTCTTTTCTTTTCTTTCCGTTGTTCTTGGTCAGTCAAAATATCCAGCAACACTTGAAAAGCATCCAACCTTTACCATTCATAGACTAGAAACAACTATCAAACTCCATCTTTATCTACTTTTAGCACACTATTTTTTTTCCCTTTTTGTGTTAGAACAATTGACTAAAGCCACATATACATAAATATAAGGTCACTATACCTAATCATGCATCTTTACCCAATTGGCCATTTGGCATTTTTTTACACACTAATCTTATTTTAGAACGAACTTACCATTCCTTCCAATACTACTAGGTCTGCATCACTTGCTAGATAGGCTAGTACTTGGGATACTCTTGTAAGATCAATAACCTGCAAGGAATGGAAAAGGAAAAGGGCTATAACTATACAGCCAAGAGTACCCTCCAGACAAAGAAAGAATATCATTCAACATGAAATACAAGTAAATAATATAGCACTCTAATTCTTTACCGGTAAATCATTTCCAGAATTGGCTATAAAAAGATTTGATGTGTCAACACCCATGAGCTGTCCGTTTTCATCCTTCAACTAGAAAATTGGATCTCAAGTCAGACACAACCAAGAATCAAACAGTACAATAGTTCTACAAGTTCTTACTCTCACCTTTGCTATAATCTCTATCAGTTCAGTGTAAGTGACGTCATTGATAGAAGGCATGTCATTGGCAGCCAAAACAACCTGCAGATAGAGAGAGCCCCAATATACTCAGGAAGAAAGTATTTAAACAGTACCTAGTATAGAATCTTGCATAAATGCTTTAAAATAAATAAATAAAAGTATTTCCAGCACCCATCATCATATTTGAGCACAAATTAATTAAATGAAAAACACCTCAGATTTGAAGACTTCAAAATAAAAATATGAAAAGAAGATGAGTGTTCAAAACCACAGGATCAGTTTCAAAATCAAAATACCATTGTCGTTGTTTCTTCCATATTGAATGCCAACAATGTACTGACAAACTAGTTATCGAGCTGTATCAAAACCTTCAATTGATTCTTTACAATTTGGAAGTGAACAAGCTAAGTTAAAAAATGTCATGCAAACTTTTGGGCTTGTGATGTAAAAAATAAATGTGTTGCAACTTGGAATTCAAATGTAAATGAAAACCTGAGTTCCACGTCGCATTAGCTCTCTTGCAAAGGGCAAAATACCCAAAATTATATCTGCACCGGAATTATCAACAAAGATGACAACCTGTTGTGAACAAAGAGGAAGCTGATAAGATTTTTTATTTTTTATTTATTACTAGTACAAATGGAGTCATTGACATATTTCACAGATGTACTGAAGGGCATGTGACTACTCTAAAAGGACAGTGACATCATGTAAAAGAATTCAGTCTTTTAATTCACCTTTTTCCATGATTTCTTGCTCCATTTCACTTTAAAGGTGTCCAAGTCGTCGATGACCCAGGGTCGAGGGACAAGATTTTGACAACTAGCCAAAAAGGACATTCCATCCCTTGAGAAAACCTCAGCAAGCTGCATGAAATAGGGAAATAAAATTGCACAAACAAAACAGAATCTATATCCTCAAGAGAAGAAATAAAATTTAAGCAGCATTTAAACAGTTACAGAAGCAAAACAACTGCTTTTGCTAAAAGCTAGAGAGGATGATAGTTTCAAGAAATTCCCATAAACCAATGGCATCAATCAAAGATGAAACAAAATAATGAAAGATGGTTGCAGCATGAGCAGAAAACATTGATGCACCAGTAAGCCAGAGGGTGATCTAAATCGAAGGGGTCACATAGGAAAGGAATGCTAATGGCAAGTTTGGGAATGAAGTCAGAAGATGCAGGACCCCAAATAAAGAGAAAGTGAGAGATAAAAATAGTCCTAGAATCCATGTAATTTGGATTCATTGATCATTTACAACATTCATATATATATATATATATATAGGGTGACAAAAATCATAAAATGTTTCAAATAAATATTAACCAACCTCTGCAGAACCAAGGTCAAATATATTCCCAGCAAATATTCCTCTGACAAGATTTTCTAAGCGTTTGGCCTCATCTTCAATAGCATCATTAAGCTGAACTACATCCTTAAATAGTGAAATAGCCTTTGCATTCTCTTCTTCCTATTGAATCAAGAAAAAGAGTGCCCTTTTCAAGTGTATAACCAAAAGGGGATAATATTGCAAGGAAAAAACAAATGGCCCCAACACACGCAAAAAAAAAAACAAAATATTAAAAAAAAAAATCAGTCTTTCACCATTGACAGGCACTATAATTAACACATGGTAAATGTTAATAGCAAAAACCCATTAAGCCACTATGCAAGCTGTTATCGACTGCCGGGTCTTTTGCAAGTAAAATGACATGTTTTTGGAGCAAATAAGAATGAAGGAGTGACTGACCTTGACTTTCTTGAATATATCTGTAAATCCCAACTCTCTAAGGATCAGCTCCCGCAGTCTGCAGAGAAGCTACCGGGCAGAAAGAAAAAAAAAAACAATCGATAAACTAAAAAGAAAAATGAAACAAACAAAAGGGAAATGTATAGAAGAAGAGGAAGTTTAGGAGTTACAATGCAATCGGGAGGGCCACCATGGCTTTCTGGATCTTTCTTCAAGTCCTCCAGTATTTCACCATACCTATTTTTTAAGCTCACATTAGTAAACAAAAAAAAAATTGCAGCAAAAAATTAGGAAAGCACCTTTGAGCAAATTTTTCAGCTCTAACAGGAGCATCAGGAACAGTAGAATCACTTTCAGCACGTTTCCTGCTCCCAAAAACAAAGGAAAACGGAGAGATCATTTGAGTCAGAAAAAAGTAATTACATAAGAGAAATCGATTGAATAGAAAAGAAAAGAAAAGATTACTTGAAGGAGGGAATGGAACTGAGAAAGAGGTCAATCCACTGGAGTTCAGTAGGGGTTGGTTTCTTAGGATTGTCTGATGGGAAGCGGTAAGGAATGGTGCAGGCTCTGTAATTTGATTCGATCGGCGTCAATAGCAACGGGAAAGCTACCATCTCCGATTCGCTCTCCATCGCCTTCTCCTCGACCCAACTCAGACTGCACTACCCTTTCCCTCTCTCTTTTTCCTCTTATATTTTTTTCGAGAAGGGATTTATGTTCATTTCAGTACACAAACTTGTAGGAGTATTATTTACAGAACCTTGGAAGTGCAATATATCCAAGTAATTTATTTTATTTGCTTTTGGACTCATTTGCTCTTTCTTTCTTTCATTTTTGCCCTTCCTTTTAGCATGAGGGTTTTTTTTTTTTTTTTTTTTTTTTTTTAAACTCCTTGCTTGTGTCCTTCGGGTAGCATTCATTCAGCTTAAAAAATTCAAGTAGCTTAAGTATGGTTTTTTTTATTGGTTTAATAGCAAAAATTATCTTCATTTTATTATAATTTGATAATTTTAGATTTTTATTATTAATTTAAATAATTTGAATTTCAAAATATCTATTTTTGAACAAATCTTATCCAAATCATATTGTTTTTATTATTCCTAACACTCAACCCAATTGATCATTATTTTTTTTGTTATTAATTTTTTTTAAGTTAAAAATGTTCTTCCTTCATTTTTCAAGAGAGATTTTTTTCACCTCTTTGCCTATAAATAAATAAATAAGTTATTAAATTTATGACTAAATTTTTTTTTCCCCTAAAAAGGAGCTTTCACTTCTTGAACCTATCTTTTTAAAAAATAAAAATAAAATAAAATTAGAAAATTTTTTAAAAAATGGTTTTCTAACTCTAACAATTTTAATGCATATTATATATTTGAATCAATTGTGAGAATACAAAATTCTATAAAACATGTGAAGATAAAAAAAAATTAAATACATACAGTCATATTTAAAATTTAATGATTAACAATCACAAGAATAAATTTATTAGCATGATAAAAGAAAAATTTCAGTTAAAATTAATTATTTGATAATTTTAATTGATCAAATCCAACCTATAGATATTTGTATTTTATTAATTATAGAATTTGATTGTTTTAATGAATAATGATGCTCCATAAAATTATTTTTTAGAATTGAAAAAAATTATATATAAATAACAATTTGATTGATTATGAAAAATCAAAAGAATTAATATGTGAAATTTTTAAACAACAAGAATCTCTCTTAAAAATAGAGGAAAAAAAATTTAATGTTTAAAAAAAAATAATGATCAACTGGTTTGACCATTAGAGAAAATACGATTCAAATAAGATTTACAAAAAAAACCAATATTTTGAATTTTAAACTATTAAAATTATAATAAAAATCTAAACTTGCTAACAAAATGACAGATACATTTTTTGTCATTAAACTGTTTATTACTACTACAAGGCACATGGTGAAAAAAAATAATGATCAACTAAGTTGACCGATACAAATAAAAGAAAAAATATATAAGATTTGTAAGGAAAAAAAACAATATTTTGAGGTTTAAATTACTGAAATTATAATAAAAATCTAAAATTGCTAAATTACAAAATGACAGAGACAATTTCTTGTCATTAAACCGTTTTTCCCTACTACTAGGCACATGGTGGTGGAATTTGTGTGCCAATGTACCTAGCTCTAACATATTTACACGATGAAGTGACTTGTTTCTTCCCTGATGACAACTCCAAGTGAACATTTTCGAGGTATATGTTCTGGCATGGTATCCCTTTGCTGCATTCTAGGGCTACTGCTACTGCAGATGATGAGGTCCCTCTTATCTTCTTGAAATATATATCACTTAGCTTCACCTTAGATGGTTCCTGCACAAGCAATATATATAATGCCAACTTCTATCAGTTTTCTGCCTTCAACTTATGCCCTAATTCTGCCAACATTAATGTCAAGGCTGGCCTTAATTAATTAGATAATGGTAAACAGTGACTTACTGTGGAAATGCAAGAAGTGAATGGACAATATGATTGATCGATTATTATGGGATTGGTCACGTTGTCCATTACAATGTTCTCGAACGTCATGTTCCTCGCTGCGCTGCTACCGGGGGAGTTGGCCCATGTTTTTATCCTGATGCCATTCATGGTTCCTGATATGGCGCAATCTCTGACAACTAGTCCACTCACATCGCCTTCGTTCTCATATCTTCCCAAGCTTCCAACACTATTAGATCAAGGATGATTACCTAATATATTATTTACCTGATCTAAGATATTAAATAGAGGTATATATGTATACCAGTTGAACTAGAAGAAAATTCAAGAGTACCTGATTCCATGACCAGGTCCACACCTGATTCTTGTGATGGTGACCTGAGAGTTTCCTTGTCCAATAGAAATGCAGTCGTCACCGGTACTGATAAGCGATCGAGAGATAAAGACACTAGAGCTTCGCTCCAGGTGGATCCCGTCAGTGTTGGGACTGTTTGCTGGTGCAGAAATCTTGATTTTAGTGCCTTTGAAGTTCTTGCATTCGACGAGGGCTATATGAAAGAACTTGCTATTCAATGAAGTTATGTCTCGGACAACCGTCTCGTTCATTGCCACAAATTTTACGTTCTGAAAGAAAAGGAAAATACGTATAGATATCCATTCCCATCAGCTTTCTTTCACCAATCTTATTCACATCACGTGATTCTCGAAGCATAAAGATCAAACTAGGAAGTGCGATAAAGGTCAGACAGAACATACTGTTGGAAGAAGTTTACAATTGGAATCGTTGGTGCAGTTATTGTAAGGCCAGGCTTTGGCACCTTGGCCGTCAAAGGTTCCACCTCCGGTTAAAGTTAGTCTCTCCAGCCATCCAAATTCAACCCAACCAGTTCCAGATCCATACTTAGACAACTCTGCTGTAGCCTTTAAATAACCCTGAAATTTAGTTTCTAAGTTAGAACCATCGACCATGATTTCGTACGTCTAACTTGATTCAAAGAGTATAAAGACGATCGGAAACCGAAAGAATAAGAAGAGGGTTTTTCAGAAATATGAGATCTTACCTTCATGTAGACAGTAAGAGATGATACATTTTTGCAAGGGCCAGCAAATTTAACAGGGCCAATCAAGTACAATCCTTTTGGTATCAGAAGTTTAACCTTTCCTGTTGCTTGACATGCCTCCTTCCATGCTTCTATGAAGGCCTGGAATCACAAAATTAATTTGTATAATTCATGACTACCCTCACATGCTTAATTAAGCAGGTAAAATTCAGTCGTTAAAAAGCTAAGTCTTCCAACTCAGGAATGAAAACTGAGGCAGTTGAGGAATTCCAAACTAGCAAAAGTTTCTTTGTTTCAATTTTTTTTAACTTGAGGTTATATAAAGAAAACAAACTTCGCTGTCATCAGTTCGGCCATCAGCTCGAGCACCGAAGCTCTTGACATCAAAGAGGAAAGAGCCATTTCCCTTGTGATGCAAGATTGGTCTTCTTGCTTCAATTTCAAACCCTTGTCCACCTGCACCTGTGAAAACGACAGCATCGAAACAAAAGATGGACAACAACAGCAGCAGAAGCAACCTGGTACCAATTCCAAGGCTCATCGTGTTATTGTTGTACATTGGTTATCCTTGTACTGAGACAAGAACTAGTTAAGGAGGTTGGTTTCTTTTTGATTGATGAAGGGAAGGGTCGTTTTTTCAGCAGAAAAATTAAAGCAGGGTTTTGATTCCTTTGTTTTGAATTCACAAGAAAGGGCGGGCTTTGCTTTTGGGTAAGACCCGATGCAAAAACTGCCATTAACTTCCCTCCCCACTACGTCACTGCTATTAACCGTCTCACTGCCACAACTTTGCTAGATCTCAGTCTCGCAAAAAACCTCTACCCTAACCTCAAAATCACGTACGTTTTGAAAAATGCAAGTAAAAAAAATCAGGTTGGTACGCACTAATTGCTTCCATGATTTCTCGTGACCCGGCCTTCTCCAGATTCCGGTCCACATTCTACAAAATAATCACCTTATTGGTCTTTGACATCATAGCTTGAAATGCTATTCCCGTATGTTTTTGCCCTCAAAAAATGGCTGGATGAGGCCAATAGAACATAAATCTGCACTCTGGATCATCAGCAATTGCTACCAGCTCAAGTGGGGACTTGACCAGCCAAAATAATGAAAGGATGCTCCTGCAGTTTTAGTTTAGCAGAGAAACCTATAGCAAAGGAATTGATTAAAAGAGAGAACTATGCTAGTTTCCAGAGCTAATTAGAATTTAGAAATTCCTTAACAAGCGAACAATAAAGATATGAACGATTTACTCCAATTGGCGATAGAGCTAAGCCTTCCAGGCAGCTTTAATAGATCTCTGCATCTCTCTGTCTCCTTCATAATCCTGCCTTGTATATTTTCTTCAGGATTGAGATCCTTTCATATTCCGTCATGTTCATTAAATCTGAATCATTAAATTCAATGCTTTACTGCACAAAATTGTCTGCACCATCACTGCCTTTATTCATCACAATAATGAAGAACTTGCCATTTCTGATGAGCATAAGAACAATATAATAAGGCAAGTTCAAGATTTCCATTAAAGGGAACAAACTAAATAAGCAAACTTCTGCGTCGAAGATCACTCTGAATCTCCCACATTATTTCACTTACCTTTTCAGTGTTCTCCATTTATTTATATATATAGAAGCACCCTTCAGCCCTTTTTCCTATCACCATAAACACTTACACAACCCTAATTTTTTTCCCTTTTCTCTTTATTGTTTTCTTTCGAAGACCTCCTTGTTTTTTTTTGGCTTGTTCAACCATGTCGCCTCTAAGCCCGAGCAAAGCCAATCCTGGTGCATCAGGGACGTTTGATGGCAATAACCAGCCTTTGATCTCTCTTGAGGGATCAAATTTCACTGCCAATGGCCACATCTTTCTCTCTGATGTCCCTGATAACATCACCATCACTTCCTCTCCCTATTCCCCTATTGCTGGATCCTTTGTGGGGTTCGACTCTGAAGAATCCATAGACAGGCACGTTGTCCCTATCGGGAAACTGAAAAACATAAGGTTTATGAGCATATTCAGGTTTAAGGTCTGGTGGACAACCCACTGGGTTGGCTCCAATGGCGGAGACCTTGAACATGAGACTCAGATGCTCATGCTTGATAAGTCTGATTCAGGTCGACCCTACGTCCTCCTTCTTCCTCTTCTTGAGGGGCCTTTCCGGGCCTCTCTCCAGCCCGGCAACGATGACAACATTGATATTTGTGTAGAAAGTGGATCCACAAAAGTTTCCAGTGCCAAATTCGGAAGTGTTCTTTATGTGCAAGCTGGTGATGATCCTTACAATTTGGTGAAGGAGTCCATGAAGGTGGCTAAGACGCATTTGGGTACTTTTAGGCTTTTGGAGGAGAAAACTCCTCCAGGTATTGTCGACAAGTTTGGTTGGTGCACCTGGGATGCCTTTTATCTTACTGTGCACCCTCAAGGTGTCTGGGATGGTGTTAAGGGTCTTGTTGAAGGTGGATGCCCACCTGGTCTTGTGTTGATTGATGATGGTTGGCAGTCTATTAGTCATGATGAGGACCCAATCACAGTAGAAGGCATGAATGCTGCTGTTGCTGGTGAGCAGATGCCATGCAGGCTATTGAAGTTCCAGGAGAATTACAAGTTCAGGGACTACGTGAGTCCTAAGAGTTTGGCTGCTGGTGCCAATGATAATAAAGGCATGGGGGCCTTCATCAAGGACCTGAAGGAGGAATTTAAGACTGTGGGCTATGTTTATGTGTGGCATGCACTGTGTGGGTATTGGGGTGGTCTAAGGCCTAATGTGCCTGGCTTGCCCGAAAATGAGATCGTGGAGCCAAAATTGTCGCCGGGATTGCAGATGACAATGGAGGATCTTGCCGTTGATAAGATCGTCAACAACGGCATCGGGCTGGTTCCGCCGGAGATAGTTGATCAGATGTACGACGGGCTCCATTCCCACTTGGAGAATGTTGGGATTGATGGTGTTAAGGTGGACGTTATCCATGTAAGTTCATCTCTCCTTATTAACCTACACGAACCATCTTAATTTAGCTTCGAACTAGCTCAGTACCCGCAGGTTGCTGCGGATAAATTTATTTTAATATTTTCGATAATTTAAAAATATAAACATAAAATAAAAAGTTAATTAACATTCATTGTAAAAAAAAATTGTTTAATATATATAATTGAATTTAAATATATCTTATGAATATTTTTTATTTTGATAAATAAAAAATATGTGTAATTAATTATTTATTTTTAAAAAATCAAATTAGAAGGAGATGTCTGATCAGTTGATATTAAAAGAATATTTAATTTTAGTTAATGAATATTTATAAAAAATAGAAAAAGTAACCATTGATTATGGAAAAAAAATTATTTCGATTAAATAATAATTAATGAAAAAAACAACCTAGTCCCGCAAAAAAAACTATAGGGAGCTTTTTGTAATATTAATTAAAATTAAAAAATATTTTATATAAAGTAATAACTTAGAGGATCAAAATGTAAGACATCAAAAAAATTGACAAAAAATTATTATTATTATTATGATTATTTTAAAAAACGGCTTCTTTTTTAGTCTAAAAGCCGTTTTGGTTTTGGTTCACTATCACATAACAGTGACACCGCATCCACTTTTAGTATATGTTATAATATTATATAATAAGTATTAAGCCCTGTTAATTGAATTTTAGTTAATCATATGAATATCTGTCTAGTTGCTGGAAATGTTGTGTGAAAACTATGGAGGCAGAGTTGAACTGGCAAAGGCATATTATAAGGCCTTGACAGCCTCGGTGAGGAAGCATTTCAATGGAAATGGTGTCATAGCTAGCATGGAACACTGCAACGACTTCATGTTCCTTGGTACAGAGGCCATCTCTCTCGGTCGTGTTGGTATGTTACTTCAATTCCTCTTCCTTGGTAGATTTTTTTTTCTTCATGCGTCTGCTAGTTTATACATACTCTATTTGTGGCAACAGGCGATGATTTCTGGTGCACCGATCCATCTGGTGATCCTAGCGGTACATTTTGGCTCCAAGGGTGTCACATGGTGCACTGTGCTTACAACAGTTTGTGGATGGGCAACTTCATTCACCCTGACTGGGACATGTTTCAGTCCACTCACCCATGTGCTGAATTCCATGCTGCTTCTAGGGCAATTTCTGGTGGCCCGATTTATGTTAGTGACACTGTTGGGAAGCACAACTTCCCATTGCTTAAGAGACTAGTGTTACGGGACGGTTCGATTCTCCGATGCGAGTACTATGCACTGCCAACCAGGGATTGCCTGTTTGAGGACCCCCTGCACGATGGCAAAACCATGCTCAAAATTTGGAACCTCAACAAGGTAAGCACCATTTCTGGAACTACAATATTATTGCACATTCATTCAAGTGTTTCACTGATGACACTGCCAATTTTATTACCCTGGATTACAACAGTTCACTGGAGTCATCGGAGCATTTAACTGCCAAGGAGGAGGATGGTGCCGTGAGTCTAGACGCAACGAATGCGCCTCCAAATTTTCTCACCTGGTAACTGCTAAGACCAACTCCAAAGACATTGAATGGAATAGTGGCGAGAACCCAATTTCCATTGAAGGAGTACAGGTGTTTGCCATGTACTTGACGCAGTCCAAGAAGCTGGTTCTTTGCGAGCCAGATGACAACATTGAATTAGCACTGGAACCTTTCAATTTTGAGCTCATTACTGTCTCCCCAGTTACTGTCTTAGCTGAGAAATCAGTCCAGTTTGCTCCTATAGGCTTGGTGAACATGTTCAACAATGGCGGTGCTATCCAGTCATTGGCCTACGACGATGCTAACAGCTCTGTCCAAATTGGCGTCACAGGAACTGGAGAATTGAGGGTCTTTGCATCTAAGAAACCAAGAGCTTGCAAAATTGATGGAAGAGAGGTCGCATTTGAGTACGAGGAGGACATGGTTGTCACTCAAGTGCCATGGTCTGCTCCCTCTGGCCTGTCTATGGTTGAGTACTTATTTTAGATTTTAGGGTCTTGATTATAAAATTGATTCCCATAATAATCAAACATTATTTTATCATGGTTTGAATTACGGTTATTATTGTCCTCCAAATTGGAAAAAAGTAGCCAGGTGCTGTTCAGATTGATGGCCTTGTACAATAATCTTATAGTCTTTTTACATCATAGCTTGGTACCTGTTTCTACCTGTTTGAAAGATGGCTGGATAAGGTCAAATAGAACATAAACAATTGCTACCAATTCAGGTACGAAAATGACCTATTGTCTCATGCTCTTCATACGGCTGGGATGAGCATTCTACAAGCGAAAACTCTAAGCTTTTAGCCAAGGTTTGATCTACAAGCGTTGTATTTTACTCTAGTTAAAATAAACAAGAAGCGAACCAATCTGCTGCACAATTCCTTCAATGTACAAATTTGCTTCTCTGTAACATTACTATCTACTACCAGATCAATGATACCTTGATTGGTTATTCGAAAAGCTCAGGAAAAAATTAGGGTAGTAAAATCATCAACAAACTAGAAATGGATTTAACTTCAGCAACTCCTTACTTCCAATCAATCACATAAATACCTTTGAATATTGAATTAATAAATCACATGCCTAAGCCTAGAAGAAGCATTGTCACTTCAAGTAGTACTGATGCATGCCTACATGTACTGATATATAGCTAATGGATTTGAAATAAACCAAATTCATTCCTCGATTAGCAAATTCAAGTACTACTGATGCATGCCTACATGTACATAACTAATGGATTTGGAATGAACCAAATTCATTCCTCAATTAGCAAATGACCAAGGAAAGAATACACATTACAGTCACGACAACGATTGGTCCTGTGCTTGCCTTTTTCAGAGGCTAGCTAAGCTAACAATCTGAGGAGGAATGGATGAAGTGTGGTTCTTGTTCACCGTTTTCTTATAGAGCCCTCATTTCTTTGCCTTTGCAAATCTGAGGCATCGATACTTCTCGCCACTTACAGTGATTTCTAGAGCTCCATCTTGATTATCCTGATTTGATGCGGTTCCCATTAGAACACTTTTCTCTTTCTCAAGATTTTCTTTCTCCATCTTCAGCCTTGCTTCCTGCCGAGCAATCTCTGCCTGAGAGAAAATTAAAATTCATCGGTTAGGTTAGGTACTGGATTGATCAATTAAAAAAAAAAGAAAAAAGAAAGAAAGGGGTATTAATTAGGGTTTCGAAAGAGACGTAAACCAGCACTGGAGGTTACAGTAGAGTAAAGCAGTAGAATTATAATTTGCAGTAGAATTTTCATTATAATAATAATAATTATTATAATTATTATTATAGGAGTGAGAAGAAATTAATAATAATAACCTCGCGGCGAGAGAGCTCAGCCTTCCAAGCAGCTTCACGCTCGGCGACTTCGCGTTCACGTTCTTCTATGTAACTCTGCATCTCTCTTTCCTTCATGATTCTGTCCTGTATATCTGCATCCAACGCTTCCTTCAGCTCCTGCACGAACTTGTCCACCACCGCCTTTATTCTCAATGACATCTTCTTCTCCCTCCTCCTCCTCCTCCTCCTCCTCCTCCTCTTCTATTTAAAACAAAACCTTTCTCACTATTTCTATCTAACTATCTATCTATCTCGAAAGTAATCAATCAATCACTGGATTGGATTGGAGTGGCCGCCATGTTTGGATTGTTGGTTTTTCTTTGTTGCAAGTAACGAATAATTTTTTAAAAAAGAAAAAAAAACGAAAGAAAGAAATCAGCAGCGACGAAGAAAAAGAAAAAAGAATGTGCGAGAGTGGTAAGGACAAAATCCCAATTCGATTTCCTGCCTCTGATTTTGTTCCCTTCCTCACCAATGCAAACGATGCCGTTTCTCCTACTTTGTGCCCCTTGTCTCCTTTGTTTTTTGTTTTACTGTTCATTGGCAGTTTTCAGCTACTTACCTAAACAGTTTTCCTTATTCGCGCATACTCATTATTTCTTTTACTGAGCAATAATATTTTTATAGTTTTAAAATTTTTTAAAAATGTTTATTATGAAAGTTTCGATGGTATTATACTTTATGGAAAAATTTTATTTTTATAAACATTATTTTTCTGTACATAAATTTTTTTTATTTTAGTTTGGTTCTTTTTTGTTTCATTTTAATTACTTTGATTCTTACTTTTCTTTCCTCTCATTTTTTAATTAAAAATTTTAAGACAGAGAGATGTTTAGAAAGAATAATTTACAAAATAAATTTTTATTTAAGAATCCATTGATTTTTACATTTTTTTTACATTATTATAATTTTTTTAGTTAAGAATGTGGATAGAGATAAACATATAATGTTTTTTAATTAAAAATTTATGAAAAATATAAAGAATAATCAATAAAATATAAAATTTTGATTAAGAAATTAACAAATTAATGAATTTTTATTTAGTTTTGATTTGATATTTTAATAAACGAAGCATGTAATACGGGTCGTCGAATTGAAAAAATATTCTAAAAATAATTTTACGTGTTCTATCCGATCCGTAATATAGCATTGGTAAAAAAAATTAATTTTAAACTAAAGAATTATTACTACTACAAAAAAAAAAAAAAAAATCCATTTTTTCTATTTAATTTTAAATCATGAATTTTTATTTTGAGTTTATAAAATTTATTTATTTTTGTTCTATTAATAAGAACAGAGCTAGAATCTGCAACTTTTTTTTTTTTAATCAAAATCGATAAGAAGAACTTTATTGATAGAAAAGAGAAGGAAACTTAAACATATAAATATAGATACATTCAAACTAACGTGTGTGTTACGTCTAAGAGAACACAAATAAAATACTATTTCATTATCTATAAATCAATATACAAAATAGTATTGCTGTAGTAAATATTATTGTCTCTGGATTAAATTATTAGACCAATAATTAAGTTGAAAAATCAAGTTCATTTGAATTACAGTTATATACACATTTATTCGATAAAATAAAATAAAAATCACCGTGTGGTAGATGCCCAAGGACTAAAAGAAAAAATTTCAAGAAAACTAAGGAGCAAATTTGAACTCATAAATTATTAAGGGCTATTGTGAATATTTGGAAAGCTTTAAAGGTATTTAAGTTCCCTAAACCTATCATATAAACACACAATTACATTAACTCTGATTTTTTAATATATTGTAAAACTTAGGAGTTATATATAAATGTTTTTTTTTCTGTTTATGGAAGGGTTTGTTGGGTCTTGAACTATATATTGAAAGACGGTTTTTTTTATTATGTAATAATTAAATAAACTTAGGAGTAATTGAGATTTTAATTTGTTTTAGTGAAAAAAGCTACGACTACATAACTTTTGGACTGTGCATGTTTGTGCATTGCATACAAATGTTTTATTAAGTTTTATAAAAAGTTTAATAGAACATTTACCGATAAATAATTGAGATTAAAATTTGCTCTAGTGAAGAAAATCGAGGAGCACACGTTCATTAAGCTATATATATCTCCTCATGTATTATATACAAATGTTTTATTAAGCTTTATCAAACATTTATATATAGAGTTAATGATTCATTTATTTTTATATATTTGATGTATTCTTTCACCCTCGTATGCTCTTGTATTTTCAAAATTTTCAATTTTTTTTTTAATGTTTTGAAAAATTAAACCTTTTTTTTTAATGTTTTGAGGGGGGTTTTTATCTCAAAAAAAATATATCAAAATGATACCCTAGGAAAAATATAAATATATAAGAGTATATGAATGTAAAAAATTCTTAAAAGCAACATGATCATAGATGGATATATGAATCCTTCTATGCAACACAAAAGCACAAGACTATTAACATATTGATTTTTTTCCTCAATTAAAAAAAAGTACTTAATAAAAAAACGAATAAATTATAAATTAGTCGCTCTCATTTTGAGAAAAAAATAATTAATTAATCTCGTTTAAAAAAATAATGATTTAATTCTTATATTTTGAAATATACTCGTAATTTAATCTTTTTGTTCTTTTTAATTTAGTTTGTTTTTTTATTTGAATAATAAAAAAAAGGAAAAAAATATGAAAACATTCATGGGAGAATAAGAGATTTTATGAAATAAAAATAATATTAAATTAAACATATTCAACACTAATTAAAGAATTAAACAATAGTTTTTTTTTAAAAAATAATTAATTTGTTTCTTGAAACAAGAGGGACTAATTTATAATTTACTCATAAAACAATTCAAAAGTTTATGTACTTAATTTGTAATTCTCTCATTTCAAAACCCGATAATTAAATGCCTTTTTTTTTTTTTTCCTTCCAAATTTTAAAACTTGCTTCTGCCACTTCGAAACTTGGAAGATTATAGGCTGTCTCTATGAGAACAATTTCGAGCAAGGTGGTGAAGAAATGTATCACAAGGCCGCCGCCTTTACTACTATCAAATACTTCTCTCACGTCCATGGCGTCCTTCAATGTCCCAAACCAAAACCCGTCTTCCCTAATTGATGATTTCACCAAGTTCTGTTGTCAAAGAGACTTGCCCAGAGCCATGCAAGCCTTGGAACTTATGCACACACATCGTATTTGGGCTGATTGTATTACTTACTCTGAGCTCATCAAGTGCTGCTTGGCCCGTCGAGCTATTGAACAAGGCAAACGTGTTCACGTCCATCTTTTCTCCAATGGGCACGAGCCGAAAGCGTTTTTAATGAACATGTTAATCAATATGTATGTGAAGTTTGGTCTTTTAAAGGATGCACGTGATTTGTTTGATAAAATGCCTGAGAGAAATGTTATTTCTTGGACAACTATGATATCAGCTTATGCTAGTGCTAAGTTAAATGATAAGGCGTTGGAGTTCTTGGTTTTGATGCTAAGAGAAGGTGTGAGACCAAATATGTTTACTTACTCTTCCGTTTTGAGAGCTTGTGATGGGTTGTTTAATCTTAGGCAGTTGCATTGTTGTATAATTAAGATTGGTTTAGACTCTGATGTGTTTGTTAGAAGTGCTTTGATTGATGTTTATTCTAGATGGGGCGAGTTGGAGAATGCGCTGCGTGTTTTTGACGAGATGATGACCGGGGATTTGGTTGTTTGGAATTCGATAATTTCAGGGTTTGCTCAAAATAGTGAAGGTGATGAAGCATTGGGGCTTTTTAAGAGGATGAAGAGAGCTGGGTTTTTAGCCAAACAGCCGACGCTAACTAGTGTTTTGAGAGCCTGTACTGGGTTAGCATTGTTAGAACTGGGGAGGCAAGTTCATGTTCATGTGTTGAAGTACGATCAAGATTTGATTTTGAATAATGCTCTTTTGGATATGTATTGCAAGTGTGGAAGTTTGGAAGATGCTAATGCTGTTTTTGTTCGGATGGTAGAGAAGGATGTGATCTCCTGGAGTACCATGATTGCTGGTTTGGCGCAAAATGGATACAGCAAAGAGGCACTGAAGTTGTTCGAGTCGATGAAAGTTTCTGGTATAAGACCGAGCTACATAACTATTGTTGGTGTCCTTTTTGCTTGCAGCCATGCTGGTCTTGTGGAAGAAGGCCTGTACTATTTCCATTCGATGAAAGAGCTGTTTGGGATTGATCCGGGAAGGGAACACTATGGTTGCATGATTGACCTTCTTGGAAGAGCAGGAAGGCTCAGGGAAGCAGTTGACTTGATAAATGAGATGGAATGTGAACCAGATGCTGTTACGTGGAGGGCTTTGCTCAATGCGTGCAGGGTTCACCAGGGTGTGGATGTAGCTATTCATGCTGCCAAACAAATTCTAAGACTGGATCCCCAGGATGCTGGAACCTATGTGTTGCTATCTAACATTTACGCAAATGCTCGAAGGTGGAATGACGCTGCAGAAGTTAGGAGAGCCATGGATAATAGAGGAATCAGGAAAGAACCAGGATGTAGCTGGATCGAAGTGAATAAGCAGATTCATGCTTTCATTTTAGGAGACAAATCACACCCACAAGTCAGTGGGATCAACATTCGGCTGAACCAGTTAATTCATAAGCTCATGGGAGTCGGGTATGTTCCAGACACTAATTTTGTCTTGCAAGATCTGGAGGGGGAGCAAATGCAAGAATCCCTGCGATACCACAGTGAGAAACTGGCACTTGTGTTTGGTTTGATGAGTCTGCCCAAGGGCCAGACTATAAGAATCAGAAAAAATCTGAGGATATGCGGAGACTGTCATCTCTTTGCAAAACTTATAGCAAAGATGGAGCAGCGGATTATCATCATCAGAGATCCCGTTCGATACCATCATTTCCAGGACGGGTTTTGTTCATGTGGCGATTTTTGGTGATAGGTGATCAATCTGCGTATGAGCCCTTGTGGTTTGTAACCTCTTAGCATCTAGAGAAATGGGGAGAAGGGAGAAGACGCAGACCAATCTCACAAGTCAGCTGTGTTATTGGATTTACATTATCATCAAGACATTCTGCCTCCAAACTTGCGAGAGACAACGCAACGCATCAAAGAGACTGTTTTCAGGGAAAAGATACCATTGCAAGTAAACTGCAAAGATAGAGGTTGTAAACACTTGAACAGATGGGAGAAACCAAGCCAAAAAGATCAGGAAAGTTTCTCCATTCCAATGACTTCAACAACCAGGACAAAATGCCATCAAGCATATACTACTTGTCGCTCAATGTTGTCCATACTCGGTATAGCTTTGGCTACGACTACTACATTGATGGCTCTCGTCAAACCTCAAAGTCCAAAGGGAGCTCAGCCCCAGCTCACTTTTGTTATTCTTAATTTTGTAATACGAATACATCTAATTAGCATTCAATCGAGATCATTGATAAAATTAGAAATAAAAGAATTCCATGAATTTTTTTGCTAATGTACAGTTTGGTCTCTAAAATTTTTTTGAAAAATTTACTGTGGTCTCTTTATTTTATTTTTCTTGCAAATAATTCCTTAATTGAATTTTTTTAAAAAAAAAAAAAACCATCAAGACGAATAGGATATTGTTACCATTTGATTCGTGATTGATTAGTAACGAAATATAAAAAATTTGCAAGATCATGAACAAGGGAACATTTATGCAGAGTGGGGAGGAATTAAGCATATGTTGCACAAAAACCAAGTTCAATTCATGAAAAGTCATATTCAGCCCACCTGTTTATTGATACATCGCTGAGAATTTTGCTAATGTCAAATCTCATTGTGCTTCCCAGTCAGAAACTCATAGAACATATATGGTCTCAAGGATGGGGGCATGAGTGATGCTGCTAGTTTACAACTCTACATTGATGCAGCCTCCATTGCTTGTCTCAACATAAGATGATGCGTTAGCTCCCTCACAACTCATCTTTGGTGCTTCCATTGCTTGCATGCTCAATATAAGATGCATATGCTTTAATTATTGACTCGTAAATATGGATGCCTTTCAGGTACTCATCTTTGTTCAGGAACTGCAACAATGCAGACATTATGATGGTTTAGTATGGATCATATTAATTCCAATTAAGTGCGATGATTATGTCAAGAATGCAGGGATATGCACTCTCACTCACACACACGAAGATTAGCATGCAAAAATTGACAATATGTGTGAGAAAAACAGCCATTGATTGTTGGCCTACAAATGAAGAAATTTATATGGAAGCACTGAATTAAACATTTAGCACACAAATTAAGGTTGACAACATGTATGAGAAAAAACGGAAGCATTGAATTAAACACTTGCCTCGTTATGATCATGCAGAAGGATAGGTGTGTTTGCCATAGGAGAGAAGCCAATTGCTGGCAGGCCTCGTTCTCGAAAATAGCGAGCATCAGTTGATGCAGGAAAGATCTCTGGCTTACCAAGCTTTCCATCAGCTTTTCTAACAGCTTCCTCAAGCAGGCTCCACCATGGATTAGAGCTGTCGGTCTTTGTAAATATTGGCCTCCCAGAATTATCAAGTATTGAAGCTCTCTGCTTAAACTGCCCAAGCTACACACAATTAGAATTTGAAAATGAAAAGGGGAACACTTAAAAAAATTGTTATTAATTGTGTGTTAAAAACATGCCATGATAAATAAATTTTTAAAAAAAAAAACAAGCAGCTTTTTTCCAACGAGTGATTAGATCACACATATTCCTCCAGATCATATGTTTCTTCCACTTGCTGGTATCCATATCGCCAGTGTGTAAATAGATATGGGTTAAACTTCTATCAGTTAACAAGGTCTTTTTAGCCTATGTTACCAAAATTCTCTTGCTAGATTATGTACTCCTGCCTCGTTCACAGTGTAGATCAAAATATTTGAAGCAGGAAAAGGCCATTGACTGGTGTTAGTTTTGCTAAGACAGGGCCCTGAATGGGGCATATGAAAGGGTTATATAGTCAACCTTATTTCCTAAGTTAAATGTTCAAAATGCAAAATCTCTTCCCTTCCCATTCCTTCTGAGTTTATTAATGCCCAAGTATGGAGCTTTTATAAATGCAAATCATCATGGATGTCAATCTCAATTCTCAAGCAAGGTGCAAAGATAAAAGGGATGCTCTTTGAGCTTAATAATAAAGGAGAAAACTTCTATTTTAGATGACAAGTACCAATTAGCATGAAAAATATACTACCAAAGGACACCAGCATAATAATCACCTTTCCTACTTTTCGGTTCAAGAATAACATTGGTTACTAGATAAAGCAAGGCAACTGTGATTTTCATGATTTCCAAACACAGCTTGGAAAAAATTACAAGTCTCAAAGACTCCCAACTACCTGGAATGTCATATTGCGTGAAACAGGAGCCCACTCTTCAGCAATTCGTCTCTCCAAAGATTCTGGATCAGCAGTTGGTGGGACTCGAATATCAAAACCTGCTTCTGCTTCAGATGGCTGCAAATTCATGACAAATCCCTGGAAGAGAATGAAGAAGATCAGTCCATGTAATCAATAACATGAAAGGTTGTAAGCTCAAAATTCTCTCATCTTGGGATGCCATGAAGATTACTACATTTTCAAATAAATCAGCCAATCAACAAATTGTTTAAAACACAGATTTTGTGGATTTGTGAGAACATAATATGTTTATTTGACAAAGCTCGTGACTTTTGTCCTGCGGCATTCATGTAAGGTGCAGAAAAATCCCTGCCTTGGGTCCATGTTTACGAGTCGGAGCATTCTCGCAACACCTAAAGCCTACCAATATTAGACAATGAGAGTCTCAAATCAAAATTATAAATGTCTCTGAATCCTTGCTCTTTTCTTCATAATAATGACTCCCAGTTCTACCATAATTGTTCTAGCTGCCATAATATTCCATTAGTGGACCTAAATGGATCAGCAAAACAATTAGACAAGTTAAACTCTATCCCAACTTACAGTAGGAGAAGGAGTGCCAGCCTTAAGAAAGACCATGTTGACAGATATGACCTCTCCTTCAGCTTTCAAACCAGCCTTCACCAAATCAAACTGAGAAGCTCTATACCTCCTCACACTCTCAATACTTTTGAAAAGATTCTCCATAGCACTATTATCATATAACTTAGCTCCATGTCCTGGTGCCCCAGTAGCCTTGATCACCAACCACCACGGACACCTCTCCGCATAAAACGCCTTGTAATTCTCGCTCGGTGATGCCAACCCTGTGATTTCCAAATCACAAAATTTACAACTAATAATTAAAAAAAAAAACTAAGAGTAGCAGCATATTTTACCTTCATCAAGGACTATCGCAACATTCAAACTGTTAAAGGTATCGGAAGCAGCAAACTTCTCAGCACCATCGTGGCCACCGGTTTCTTCATCAGGAACAAAAGACAAGTAAACAGAACGAAGTGGGACAAACCCAGAAGACTTCAAGCGACGAATAGCTTCCAAATACTGCATGCCAACACACTTCATGTCCTGAGACCCTCTGGCAAAGATATTACCATCAGAATCAACATGGGCTCCAAAAGGATGATGAACCCACTTGTGGTGTTCAACTGGGACAACATCTGTGTGTGAGTTGAGAAGGATTGAAGGGAGAGTTGGGTCAGAGCCAGGCCATTTGAGGAGGACGAGAGGCTTGTTTTGTACATATTCGATGGATTGGAATTCGAGTCCGATTGATTTGGCTTGGGAGATGAGGAAGTCAGTTGATTGTTGGTATTGAGGGGTAGGCTGTGCAGTGTTGATCTGAAGGTATTGTTGGAATCTTGATATGATTGCTGCATCTTCTGATTCTGCTTCTGCCTCCGATGGATGGCTTGTAAGGATTAGCAGAAGTACAGAAAGGAGGAGGAGGAGAAGAAGATGATGATTTTTGAAGGGTGTCTCCATTTCTGCTTCATCCACTCCCAGGCAGTGTGCTTCAGTCCAGGAAGTTGACTGCTACTTGTCATGGGAACTTGAAGCGCATAGAAGACGACATGCCGTGCAGACATGGGTGACGTGTCGTTACAAATATCTACTGTCGCTGGGCTCTACAGCCTTTACTACTACTACCACATTCACAAGGCTACAATTCTTAAGAAAGTTTAAGTTTCGTTCTATGAGTGGGCTTAAAGCCCATGGTTCACAACCTATGCATTTCACTAATGAATGGCAGATTGCTAGACCACCTTTTTCTTTTCTTTTCTTTTCTTTTTTCTTTTTTCTTTTTTCCAACACAAACATAAATTATAATCTTCAAACTTACTTTGTTTAGACGGATCTTTTATTAATTGCCATAGAATATGTGATCTTGTCAATTATGCGAATTGATTTCTGTTTTTAGTTTACCAAGAAGTTTGTGGGTCTTGAACTACACAATCGAATAATAATTCTTTATTACACAATAAATAAACACATAAACATATATAATTTAACGGTTATGCATTTAGTAGTTTTCTTTGATGAAGTAGCTTCGAGTTCTAATGACTTCAATTTAAAATAAACTAAAATCATTGAAACTCGAATCTATTTTACTGGAAAAAATCTAACAAATACATAATTGTTAAACTTTTATAATCATGTAAATTGATATAACAAACACAATTTAATGGTTATGTATTTAGTAGTTTTCTTTGATGAAGTAGGTTCGAGTTCTAATGTCTTTGGTTTAAAATAAACTAAAATCATTGAAACTCGAATCTATTTTGCTGAAAAAAATCTACCGAATACACAATTGTTCGACTTTTATAATTATACAAATTGATATAATTATTGAAAATATTAGTAATTTTCATGGTAGTTTATAAGAAATGATGAACCGCTTGTTTCCCTCGAACTTTTGTTAAACATTTTCAATAACACATAAAAAAAAATCATATACAAAATAGTATCGGTTTTAGTCGATTGCTCGCACTACGTTGCGGGTCCGATTGAACAAAATCATTTTAAAATTTTTTAATTATAATTTCGTATCTAATTAATTTTTTTATAATTTTTTTCTTTAAAAAACATAAATCATTATTCTTTATGGATTTATTTTAATTAAAATGTTAATCAAGAATTAAAAAACTTTTAAAATATATTTTTCATAATATTGTATTAAAAAAATAAAGTTATAATTAGTAAATAGACTTTTATAAAAACTAACAAATGGACAAAAAAATCTTATTTAATGCTGATGAGAAGATTAATTTTTGAAATTATCCATGCAACGCAATGGGTAGATAGAACAATCATTTCAAAATTTTATAATTTTTTATTTAATTATTACTATTTTTTTGTTTTTCATATAATTTCTGCTTAAAAAAACATGATTTATTTTTCTTTATTTAGGGATTCCTAAATAAAACCCGTGGTGTATAATTTAAACCTAAGATATTAATTAAGAATTTAAAAATAAATACTTTAAAAATATATTATTTTAGAAGAATATATCAAAAAAATAAAGTTACAATTAATGTATAGACTTACGTAAAAATTAACTAATAAAAAAATAAAAATGTATTCTTATTTAATGTTGATGAGAAGATTATTTTTTAAAAGTACATATATTTGATCTAGACATATTATAGAATCATCGGTTTGTGTAGAAAAAAAGTAACGATTGATTTTTAAAAATTTTATCACCTAATTAAATAAAAAAAACATAAACTCATGAAAAAAAAAAAAGCATGTAGTGCATGGCTAAGGATTAAAATTTTTATTTTAAATTTTCAAGAATCAAAACGAAATAATTGAAAAATTATAAAAAAAAACCTAAGAAAAAAGAAAAAAACTAAGAGTGAAAATTTAAAAAGAAAAAAAAACCTAAGAGTGAATAGTACATTGTGAGGGAGAGAACAAGTATTGCCATAAAAACAAAAAATTTAAAAATATATTGTTTTATAAGAATATATCAAAAAAATAAAGTTATAATCAATGTATAGACTTACATAAAAATTAACCGGTGAAAAAATAAAATTTTATTCTTATTTAATGTTGATGAGAAGACTTTTTCTTTTTTTTTTAAAGTATACATATATGATCTATATATATATTATATAATCATTAGTTTATGTGGGGGAAAAAAAAAGCAACGATTGATTTTTAAAAATTTTAACATCCTATTAAATAAAAAAAAACATAAATTGAAGGAAAAAAAAGAAGAAAAAAAAGACATGTAGTGAATCGGATAGGGATTAAAAATAAAAATTTTATTATAAAAAATGAAATAATTTGAAAATCATAGAAAAAAGTAAGAGTGAAAATTAAAAAAAAAAAAAAGAAGTAAGAGTGAATAGTACATTACGAGTGTAAAAAAAAAAGTAGTGAACAATACATTATGAGGGGATGATTTTTAAATTATATACATTTGATATATATATATATTATACAATCATCGACTTGTGTGAACAAAAATAACGATCAATTTTTTAAAAATTTTAACACTTAATTAAATTTAAAAAAAAACATAAATTGATTAAAAAACCAAAGAAAAAAGAAAAAACATATAATGCATCGATTAGGAATTAAAATTTTTTTAAAAAATTTTTTAGGATTAAAATGAAATAATTTAAAAAAAAAAAAAAAACTAAGGAAACAACCAAGAGTGAAAATTACAAAAAAAAAAATAATAATAATGTAAAAATTAACTAAGAACTAAGAAAAAAAAACTAAGAGTGAAAATAAAAAAAATAAATAAAAATATAAAACTAAGACTGGGTAGCATAGCGTGTGAAGGTTTTTTTTTTTTTAAGAAAAAAAAACTGTTCAAATGAACAGTAGCGAGCCCCCCCCCCCGTTTTAGTTTATAGTTAATTTACTAAGACGTGAAAGCAAGATTAATTTAAATTTATAAAAAGCAAATTAAATATAAATACAAAATATATTGAATCATACGGATTCTGAATTTAAGGAGGAGATAAGGATTAAAGAGAGTCAGCAATCATGTGAGAAGAGGTGCCACCTCTTCAGCCCCTTAAATATCTCGAAATTTGTAAATAGGTCCTGAAAAAGGAAAGGAAAAACGCCCAGATTGCATGCCGAAACGGTCTCTCCCAATGGTCACAACTCTGTTTTTTCCCCTCTTAATTATATCCTTTACCGTACCATAACATAAAAAAAAATCCTTTCTTTTCAAATCCCACCATAGAAGAAGACGAAGACTTCCACAAACAAAAACCCCTACTTTCAAGCCTTTCACTGCTTAACCACTAGACGAAGACTAAAAGAAAAGAATTTTTTCTTTTCTTTTTTCAGAATATAAATTAAAAAGAAAAAGAAAAGAAAAGCAGCACTGACTCTCTCTCTCTCTCTCTCTCTAATGGAGGATTGCATGAGAAAGCTAGCGTTATGGCACACTAGAACATTCAATCCCATTATGACTCACGAGGAGCTTGAGCCCATCATGACAAACATGGGCTTCGTGGGCCTCCCTCCATGTTCGTCTTCTTCGTCTTCTTCATGGAAGGAGTACGTTTACATGGCCAAGGCGCCTAATTACAAGTATTATGATCAAGCTGAGGAGCAGTCGGCAGCGCCACCGCGCCCCAAGCTGCCTTACCCTAAGATAGATGGCCTCCACCTATACGCTTACCAGGCTTTCATCGACGCCGTTAACTTCTACCTCGAGATGTCTGACATCTCCGACCTCTTCCACATCAGGTAACTACATTAATTTCTCTCTCTTTTTAATTTGCTGGGTTTTCCCTTTCGATTTTCAATATTTCTTCTTCTTCTTTTTTTATTCATTCACTTATTCTATCATTTGATTATGTTTATCTATGCAATGGACCACACGCACCCTTTCCCTTTTTTTTTTTTGGTCAATGGCTACCATAATTATAATTTACACATTATTATTATTATTATTATTTTCAGTTTTTGATATCTTTGAAATTTTATTGGTCATGCGAAACAAATGGGACTTGACCAGTTGAATCACGCAGCTCTGGTTGTTTGGTAATGTTAGAATTTCTTTCTAGTGAGCCACAAATTACTTAAATAATAATTCAATGCTATAAACATACTTATAGTAATGATTATTATTAGTAGTGGAACTTGACAGGCCTAAACAAGTCAAAATTTTGAAATAAGACTTGCCATTGTTACAAAAATACCAATCCATCATATGTTGCGTGAAAATTAGAAGCAAGGCTTGCTATCATCTCCAAACCACCATTTACAAACATCGTACGATATTTGACCGAGTCTGCCATATCGACAACTTGACATCCCTCAAACGAATTGAGAATTGAAAATAAAACCCGTCGTCTTCCCCGAATAAACATTTTCACGCAACATATGATGGGTGGTAAATTATTGGTTTTGGTAATCTTATGACATTAATTAGGGGTACTAAAGTAGTGCTGTTGTTTATTTATTTATGATGATGATTATTATAGGGGAATGCCGCTTTATCGGAATATGGATAGAAGCAGGAAGTGGCGTAGAATGGAAGAAGATGAGAGTGTGTTTGTTTACAGAGAAGGAACTTTAGATCAGACAACATACCAACTTTATCATTTTGACAAGTCAAGCAGCAGCAGCAATGGGGATGGTTCTTTGCTCATTCGCGACAAGGGCACAAAAGCCCCCATTACTTGCATTGTCCCTTTGAAAGACATTATAGTAGGATGATTCTTCTCGTCTTTTTATTTCCAATTACTTTTTTTGTTTTCAGTAGCATTTTCTTTATGTGATTCAATTCTTAAATTCATTCTTTTATTTCCATTTGACTGTTTTTTTCTATCATAAAAGTGACAATTGATATACATATACTACTACTACTTGTTTTACATAAGTCTATCAAAGAAGATGGTTTAAGTTAGTGAAACTACAAGTCAGTTAGGGTGGTTCTTGCCAAATATGATTAATTTTTTAGTGGGTGCCTACAATTTTACCAAGCATGCAGCGAGAGATTAAAAGCTGTTTAAAGTAGACTCGACGTAACATGAGTCTTACCAAATTCATCTCTGGGCTATGGCCTTCAAAAATTAAGGGTTTTCTTCTCTGTGGGTTTGTTGTCCGTTCAGGGCCTGCTGCCCACAAACTAGCCCTTGTATGCTGGATCCTTCTTGTGGTGCTCTTCTCAAGTCTGTGATGTTCTAAAATCTGAATCTTGGTCCATTAAAGATGTCCCTTGAAAAAGAAAGCAAGATTATTCCTACAGCAAACGACAAGTGGTACGAGCACACAGTTTCTTTATGTGCAGGCAGAGCACGCTGCGTGCTCATGCTTTTCTTCCTTCCCCTTTCCTCCATATAAGCCAATAATCTCCAATGGGCCTCCAATTAGGCAATCACACTCTCTTTTCCCTATAGCCAACGGGTTCCCCTTTCATTTCTTCTCAAAAGAAGAGCCAAATTAAGTAGATGACACCAAATGTGAGCAAGAAAGCAGAAACATGGCCAGACCCTAATTTAATAACTATTTGGATTCTTCTTTCTTATTCCAAGGCTTTCCGCTCTCTCTGTCTGCCACAGCGACAAAGCATTTAACCCTTCACACTCCAATATGCAATCCCTAAAACCCTTTTTCGAGTTTCCATTCCCGGCTTGAAAAAATCAAAGAAAAGAAGGCATTACTTTTGTCCATTATAGACTAAAGCTACACTTCGCCTCGGGCTTGCCGCATGTCCCCACATTTTGAACAAAGGTATCCATGGCTGGCTTTTTGTCAAAATGTAACAGGATCTTCTATGGGGTGCCCATCTGAACAACAACGCTAGCTTCATTTCAGCAAGGAGATTCAGGTCATTTCCAAAAGAAAAGGCGGCCTTTCGCTACTCTCGAGACCATAATTTCGCAGAGGAAGGAAGAAAAGGAAGGGAACAAATAAAAGAAAAGAATTTCATCAAGTACAAATCCAACTTCTCATAGTCGTTGTTATATCAAATGGGTGCTCTAAAAGCCATACTTCTCTACTTGATTATATACCAAACATGGAAGATCACAGCTGAAGAAGAGGAATGGAAGTCTGCTACCGCAACATACGTTAAAGAAACAAATGGATCAATCATTGTAGGTAATTTTCTAGCAACTGGTCCTAGCAAGGTTGAAACTTTCCGTTTCAACTCGTAATGGTGCTTCATATTTCACAAAAGATTTGAGTTTTGATTGCAAAAAGTAAACTACCATTGCTTAATGTTGCAGAAGGTGCTTGTGGGTATGGAGACCTTCACAGGGCCGCCTATGGAAAGTACAGTGCTGGACTAAGTAGCATGCTGTTCAACAGAGGGAGTACCTGTGGGGCTTGCTTCGAGGTCAGATGCGTAGACCACATCTTATGGTGCCTGCAGGGTAGCCCCTCGGTCATTCTCACCGCAACAGATTTCTGTCCTCCAAATTACGGGCTTTCATCAGAGTATGGTGGCTGGTGCAATTTCCCCAAAGAACACTTTGAGATGTCAGAGGCAGCATTCGCTGAAATCGCAGAGAAAAAGGCTGATATTGTGCCAGTTCAACACAGAAGGTATCGCCAATCAATTTACAATTGCATGGTAAAATGAGTATAGCCTTCTCTATTTCCTAATTCCTTGGATAAGCGAACATTGTTTATGCCAATTTTTGTAGGGTGAAGTGTGAAAGAAGGGGTGGGCTGAGATTCACAGTGAGTGGAAATTATCACTTTTATCAAGTACTCATCAGCAATGTGGGATTGGATGGTGAGGTGTTTGCTGTGAAAGTGAAGGGATCAAAAACAGCGTGGATACCTATGGCAAGAAACTGGGGACAAAACTGGCAATCCAATATCAACCTAATTGGACAGCCTTTATCTTTCGAGGTGACTACCAGCGGCAGAAGAACACTCACATCTTACAATGTTGCACCAGCAAACTGGCAATTTGGTCAGACGTTTGAAGGCAAGCAATTCTAGTACGAGAAGCTTTTAGAACGAGGCATAGGTTCACACTTCCATTTGCTTTCTCCTGCTATGTGACGAGGTTGCTTTTTGGTCAAAAGGAAGAAAGAAAATTGTAGAGGAAAGTTGGGGAAAATGGGAATACAAGGTCCCAGTTTTGTCTCTTTACGTGCTTTTATTGAGTAGAAAGTTAACTACACGTGAAATGTGTAATTACTGAAACTCTAAGGTTTATTTTCACTTCAAAAGACAATGGAAAGGTTAAGTTATGTATATCTTACCATGAGTTCTTTACCAGGCAATCCTTGCTTCATGAACCAGGCCGTGCTTTGAGAAGACCTACTTTGACTCTACAAGAATGATTATCAATTAAGCACCGCTGTGAAATTCACCAATGACGGAAGCTTTCTCGTCAAATGCAACTGCCAGTATGTAATGCGGCGGAAAACAAAGCGAAACATAGTTTCATGCCCAAATTACAGAGGCTCAGTATTGAAAAATGAGCTAAGTAAAGCATAAACAAAGAAAGTGAATTTATGCTGTTGCAAATATGACATAGCTAGAACAAATTGCTGAATCCTTCTAAGTTCTGAGCACAAGAGCAACCAGCTAAATACATTTCTACCTTTAATCCATTGGGGGGAACTTCAAATACATTTGTGTCCATGGAATTGTGCTCTTTACATTTCCTGTTATTTACATGTTTTAATCGTAGAAAAAGGAAACTAGATAGATAACAATAGAAAGACAATCAACCACTTCAACTTCCATACTTGAGTAAAAGGAGAGTAAAAGAAATGACTTTTTGTATTTCTACTACATATCTCATTCAACTTCAACAGGACCAGAAGTAAACAGAGCAGCAAAAGAAAAACACAAGTTATTGGTAATGAAGGAAGTGATCATCAAGATGTGTCAAATGAAGAAAAATATATCATGTTGGCATTAATGAACCAAAAAGCCATGCATGATTCCTCTGTGAGCAACATGAAGTTGGAACACACATTCCAGGTTCTTCAAAAGGTACTGTACCTGCTAAGTGCTGATGACTTAACCATTCAAAAGCTGAAAATTTGATCTATCTCTGATTAAATAACTCAACTTGCTATCTCTTCCTCCTCTGCCTCAAAATCGAGGGATTCACCATAATACTTGTAAGCATCCTGCCTTACCATACCCGAAACCTCGAATTCGGCAATCCTTTCCAAACCATTCACAAGTAATCATCAAGATGTGTCAAATGAAGAAACGTATACCATGTTGGCATTAAAGAATCAAAGGGCCATATGTGATTCCTCTGTCAGCAACATGAAGTTGAACACACATTCCATGTCCTTCACAAGGTACTGTACCTGCTAGGTGCTGATAAAATAACCATTCAAAAGCTGGAAAATTTTACTACCTCTGGTTAAATAACTCAAGTTGCTATCTCTTCCTCCTCCGCCTCAAAATCGAGGGACTCACCATAACACTTGTAAGCGTCCTGCCTTACAATACCCGAAACCTCGAATTCACCAATCGATTCCAGACTATGCACAAGTAATTTAAACGTAGATCTATCAGGTTCACATCCTGCAGACTTCATCGATTCATAGCACTCCATAACAAGTCCAGTACTCAGCTTAAAACTAATCAAAGTTGCCAACAGTTGATTAAAATCATCAGTTTTAAACGGTAAATCACCACTAATTTCACTCTCCAAATACCTAAAAAGAAGTTGAACCTCTTCAATGAATCCATTGGTAGCCATTACTGCTATCATCTCATTATACAACAACACCTGTGGCTTGTACCAGTGCTCCTCTCGAATGTCTTCAAAAACCTAAAAAAAAAAAAAAAAATTAAAATATCAGGTAAATCAATCACTCATATTTTATTAATCGATCCAAATTAGGGTTTAAACTGAATTAATGAATAAAATTTGACCTTGAGAGCCAAAAGGCAGTGGTTCTGGCGGAGGAGTTCGCGAAGAACGGCAGTCATATCGAACTTCAACAATCGGTTGAATTTAGAATGGAAGACTTGGTCGAGCAGCGACTTGTCGTTCTTGTAAGCTAGTTTTAAGGCTTGTATCGTTTGGATGGCTTCGATGCTGAGGTTTCTCCCTTTCTGCAGCGGCTTTCGATTTAGGCTTCTCACACTTGCAGCTCTTATTGCCGTATTCCTTGAATGAATTGCTTGTGTTGGCTTTGGTTTCCATGGATTTTTCAGGAAATGTAGACCACTGGTGCTCATTGTTTGGCTCATCATCATCCTCACCATCACCGTCTTGAAAGGATGATGCTGATGAACGCTGGCTTGTGTGGATACTAGCATTTCTAGATTGAAACGTCACGCTTTGAGATTCACCTTCTTTTTTTTCCTCATTTAATAGTAATAATAAATTTATTGATATTATCCTATTTTTAACAATTTTACTAATTAAACTTGCTAATAACATTTATAATAATTTAATATTACATGATAATAGTTAAATTTATTATAAAAAATTAATAACACTTTTGATAGTTTAATATCTCATAAAAAATAATAAAATGCATTACAATTTTAAAATATAAGATTTTACGTGGATAATATCTCAAATAATATTTATCAGTCAACAAATTCAAATTTTTGAAAAAAAAAAAAGAAAGAAAAGAATATTTTTTCTTAAAATATAACACTGTTATTTGGTAAATAACGACAACTAAAGGCGATATATAAAGTTAATGTGGATATTCGTTGTTATTAATATAAAACGATGACAAGTATTATATGAAAGCATAACAAAAGTATTTGAAATCGTAACACAATGATTGTTATTTTAAACTATCAAACAACGACAAATAATAACATTGTTATTTATGTGAAACAGTGACAATAATCTTATAACATAAAATAACAATAACAAACGTGCTTAAAATCATAACGTAACAATTATTATTTAAAATTATCAAATAACAACAAATAATGACGTTACATATCGATAACACCGCCATTCATCGTTATTTAAGTAAAATGAAGATAGAGATCCTATAAAAGAGAATAACGGTAACGAAGATATCCAAAGTCATAATGTAACGACTTTTATTTAAAACCATGATAGATACTAAATCGAAATGCCATTGTCTTCATATTCACTCTTTTTTTTTTCCTTTCTTTTTTAATAGCAATAGTATTTGTCATAACAAAAAATATTCCCTACCTTTTTATTTATTATTTTATTGTATTTATTTATTTCACAATTTCATTTTTATTTTTACAAATTTTATTTTATTGTTATTGTTGTTGTTGTTGTTATTATTAGTTTTGGTCTTATTTGAATTTTTAGATTTCTAGTATAAAATTTATCCTTTATTTTATCAAAAAAAAAAAAATCAATCAAAAATTTTTAAAAAAAAACCAGAGAAAAAGGAAAACATAAAAATTAGGTTAAATTTCTTTTGTGTTTTGCATAAAAATAAAAATACAAAAAAAAAAAGAAAAAGAAAAATACAAAAAATATGGTTAATTGTTTAGAAAATGGAGTCGAAGGTGCAATTGAACAAATTAAAAGAGCATAAACCGAAATCAAGAGATGAAGGCTGTGATTGCAATAAGTTGAATGAAAAAAGGACCAAAATAACATGGTTAAGAGATCCAATTGAAGCAAAATCAGAATAGTCGAGGATGATAATTAAAAAGATGAACGAACGACAGGACCAATTCGGAAGTTGTTCCGAACGACCTGTCTTTTGCTTCAACAAAATTAGATCAACCTTTCCCTCCAACTGTTCATCGTCTTCCGCACAACGAAGACAAACCCCAAGCCAGACAAATTCTTGGCTGCCATTCGTACCAGCCAGGAATTACCCTTCAAAATGCCGGCACCAAATCTTCCTTCAGAATCTGCATACACAACAACAAAAATTGCTCTCCATTTCCAACTTTCAGGGACAGCTGCCCAAAAAGACGAAACAAAGAAATGAGACTTCCCTTGGATAAAACAAGGGAAGAGCGTCTCATAGTTTGAGGGAAATAGAGGGCCAGGATGGAATGAAATTGATCTAAAGACTGAGAAAGTAGGGAGAGCGAAAATAAATAGGAGAAGAGTACATTCGGTTGAGAAAAGAAGAGGCTCTGGTTTCAGAAGAAAAAAAATCAAAGCTTTAGGGTATTTGGGAATTTTCAGCCAAATCTGGTATTCGAAAGAAACCCAGAAGAGAGCAAGGACGAGAGAGAGGAAGAGAGATTGATACTCGAAGGAAACCCAGACAATACCCTGTTCTGGGGTATTTGGAAACAGAGGAAGTATTGAAAGAACAAGCATCACTGCTAGTGTGCTCGTTCCTTGTTCAAGCTCAGCTGAGCTTCAACCTGCCACCCAACACTGAGCTCACCAGGTAATTTCTTCACCCATTTTGTATTTTACAGCTTTAATCATCCTCCCGCTTTTGCTCCCGAAATACGAAGACAGTGGCTTCCTCACTGTCATGATGTAACTATCCAAAGCTTTGAACAAACCCGGTCATCTCATCCTTAGTTATTGTCTATAGTGCATGAGAAGGAAGATGGAAACCTTGATTGAAGTTTTAGGTAAGAATTGCTGTTTATTCTGTTTTGCGGTATAAGGAAGAAGAGAAGGATTTATCAAGAGACCGGGGTGAGGGAAAGAGAAAAGAAGAAGGGAAAGAACTTGGGCTAGGGAAAGAGTAAAAGAGAAATGGGCTTGGGTTGTCTTTTTTAAGAGAGGTTGGGCTGTGGACTAGGAAGAGTTAGGTTTAGGAAGGCCTAAGGGCGAAACATTTTTGCTAGGCTATTGAGTCCGGTCTAGAGAAAAAAAAGAGAGAAAGAGGCCGTGTGCTGAGTTTGTGAGAGGCCAGGAAAAAAACGAAAAAACAAAAAGCCTACGAGCTTGTCAGCATGGACTCTGGGCCTCAGGCCTTGGGTTCTGGGTTACACAGTAATGGGCCTAGGGCGAGGTTTGATTGGGCCAAAGGACTGGCCCTACGTGTTTCCAAATAATCTTCTTCTTCTTCTTCTTCTTCTTTTTTTAGGCTTTATTTTCAGTTTTTAATTTTTTTTACAAGGCTATATTAGTTATTTTGACCTAAAATTTTTATGTGTGTTACATATGATTATTTTTAGTTTTTTTTTTTAAGTTCATAATTTTTGAAGTTCATTTATCGTTTATTTAGAATTTATTTAATTTTCTACGTAATTGTTAAATTTTTTTAATTGTCTAAAAATTTAATTGAGCTTGCTATTTAATTTTATTTTAATCTTAAGTGTTTAGGATGATTGTATGCTTGTATATAAGTTGTGTGTGAAGTTTTATAATTTTATATTTATTTAATATTTTTCGTACCTCTAGTATTTTAATTTAAAATTTATAGGATTGTAAATACATTTGTTTGTCCAAGTATTGTGTTTCGGTTTTGCATTTTTTTTTTAAATTCCTTTGCTATTTACTTGTAATTTATCATAACCTAGTTATTAAGTAATTAATGTGGTGGCAGATCATCGAGCCTCCTAGATTATAGAGAGTGATAAGGATCCTCTATCAAATTCATCATGCTAAAAAAACATGTCATTAAAAAAAAAAGAATAAAAAAATATATAAAAAAAACTAAATTTTAAGTTGATTTAACAAGACTTTTATTTAATAAGGACGAACATTATTCTCGACATCAATCAAGGAAAATACGAGTAAGGGAAATAGAAATCAAACACCTTCGAGTAGTTGGATTTGATGCTAAATTAACAAAATTCTCGATTTTAGGATCGACGATAATTCAATATGATGCCACAATAAAAAAATATAAAAATTAATTGGTTTGGACAATAAATAGACTTAGAAATAAGCTTGGAATATAATCTGGCTAAATAGATTATTACAAGATATATATTTTTAGGATTAAACTGGACATGATATCATTTCTTATAAATGGTGCATTTGGGTGATCAATATATTTTTAAAGGCATAATCAATTGCTTACCCGCAATCCTAGGATCAAGTGTCATTTTTTAGGTATTCTAGTTTTCTTTAATACTAGGTGGTAATTCCAATATTTCGTTACCTCTTGTCTCCTAAACCAAAATAAATAAATCCAAACAATTTTTATTTTTTGAAAGTCTTCTAAATATTAGATGATGAGGGTAATAATAAAAAAAAAAATCCTCGACGTTAAAAACGATGCATGAGCATACAAAAGCAAGTAATAATAAGGAGTTGTCATCTTTGTTATTTTGTTTTTGTGGAGAGTGGTCATTAGAATCCATAAGGACTAGAGAAATGGCAAATAGTATAATAACACAAACACTTTGGAAGAGAATCAAGATCGTGCTTGAAATTTCATCTCCAATTTTAAATAATGGTCACACTTGTAAAAATGATCAAAAGACAGTTTATCGTAATAGTAAAATAACAACTATAACAACCAATATCGCGAAAGTATTAACAACTCGTTAATAAATTTATTATGATTTACATATTTTTTACCATGATTGTAAAAATAGTCGAACCGTAACTCGTTGCAATAATAAAATAATGATCATGACAATTGATATCATAAATAAATTAGCAATTGTTAATAAATCTATTTTTATTTACTTATTTTTAATAATTTTACTAATTAAGCATGATAATAATATTTTTAATAATTTAATATCATACAAAAATAGTTAAATTTATTAAAAACATTAATAACACGTCTAATAATTTAATATTGTATAAAAAATAATAAAATACATGGCAACTTTAAGATCTGAGATTTTACATAGATAGAGTGTATATTGTATTCGAATTTTTGAAAAACGAAGGAAAAAAAGATTTTTTTAATATAATATAATTATTTAATAACAATTACTGCCTTACACAAGGATAGCAATATCACTCTTATCTAGGTGAAATGTTGGACGGAAATTCTATAATGGCGAATAACGAAAGAGAGTGTTAGAAAGCGTAATGTAACGGCAGTCATTTGAAATAATGACATACTATCATTTGTGGATTGAAACGTTATCGTTTTGAGATTACTGCTTAATAATAAGAAGTGGTAAACGGTAAAAACGGTACACAAGCTTGCGGAAGCAGGAAGAGTCGTCGTCTTTGCTATCTTCTGCTTTGTCGAGATCCTCATCAGAATTACTGAAGAAATGGCGAATAGTATAATAGCAGGAGCGCCGTGGATAAGAATCAGGGTTATCCCTGAAATTTCATATCCTTTTCAACGTTCTTCATCCTCTCTTTACAACCAAAAAGTCTCTTTCGTTTTTCCAACGAGAAGACTGTTTTCAGTCTCCGCCGTGGCTGGTACTGAGAAAGAACAAGTTAGAGTCCGTTTTGCTCCCTCGCCTACTGGAAATCTCCATGTTGGTGGTGCTAGAACTGCACTCTTTAATTATCTCTTCGCCAGGTGATTTGGGTTTCTTATCTTCTTGTTTTTCTATTCAATTTAATCGTTTGTTTCTTTGCAAATCGAGTGGCTGAAATGGTTTTTTTGTTCATTTTGTGGTTTTAGGTCTAAAGGTGGGAAATTTGTGTTGAGGATTGAGGATACTGACTTGGAGAGGTCGACTAAAGAATCCGAGGAGGCAGTGCTTCGGGATCTTTCTTGGCTTGGTCTTGACTGGGATGAAGGTAATGCAACTATACCTGTAACTATGTGGTATTTTCGATTGAATCTCAGCTTCCATATCGTACATGTTTTACTTGGTAGTGTTAAGTTGCCATTTTTTTAAAAAAAATTATCTGGCTCCTGTCAACTGTGGAACATAATCACATATGATTCAATTCTTACAAATCTTATCTTGTAATTGTATCTTAGGTCCTGGGGTTGGTGGAGACTATGGTCCATATCGACAATCAGAAAGGAATTCTCTCTATAAGCAGCATGCTGAGAAACTTGTTGAATCTGGTCACGTTTATCGTTGCTTCTGTTCTAATGAGGTAGCAATTGTCTCTTATCTGCGAGAATCTGTATTTTGTATGGATTTTTTCTTTGTTAATGTATATCTAGCCTTGAGTATTTATTATTTGCACATAATAGGGAGCATAAAATAGAAAGATATTGTTTAGTAAACTTTAAATAAAAAAGTTAAAGAGTTCTGATGCAATTAAGGCTCACTTGATCTGTTCTGGCGATGGTGACTGAAAAATAGTAGGGCCAAAGACAAAAAGATATGATCTTTTGATGATTTGAGAAAAATTGTTTTAAACTAATAGATTTGTGCTGTAATTTCACACCAGGAACTTGATCAAATGAAGGAGATCGCAAAATTGAAGCAACTGCCTCCAGTATACACAGGAAGGTGGGCTAATGCAACAGATGAAGAAGTACATGAAGAGCTGGCGAAGGGAACTCCACACACATATAGATTTCGAGTGCCTAAGGAGGGGCGTTTGACAATCAATGATCTTATTCGGGGTGAAGTAAGTTCAATCAATCTTCTATTTTAATGATCTTACCAGTACCAGCTGATTTATATATGTACGATCAGTGTAATTTTTATGCTGCATCTGCAATGATTATAATTACATTTTTGTGCCTATGCAACTTAGCAATGAAGAGAAAAGTTGTGAAGGATAGAGGTCATTGCATCAGGTGCTATTTGTGCCGACAAGTTGGGCATGCCTAAAATCATTCTAGATTGTCAATTCCCTTTTTTAAATGAAATTCTTAGTTTTATGGACTTCTAACTCTATTTGATAGTGTCATAAAGGTTAGTTGGAATTATGACACTCTCGGAGATTTTGTGATCATGAGGAGCAATGGACAACCTGTGTACAACTTTTGTGTCACTGTTGATGATGCTACCATGGCAATCTCACATGTTATAAGGTAATTATTCTAGCTGCTCAAAATTTTTGAAGATAGGATATGTGCTTATATTAGTTTAGCTTACTGCAGGGGCCCTAATCTTTTGTTTGTGGCTTCTGTCTGACATATTGCATTTTGTCATCTTGCTGTCGACTCCTGAATTTCAGAGCTGAAGAGCATTTACCAAATACTCTCAGGCAAGCACTAATATACAAGGTATTATAGTGTACCATCGTGAATGAACAGATATTTTTCTTTTCATTTCCTTAAGGCAATCCATCTTCTTTGAATAATATGGGGCCTATCTATTTGGATTTCATCACAGGCCCTTGGATTCTCCATGCCTCACTTTGCACATGTTTCTTTAATTCTTGCACCTGATAGGAGTAAATTATCAAAAAGACATGGTGCAACTTCAGTGGGTCAGGTATCTATTGGTTACTGCTGCTTGTCTTTGTTTCTTAGGTTATTGCTTAGGTGTGATGTGTGGACATTAATTCTTTGTTTTCATGGGCTCTTTTTTTTTTTTGGCTTATCTGAAATATTTTCTAGTGAAGATAGAAATGTCAGAAAATTGATAATTATTTTTTAACAGTACAGGGAGATGGGTTATCTGCCCCAGGCAATGGTGAATTACTTGGCACTTTTAGGTTGGGGTGATGGAACAGAAAATGAATTTTTTACCCTAGAGCAACTTGGTCAGTGATTTCATCTCATATCTTTTTGTGGAATTGTCTTGCATGTAGCTTTTTTGGGTGTATTTCAAAACAGTATCTTACTTGAACTTCTTACTGTAATTAACAGTTGAAAAATTTTCAATTGGTCGTGTTAACAAAAGTGGCGCTGTTTTCGATTCTACCAAATTGAGGTAATCATGTCACTTCAGTTGCTATAAATTTAGAGCACATTCTTCTCTACTTTGGCTAGCAGTCCCTGATTACATTGCATGTAGTTGGAACTGGCTTCTGAATTGTGTACATGTTCTTGTATTTCCCTTTGATTCTGGAATAATTTTGATTTCCAGGTTTCATTTTGGATACTGTCTCATTCATGTTTTTTGTTTTTATTTATTGTTTTGTGGGAAAATTGATGAATTGCAGAGCAGTTAGAAATGTTACCCTTTTGCAAACCAGTGAAATCTTAAGTAAGCAAGCTAACCCTGTATATGTCTATAAACTAAAGGTGGATGAATGGTCAGCATTTAAGAGCACTTCCATCAGAGAAGCTGAACAAACTTATTGGTGAACGCTGGAAAAGCACTGGTTTTCTCGTAGAGTCAGAAGGGCCGTTTATCGAAGTAAGACTTGTGCTCTACTGCCATATATAAGTTTCCATAAACATTTATAGCCTCTGTTAGCTGAATGTGGTCTTATGAAGATTGGTTCAAGTTGCACTTCTCTTCAACTTCAGTGTTACTTGGAAATATTTGTCATTGGTCAATTGTTGTAGCCACTGCATGGAATTTAAATTACCATGTACCAGCTGAATTGCCGTACAAAAGAAAGAGGCTCTCAGGAATTAAGTATGTCATAAAATGAGATACGGACGAGATATTATTATTATTTTTTTTCTAAATCTGCAGAGCTGTTTTGCCATGCTCAACGTAGTACGTGGCTTAATATAAGTTTCCCACTCCTCACATGGACTTCCCCTTATGATGACTCTGCATTTTAGTCATGTACAGAGAAGTGTATGATAGTAATGACATAATTTTGTTCATACAGGAGGCAGTTCAGCTTCTTAAGGATGGGATTGAGTTGGTAACTGATTCAGACAAAGCGCTCTCAAATTTGCTGTCTTATCCCTTACATGCTACTTTATCAAGGTGATTCTCAAACATCCCACTCTAAAATATTAAATTTTGTTAACCTATTTGCCACTTTCTGGCCTGAGAAATTTTCATAATTGAGTGTGGTTTGCTGGTCTCATCAACTTGCCTTTTGTGCATCATCATTCTTCCCAAGGCAAAAAGACTGGAGATATTGTTAGGTCTTGAAAATGCTTTTGAGATTGTATTATATTTGGGCAGCCTGGCTAAGTAACTCTTTGTTGCCTTTGTAAGTTCATGAAAGCAAGTTCATGAACGCATGCAGTGACCTGTAGATTGACAGTATTTCATACAGTAAATCAGGACAGCGTTCTATCTTTCAACAAGCTTTTAGAAATTTTATGTTACATGCATGTCTGGGCTATCCCAAAGGTAAGGATGAATGTTCTGCAATCCATCATGGTAGCTTGTGAGTTGTCCAAATGCCGGACAGGAGTTGGTTGACAAGTTTTTCGGCTGATGATTTTTCCTAGTTTATTACAGGATTATTGTTAGCTGGCATCGATTTCTTATATGATATCAGTTGTAATATCAGTTATATTTATTTGCGTTGTCTGCAGTCCTGAAGGTAAAGCTGTGATAGAAAATAAGCTTTCGGAGGTCTCATCCGGGTTGTTAGCTGCATATGACAGTGGTGAACTCCTTAATGCCCTAGAGGAAGGCCATTCTGGTTGGCAGAAGTGGGTAAAGAATTTTGGAAAAGCAATGAAGCTGAAGGTGTGCTCTAATTGAGTAGTCTGCTTTTACTGTACCTGTTATTTATGTCTCTGAGCTCTAAACATTTTGTATTATTTTTTTCTTGTTTCCATCTTGATGCAGGGGAAATCCCTTTTCATGCCTCTCCGAGTTTTGCTAACTGGAAAGCTCCACGGTCCTGACATGGGCTCTAGCATAATCCTTCTCCATAAAGCTGGAACTCAGGACATTTTTTCTTCTCAAGCTGCGTTTGTGAGATTGAATGAGAGGTTTGAAGTACTGAGGGAAATAGACTGGGAAGCATTGAAGAAGAATCAACCTCCATTGGAACCTGCTGCTGCTATATCAGTGAATTGAGAATCCCCAGTTTTGATCGGCTAATTTTGAATTCAATTCTTTAGGTGCTTAAACTTGACGATGTTTTGAGTGATTAACGTGTATTCTATTGAGAAACGAGCATCCATTTTTAATGATCCACTCTTCTCGTGAGCCTTCATTAGAGATTCTAATTCTTTACCATGTTTATGAAACCAAGTTGTCCTAATCCAGGTCTCTGGAATCCCAGTTGACAAAGGAATATTATCAAATTTTCAATATTAATATGCATGGTGTGTGGTTTTTTATCTCCATGCCTTGGTGTTTAGCGTACTGCTGGTTTTGGGACATGTTGATGCTCTTGAAATAGGAAACCTTGGTACCAAATAATAATAGATAATCTCACTATTTATTTTTTTTATTTTTTCTTTTAACACATGTTGATGCTGTTTGGTAATGCTGCTAGAGTGCTATGAGTAAATTATTAATTAGTCCCTCTCATTTAGAAAAATAAATAAATAAATTCTTTTTTTTTTTTTAAATTTATCATTTTAGTCTTTGGCATTTTAATTCCATTAATAACTTAGTTTTTTTTATTAGTAGTTTAATTCTATTAATAAATTAGTTTTTTTTTTTTTTTTTTGTCGTTAAAGAGTACTAGGTTGATGGTGTTTGATAATGCTCTTAGAGTATTTGGAGTAAATTATAAATTAATCCTTTTTATTTAAAGAAATGAACTAATTAGTCTCCTTCTTTTAAGAAACTAATAATTTAGTTATTTATCTTTTAATTTGGTTAATAACTTATTTCTTTCATTAGTTTTTCATTAAATTAGTGATTTTTGTTTTTAAATTATTTGAAAATCAATAAGATATGAAAAAAGTTAATATGGAGAAAAAATTATTAATTTAATAAAAAATGATGAAAAAATTAAGTTATTGATAAAATTAAAAGATAAGAAATTGAATAATTAATTTTTAAAGCAAAAGCAATTAATCAATACATTTCTCAAAACGAGGGACTAATTTATAATTTACTCGGCTGCCGGAGCAGTAGAGACTTGTCTACAACTAATGGTAGTAGCGTACTGACTAGATGACTATCTTTAACTTAGTGGGCACGTGACAAACCCGTAACACCAAATAGGAATAGGAAGTAAAGAAATTGAAAATTGGCAAGAAAGGAAGGAAAGGAAAAGACCGTTCTAAGAAATCCAAATTCCTTAATAATTTCCCAATTTCCACCTCACTCTCAGGAGCGCATCTCTCGGCTCGGCCTTTCGTCAAATCCACAATCAGCTCTTCTTCATCCAAATTCCGTTCAAAAATCTGTCTTCTCCATATCCATCCTCCTCCTCCTCCTCCTCCTCTCTCTCTCTCTAAATCGACATGTAGTTTTAGCAGATCTGCATCTCTCCGATCAATGAAGGAATAAATCATCATCGTAACTTTTTGGTCACCGAAATGTCAGCTTCGCAAACCCTAGGCGGTCCTTCTCGCTGCGGCCGTGCCTTAGGACCTTCTCTCGACAAGATCGTTAAAAACGCTGCCTGGAGGAAGCACTCTCACCTCGTTTCCTCCTGCAAATCGGTCCTCGACAAGCTTGAGTCACTCACCGATTCGGATTCAAATTCACACTCTCCTCTCTTCGGTGTCTCCCCTTCCGATGCCGAATTTGTTCTCAAGCCGATTGTTCTTGCCTTGGATTCGGCTTACGCCAAGGTTGTGGAGCCCGCACTCGAATGCCTTTTCAAATTGTTTTCCTCAGGCCTAATTCGAGGTGAGATCGATAATAGTTCCCCAAACTTGATCAGTTTTAAGATAATTGAGAGTGTTTGTAAGGTTTGTGGGATTGGTGAGGAAGCGGTTGAGGTTTCTGTGCTTAGAGTTTTGCTATCTGCTGTTCGATCTCCTTGTGTTTTGATTCGCGGTGAATGTTTAGTGCATATTGTTAGGACTTGTTATAACGTTTATCTTGGTGGATTGAATGGGACCAATCAGATCTGTGCGAAATCGGTACTTGCACAGATTATGGTTGTTGTTTTTAGTAGAGTTGAAGAGGATTCCATGGATGTTGATGTTAAAACGGTTTCTGTTGGTGAGTTGTTACAGTTTACTGATAAGAATTTGAATGAAGGGAGTTCTATTTATTTTTGTCAGAATTTTGTTAATGAGGTTATGGTGGCGAGTGAAGGGGTTCCTGATGATAAGTTGTTATTGCATAGTCAGCCGTCTGATAAACTCCAAAATGGCAGTGGCGGTACTGCTGCTGCTGCTGATAAAGTAGCCGAAGGGGATCATAAAAGTGAATTGGGCAATAAGGAAGCAAATGGTGAAGCTGAAACGGATGGTGGTAGTGGCAGTGGTGAAGCTGCAGGGAGTAAGATTAGGGAAGATGGGTTTCTTCTTTTTAGGTATCTGTGCAAATTGTCAATGAAATTCTCATCGCAGGAGAGCCCAGATGATCAAATTCTTTTGAGAGGGAAGATTTTGTCTCTTGAGTTGCTTAAGGTGATCATAGACAATGGGGGTCCAATTTGGCGCAATAATGGAAGGCAAGTCACTAATACATCCTTTCACAGTTTTCTGAACTCCAGCCATTATGCATATATCATTATTGTCTACGGTTTGCCGTTAAATTTGATTTCAATGTAAAAAGCCCTTGTTGTTTTCTATTTCATTTCATTACATTTTAATTTTTAATTGCTTGCTTATAAATCCTATATGTTTTTCCTGTGAATATTTTCCATATATTTCTCTGATTTTGCCATCATTAGTTGTAAATGAACTATTTTTTTTTTTTGGCACATTTTTCACATTATTTTTTTCTATGAAGAGTTCAATATTTTCTTCTATTTTGTACAGGTTTCTCAACACTATTAAGCAATTCCTATGCTTGTCATTGATAAAGAACAGTGCATTGTCAGTTATGGCTATTTTCCAGCTCCAGTGTTCCATTTTTATGATGTTGTTAGTGAAGTTCAGATCTGGATTGAAGGAAGAAATTGGAATATTTTTTCCTATGCTTGTCCTTCGAGTGCTTGAGAATGTTAACCAGCCTAGCTTCTTACAGAAAATGACTGTCCTGAATTTTTTGGACAAAATCAGCCAGGATTCCCAGATCATTATTGATATTTTCGTAAACTATGACTGCGATGTGGATGCTCCAAACATATATGAAAGGTATTACATATGCATCTGTTGTTACTTATGTCTTAGTTGGAATTTACATGCATCTGTTAAAGAAGTTGTCAAATTTGAATAGTTAATTGCTTTCTATTTTTCAGAAGACAAGGTTCGTGTAGTTTGGATATGAATTAGTGATCTTATACTATGATTTATGTGAGATCTCTTTAATCAATATTTTGGAAAGCCTCACCAAATGGATTCTCTCTCTTGTTTGTAAACATACCACATCTTTTATTTTGGTTATTATTTATATTGTCATTTCTTAATGGCATGTGTTTTTTTTTTAAATGTATTAAAACACTTATAATTCCATCAGATATTTGCAGGATTGTCAATGGACTTCTGAAAACTGCTCTAGGACCGCCTACTGGTTCAACAACAACTTTGTCCTCAGTTCAGGACATTACTTTTAGGCATGAATCTGTGAAATGCTTGGTTAGCATCATAAGGTCAATGGGTGCTTGGATGGATCAACAGTTGAGAATCGGAGATTCCTATTTGCCTAAGAGCTCTGAAAGTTCTACTTCAACTGAGAATCTTTCAACCCTGAATGGAGAAGATGCAAGTTCCCCTGATTATGATTTGCATTCAGAAGTGAACTCTGAAATGTCTGATGCTGCCACCCTTGAACAACGTCGGGCATATAAAATTGAACTCCAGGTTGTCATTTCTTTCGTTTGCAAGGGATGGTCGTATGGGGTATAGGGTACTGATATTTTAACTGGTTGCTCTTTTATTAGTATCATATGGTATCACTAGTATGCTTCTCGTGCCTCCATTTTTTTTTTTGTTTTGAATGTTTTGCCTTGTTATACTTTCTCAGAAATGGCCTGCTTCGCCCTTCATTGACAACTTTACCTTATTAAATGCAGAAAGGTATCTCCATATTCAATAGGAAACCTTCCAAGGGCATTGAGTTTCTGATAAATGCCAAAAAAGTTGGTGGTTCTCCAGAAGAAGTTGCTGCCTTCCTGAAAAACACTACAGGCTTGAATGAAACAATGATTGGTGACTATTTGGGTGAAAGGGATGAGTTTTGCTTGAGAGTTATGCATGCTTATGTGGACTCATTTAACTTTAAAGCAATGGATTTTGGTGAAGCGATAAGGTTTTTCTTACGCGGCTTTAGGTTACCTGGAGAGGCACAGAAGATTGATCGTATCATGGAAAAGTTTGCTGAGCGCTATTGTAAATGTAATCCAAATTCATTTACCAGTGCAGATACTGCTTACGTTCTTGCGTACTCTGTGATATTGCTCAATACTGATGCTCATAGCAGCATGGTGAAAGATAAGGTTTGCTTGCAAAATCTCTTCCTTTGTATCTTTGGCCATTATCATGACTAATGAGCTCTGCTTTTTACCCCCTCTTTTTTATTATAAGTTCATAAAAGTTGTGCTTTGGTTTCGGTCCTGATAGTTATTCCATGCTTCAGGAAAATTTTTCATCTTTTTGGAGTTTGTGCTGAATCAGTAGATTAGGCTTACATGATAATAAAGAATTAAGGATGTACTTTATAACATTACCTTCTTGTAATGGTAGATCATCTTCACAGTTAATGTCCTTGTCAGGGTGATTTTTAATTTGGATTGATACTTGGCAGAAAAGTCCCTGGATATCTAACCTATTATCAATTTTTTTTTCACTGTTTGAAAATTATGAAAAATGCAATTGGAGAAATATAAGAACATAATAACAAATACTAGCAAAATTATTCTCCTTATATTTATAAGTTTGTCTACAGCAGGCATCATATTGTCAATTATGCATAAATGATTGTAGATTTGATTTTGACTACCTTCTAACCTGTTTTGAAACTGGTGCCATCCAGATGAGCAAGGCTGATTTTATTCGGAACAACAGAGGAATAAATGATGGCAAGGATTTGCCTGAAGAGTATCTGGGCACTCTCTATGATCAAATTGTGAAAAATGAAATTAAGATGAGTGCCGATTCTTCTGTTCCTCAAAGCAAGCAGGCTAACAGCTTAAATAAGCTATTAGGTTTGGATGGTATACTCAATCTAGTTATTGGGAAGCAGACTGAGGAAAAGGCATTGGGTGCAAATGGGCTTCTTATCAGGCATATCCAAGAGCAGTTTAAGGCAAAGTCAGGAAAATCAGAGTAAGCTATATTACAAAATGTTTCATGGTTGATTGTTTCTGGAGTAAATTATTATTTGTGGTCCCTGGGTTTGAATGTGATTATAACCTAATCCTTCATGTTTGAAAACCTATAACTTAGTCCCTTGATTCTGTTGGCTTTTGTTTCATTAAAACATCTGTTGATTTTTTAATCCCTAATGGGCCGTTTGACAATTTAAATTCCTAGAGAAAAACATAGTGTGGGTTTCGATAAAATACCCAGGCATTTTTACTCTTGATGGGGGACAAATGTGTTGAAGGGTAATGAATGTTAGCAGTAATCCAGAGGATTTGTTGAACAGGCTTGAATTATGGTGAGTGGTTTAGGGGACTTGAGGTTGGTTTAATCTTTGCTTTATTTGGATAATTTTGACTCTTTCCTTCTCTCGTGCTTGTGCACCCACTATATCTTGGGTAAATTACTTAAGAACTGAGATGGATTTAGCTAACAGAGTGCACCATAAATTTCTTATATAAGCTCGTATCTATGATATGATAATAAGCAGAGAATGATTATCATGTACCTTAGTTTAAAGGGACAGTTTTCTGCTTCCAACCACTTTTTTTTTTGTTTTTCAATTTGGGCTCCGTGTCAATCTTACTCGAGCTGTTGCGAATTGTAAAAGACAGGTTAACTACATTGCAGTCCTTGTATTGAAAATAATAGTTTGATTCTCGGGTTGCAGGTCTATTTATCATGTTGTAACAGATGCAGCAATTCTGAGATTTATGGTTGAGGTCTGCTGGGGTCCTATGCTGGCTGCATTTAGTGTGACACTTGATCAGAGTGATGATAGGCTCGCTACATCTCAGTGCTTACAGGGGTTTCGATATGCTGTGCATGTTACTGCAGTCATGGGTATGCAGACCCAGAGAGATGCTTTTGTTACATCCGTGGCCAAGTTTACGTATCTCCACTGTGCTGCGGATATGAAGCAAAAAAATGTAGATGCTGTGAAGGTAAGCATTTTTAATTGGATTTGCAAACCACCATCACACACACGCACACACAAAAAAAATTCACAACCCCAAAGAAGTAGTTTTCTTATTTGGTTAGCCATATAACTGGTCATACAGAAACAGTGATGCTTTAAGTAGATATTGGTCTAGTTACTTCAGTTTAAATCAAATAGCTATGCTTTGTGTTCATCAAGCTTCATGCATTTGGTGTCAATTTCTGTAAACGGTCATTTATGTTTTTAATTTATGCAATATATTCTTCTTCATGCAGACAATAATATCAATTGCCATTGAAGATGGCAACAATCTTCACGATGCTTGGGAGCATATCTTAACTTGCCTCTCCCGTATTGAGCATCTGCAACTGCTTGGAGAAGGTGCGCCACCTGATGCCTCTTATTTGACTCCATCTAATGGTGAAACAGATGAAAAAACACTGAAGTCAATGGCTTATCCTTCTCTCAAGAGAAAAGGAACCCTCCAGAATCCAGCTGTAATGGCTGTTGTTAGAGGGGGTTCATATGATAGTACCACTGTTGGAGTCAATTCTCCAGGACCATTAACTCCAGGGCAGATTAATAATTTCATTTCAAATTTGAATTTGCTCGACCAGATAGGGAATTTTGAATTGAACCATGTGTTTGCTAGTAGCCAAAGGTTGAACAGTGAAGCAATAGTAGCTTTTGTGAAAGCTCTTTGCAAAGTTTCAATATCTGAGTTGCAATCTCCAACGGATCCTCGTGTATTTAGCCTCACGAAAATCGTAGAAATTGCGTAAGATCTTTCTCCCTTTCCTTTGAGAATTTTTATATTGCCACATGAAGTTCCATGAGGATTTGTATGAAAGAGAACATTATGTGTTTTTCCCCCTTTTGCAGGCATTATAATATGAACCGCATCAGATTAGTTTGGTCTCGCATATGGAATGTTCTCTCTGACTTTTTTGTATCAGTTGGCTTATCAGAAAATCTCTCTGTTGCAATTTTTGTGATGGATTCTCTGAGACAACTTGCTATGAAATTCTTGGAGCGTGAGGAGTTGGCAAATTACAACTTCCAGAATGAATTTTTGAGGCCATTTGTGATTGTTATGCAGAAAAGCAGTTCTACAGAGATCAGGGAATTAATAGTTAGGTGCATTTCACAGATGGTCCTTAGTCGTGTTAGTAATGTGAAATCTGGGTGGAAAAGTGTTTTTATGGTATGGTATCGTTCATTCTTATTTTCTAAATTTTTTAATTCATTTAACTCTTAAAATGCTTGATCAGTGGGAAATTCTTCTTTCTAATTGTTCCAGTGATGCCATGATCTTCTTCTCTCAGGTTTTTACTGTTGCTGCAGCTGATGAGCGGAAGAATATTATCCTGTTGGCTTTTGAGACGATGGAAAAAATAGTCCGAGAATACTTTCCTTATATAACCGAGACAGAGACTACAACTTTCACCGACTGCGTTAGATGCCTCACCACCTTCACAAATAGCAGATTTAATAGCGATGTGAGCCTCAATGCAATTGCGTTTCTCCGATTCTGTGCTCTGAAACTTGCAGATGGAGGACTTATTTGCAATGTAAAGAGCAGGGTTGATGGTCCATCCATCCCAGGAGTAGATGGGGTTGCTTTGGATGTAGAAAACCCTAGTGATAAAGATGATCATGCATCCTTTTGGATTCCTTTGCTAACAGGTAACCTGCTTTTTCAAGGAAAGACTTACCATATGCTGCCTGACACTTGTGCATGGCAATATTGTCGTGAAAAATGTGGATGGCTGAACTCAACTTTCATTTTTGGCCACCATGCTTATATAACTAAATTATATAGCCAGCCATGTGCATAGAACACATGAACCTTGTATTTTGCCACATTTCAAAAGACATTTGCTTCCAAGTTAACCCCTCCGCCCCTGCCCTCACCACCCCAAGAAAAAAGAAAAAAAAAGCATCCATGAATTTAGAAGTTACTTTTGATCGATGGAGTGCATCCAGGAATTGTTTTCTTTTGTTCTGCCATCATGTTGTGTTCTGTCATCCCCATGTGACAGTTCATGCATGTTTAATAAGTTTTTAAGTACCCTATTTACAAATCATTGAGAATGAATCATGGGACTTACCCTTTCATTGCTTCTCATTGCATGTAGGGAAATGGGAATAACCTGATCTTATTTATAACCATCAAGCAAAAGTTGAAAGGACAGCTAACTTGTTTTTGCATGAATAGATACACGAGTCTGCCTTTTGGATGCATAACACATGTTTTGTGAAGAATTGCTGGCCTCTTCTATCATAAGTTTTAAATGTCTCATTGTTATGGTTGCAGGGTTATCGGAACTAACATCTGATCCCAGATCAGCTATTCGAAAGAGTGCTCTAGAAGTCCTATTTAACATTCTCAATGACCATGGCCATCTTTTCTCACGCTCATTTTGGATCACTGTTTTCAATTCCATCATTTTCCCCATATTTGGTTGTGTCAGTGACAAGAAAGATGTTAAAGATCAGGATTCCCCAACTGCAGCATCGCCTCATCCAGAAGGAAGTACATGGAATTCGGAAACGTCTGCAGTTGCAGTCCAGTGTCTGGTAGACCTGTTTGTCAACTTTTTCAATGTGGTTAGGTCTCAACTACTTAGTGTAGTATCTATATTGATGGGATTCATTAGGAGTCCTGTTAAGGGTCCTGCTAGCACTGGGGTTGCAGCACTGTTGCGTTTAGCAGGTGAACTGGGCAGCAGGATTTCAGAAGATGAATGGAGAGAGATTATTCTAGCTTTGAAAGAGGCTGCTGCATCACTGTTACCAGGTTTTATGAAGGTCTTAAGAACCATGGATGGTATTGAGATGCCTGAAAGCTCTCATCCTTATGTGGATGTGGAGTTTTCTTCTGACCATGGCTTCACAAATGATGATCTTGAGGATGACAATCTCCAAACTGCAGCATATGTGGTTTCAAGAGTGAAGAGTCATATTGCTGTGCAGCTACTTATTGTGCAGGTTCTCTCTCTCTCTCTCTCTCTCTCTCTCTCTCTCTCTCTCCCTCCCTCCCTCCCTCCCTCTCTTTCTCTACCTCCCTCTCTCCCTCACACTCTCTCTCTCTCTCACACACACAAACACACAGACAAAGACGCAGCATGTTTACAAATTATGCTTTTGCGTTCTACATTTGATGTCTATGCATCCATTTATGTGTTGCTAAAAATATACATCTCAAGTCGAAAGGTTTAAAATATGCATGCACATGTTCGTGTGTTTTTTTGTGTGTGTGGGGGGGACAAAGATCTGAAAGATGCCAATGATCAGCATGCAACCGTGTATCTCTCATGAATTTTTACTGGCTTTGGTGGCATTTTACTAGCCATTATTTTGTAAACAGCCCTTTGCAGCCACTGCCATTTTTGTGTTCAACTGATAGCTTGATGCCTGGACTGTTTTTAATGCTTGAAAGATTTCGATAGGCTTTTGGTGATTTTGATCTCTTTTTCATATCAGGTTCTAAGTGATTTATACAAAGCAAACCAACAATTCTTGTCAGCAGCCAATGTCAGAATCCTTATGGATATATTTTCCTCAATAGCATCACATGCCCACCAGCTGAATTCCGAGACGAACCTGCTGAGGAAACTGCAGAAAGCATGCTTTATTGCCGAAGTCTCTGACCCTCCAATGGTACATTTTGAAAACGAGTCCTATGAGAATTACCTTAACTTCCTCCTAGATTTACTCAACGATAATCCGTCCATGTCTGAGGCGATGAACGTAGAAGAGCAACTTGCAGCAGTGTGTGAAAAGATATTGCAGATTTATCTGAACTGTACTGGGTTGCAGACCCAACAGCAAAATCCTGCAAACGAGCCAGTGATACACTGGATTCTTCCCTTAGGTTCGGCCAAAAAGGAAGAATTGGCAGCAAGGACTTCTTTGCTTTTGTCAGCTTTGCGGGTATTAAGCGGTCTAGAAAGGGATTCATTTAGGGCTCATGCCCGACAATTCTTTCCTTTGTTGGTAGATCTTGTACGGTGTGAGCATAACTCCGGAGAAGTACAGCGTCTTCTAAGCGATATTTTCCGATCATGTATAGGCCCCCTCATAATGGGATGATTCATTATAATTATATTTACACACATGTATGTCGTCATTATCACATCGCAGTTTTGATCTCGCTAATTGGATAAAATACAAACCCATGAGGCTATTCTTTTTTGTTATGCTGAGACAGTAAATCTTTTTCACCCCTGTAAAAGTATATGCAACTGCAGGTGTAATAATGTGGACAGAAATTCCCACAGCTTTGAAAAACATGGAACTGTCAACGATTGGCTAAGCAAGTTGTTGCTCATCAAACCTTGTTCCTCTCTCTCTTATCCCCACCATTCTTACGTTGCTCATCATTTGAGTTTTGAACTGTCATCTCATCTGGTGTCACTGAATACAGCGAGCACAAGGGTTTAACAAATTGAACAAATAATGCAAGTGGTTTGAAATATTAATGAACAAAATTTATGTCTGACGGATACTGTTTGGCATTAAAAAAAGAGAGAGAGAGAGAGAGAGAGAGAGAGAGGGAGAATTGGTCACGAATTACGGGATGCATTTAGGAATTATTCAAAGGGGCAATTAATACTACATTTCTCTGGCATAAATAAGTAGACTCCATCTATGAACAGATGCCGTATTTGAATTAGTAAGTGTTGACCTTGTCTTGTTATGATAATAATAACTCTACGAGTTTTTTTTTTTTTTTTTTTTGTAGGTCTTCTACGTTTCTCAATCTAGGTATACTGTACTGTACGTTGATTGAACTAGTCGAAACTGAGTAGGTCAAATCGGCTATTATATTTAAGTAAATACTTGCTTCAAACAAAGTTTATGGAAATCACTTTTGATATTCAAACAAATGGACTACAAAAACTTTAAACAAATGCTCATTGGTCTGCATGTATATTTCACTAATTATTGACGTAGCAAAATGTAGAATAGAACAACCCACGTTTATTAAGTATATACGTGGACGTAGTAATACTTGAATATATATATATATATATATATATATATATATATATATATATGGACGAAGTGGATTATTTAGCTAGGTTAGATTCAAACACAGCGTTTTAATATCTGCAGTCAATATCATATCAGAGCTGACAACCCACAAAATCCAAAAAAATCATTTGCTCTTGTGAGAAAAGTATAAGCATCGACATTTTCCAACTTTCATGCTGTTGCAAGCTCCTTTTTATAAAGTAATTTTTTGACTGAAAAAACATCAAATAATTTGGGTGCTTTTGATGATTTTTGACATGATTTTTACAATATTTTATATATATATTTTTAACGTTCGGTATTTTTATAAAGCAAATCAATTTGTGTTATTTTAAGTTAAAAAAAAAAACACTCTTCGAAAAACCATGCACCTTACTTAACGCATTCTTCCACGTCGTATGAATTAATATCTACGAATTTAGTAATATTTTTAAACTCTAAAATTATTTATGTTAAATAAAAGCCAATTCATGCAAGCAAATTGATGGCCCCCATTATTTACCATACATATGATTCTTAATTAATTAGCTCATCGATCCCACTAGCTAGGTTAGATTCAAACACAGTTATAACATCAGCATTCAATAATATATACACACAAGTACATGCATATAGACGAAGTGGATTATTTAGCTTGGTTAGATTCAAACGCAGGGTTTTTAATATCTGCAGTCAATATCATATCAGAGTTGACAACCAACAAAATTCCAAAAAAATCATTTGATCTTGTGAGAAAAGTATAAGCATCGACATTTTCCAACTTTCATGCTGTTGCAAGCTCCTTTTTATAAAGTAATTTTTTGACTGAAAAAACATCAAATAATTTTGGTGTTTTTGATGATTTTTGACATGATTTTTACAATATTATATATATATATATATTTTTAACGTTCGGTATTTTTATAAAGCAAATCAATTTGTGTATTTTAAGTTAAAAAAAAAACTCTTCTTAAAACCATACACCTTACTAAACGCATTCTTTCACGTCGTATGAATTAATATCTACGAATTCAGTTATATTTCTAAACTCTAAAATTTTTAACGTTTGGTATTAAAACCATTGAAAAATATTAAATAAAGCAAATCAATTTGTGTTATTTTAAGGTTAAAAAAAAAACACTTCGAAAAACCGTGCACCTTACTTACTAAACGCATTATTCAAAGTCGTATGAATTAATATATACGAATTCAATAATATTCCCGAACCCTAAAATTATTTCTATTAAATAAAACCCAATTCATGCAACCAAATTGATGGCCCCCATTATTTACCATATGTATGATTCTTAATTAATTAGCTCATCCCACTAGCTAGGTTAGATTCAAACACAGTTTTAATATCTGCATTCAATATCGATCCTATTCCTATCAGAGTTGACAATCAACAAAATCCAAAAAATCATTTGCTCTTGTGAGAAAAGTATACGCACTCATATTTCCAACTTAATTAATTTCATGATGTTGCAAGCTTTTATTTTTTGTTTTTTTAAAAAATTCCATTGAAAAACATCAAATAGATTGGATGTTTTAGATGATTTTTGACATTTTTTTTTAAAAAGTATTTGAAAAGTATATATATATACGAATGCAATAATTTTTTTTTTTTTTCATGAGAAAGCGCATATGTCTTGAACTACACAATAAAAAGTAACTCTCATTCGTTATATAGTAACTGAATAAATTGAAGTCGTGTTTACGTAGGAAAACAATAATGCAATAATATTCCTTACATATACTTGCTATTATTTTTATTATCAAACAAAAGCCAATTCATGCCAGCAAAATTTGTTGGCCTCCATTATTTACCATATGATTTCTAATTAGCTCATCAAATTAAATGAAATGGCATGGCGGTCTTGTTCTTCCACTGCAATATATGCAATAGTCCACTTTTATTTTCTTGGTCAAATAAAATAAAATAAATAACGGAACGATCCCTCCATGTTTCCATTTTAATTTATTCTAAAAGGTTGCAGATTTTCCATGTCCAATAACATAAAATTGTTATAAATTTCAATCCACATAAATAGATAAATATTGAGTCCACCATGCATGCACCAATCCATATCCATGTAATTATTAATAGTGCTTCCTGCAATAATTAATGCATGCATCAGTATTTTTCCAAAAGGCCCTGCTGGTCTAATGGCAAGAAAACAAAGCAAAAGATACAGAAAATTTAATTAACCCTAATCAATATTCGTTTAGTTAGACCCGCAGATCGAGCTGATAGCTAGGATATATATATATATATATGCATGAGGAATTACTCAACAAATCTTTATTAATAAGGAAGCCCCAGCTAGCCTGCAGCTGCAGATGCTTAAATTTGAAAAGAAACTCATAGAAAGATAAAAGGGAAAACATTAGTTAGTTTAGTCCGTCATGTATTATCCTGTTATCAATTTAATAAGGAAGCCCCAGCTGCAATATATATGCTAGCTAGCTAGCGATCAAATTAATTTCTTCAACTTATCCTTTCGTACAAACGAAACTAGTGAAGTGGATCAAAATTTACTACTATGATTTTGAGGCTAAAATCCTCCTTTAGGGCATGCATGCATGATGGAAGTACGTGTAAATCGAATGAAATTTTTTAATTGCCATTAACAATTAATGGATGGATGGAGATTGATATTTTCTAATGTTGATTGTACGTGTTTAAGGCAAAATTGATAAATTAAAAGGTTTAAAACTTAATCGATAATGTGACAATTCGTAAAGGGTTAAAGTGATGATGAGATTTTTCTGAAGATTGAAGATCATAAGCAGGAGGAGGGGCCTTTTTCGCTTTTTTATTTATTTATTTTTATTTCTGACTTCTTAAAAAGAAGCATGCATGATTGCATTTATATCCATATCATGGACTTTGTGGAAGAAGGTGACAAAAATGGATGTAGATAGCAAATTAGGTCATCGATCATGAGGAGCCAGTGGTGGAAAAAGAAGCAGAGTGAACAGTAGTAGTAGATATTTATTTGCCAATCAAACATCATTAATTATTTTGGTTCACTTATAACGACCAAATTTATAATAATACAATGAAGACGAATTCATCGATCATAGAAATAAAATTATACCCATCCATACCACGTGTGGTCGTAATATTCTTATTTATTTTTTATTTTCATTTTTGCTATAGATAAGATCATATAGCTTACAACTTATGTGATAGATCGAATAGAGTCAGTAGGTAGTAGTTAGCACTTAACAGAGTAAAAGAGGAAATCAGATTACCATAATGGATTGAATCAAAGATAAAGAACTATTATGACAATATTCTGAATTATTTTTTTTTTTTTGTAGTTAATATAGCGAAGAGAAGATCAGATTGTCATGACATATTGAAACTGAATCTAAGATGGGGAGCTATTCTGATTTTTTTGTTATTGTAGCTAGTGGAGCAAAAGAAAAAAAGGGATCAGATGACAGATTACCACGATAAACTAACCAACACATTACAAAGGTGATGAAATATTTTGGCTTCATTTTGTAATAAAGTTTTTTTTTTAAAATAAAAAAATAAAAATTTCAAATACATCAAAAGAAGATTTTGATCTCCTGAGCACTTACAGATACAAGAGGCTCACTGTCATTGAGTTGATCGGCCACCATGGTGATGAGAGACTCACTGTCATAAATGGTCTTACAAGGTAGGATTGGAAGGCTTGCAGCAAAGACTCTACGATCTTCAGTCTCCTACAGCTTTTAAGTGGAAACAAGATAATTAGCCCATAAACAGGACTTCAACTTGGTATAAGGTAGTTAAATTAAATTAACTTGAATGTGTTTTACATTCACCATACATTATCAACTATTTTTAACTTTTTCTTTTTTCAGACCACCTTCAAAGCTCCTACAGGAACAGATCCTGTTGTGGCAGATTTACTTGGGATGGGAAAAGGTCTTGCTTGGGTTAATGGTAATAACATCGGTCGATACTGGCCAAGTTTCATTGCTGAGGATGGATGCAACCTTGAACCATGTGATTATCGAGGTTCGTATGTGTCTCTAACTGTGGCAATCCAACTCAAAGATGGTAATAAGGAAACCCTTTATTTATTTATTTTTATCTTTAGATGATGATTTTGTTGTGACTTTAACGTTGTAATGGATGTTATACATCAAAAGAAAATTATCCTCGCTGTTTAGCTGATAATTAACTATGGCTTATTGGGACGTCTCGATAAGCTGGCAAAAACAGCCAACGATTTCGTTTTTCTACTGCTAGCTAGCTGCCTTATTGGGACCTTGAAAAACACCGTTGCGAAAAGATGGACCTCTCGATAATGCTATGGATTTGATACGAGGAGCGAAACACGTTTTCATGAATTACGAATCTCGCTCCATGTGTTTTCCATGCGACTGTGGGTGGCGTGGGGACACCCCACTGATAATATCAATATAATACGCGTGAAATGAAATATATTTAACGCATTAATTCATTTCAAATAAATATTTATACAATTTTCAGGAAATTATTATTATTAGTAATTGTTTGCAAATTAATTGATGCAAAGTGTAGTAAGAAATGGACTGTACGTACTTATTAAATAAATAAATAATAAAAACAAAACTAAGGCTTTGATCTATTAATTCCATTAACATCACATGAGACCTCAGCTTTATCAGCTTGTTATATACTTAGGATTAATACCTTAAAGATGCCAAGTTTTATTGTCTCCCACTTTAATCATAATCTGTAGCAGTCAATATTTGATTTCAGTATTTTTCTGTTTTGTTTTTTGCATAATATATATATAAAAATTAGGTCAAACCTGTGTGGTTTTTGAACAATATTGTGTAGTTTTAACCAATTTTGTGGATAGAGAGAAGAGGACAAAAGAAGGTAGTTTGAGAGTGGTAAGCCCGCGGCAACGGCAGCCAACAAACGTTGTCCAATAAAAGAATTAAGAAACAGCTGCGAAACATACAACAAACACGCCCACCCATCTGCTTCGTATTTTCGTTTGACTCGTCAAATTAATTGGACCTGGTGCTACCTTAGAAACATTATCTAAACCCAAAAAAAAATATATATATATATATATATATATGCAACAACATTAATTCGGGGGTTCTTAGGTAGATGATTTATTTAAAACTCAATCAAGCAATGCAAGAAAATAAAAAAGCTAACAAGAGAAATCATTACGTGTCATCACGGGAGATTATGTACAAATTAACTGCCAATTACTTGTGGAATGACATATAATCTTGTTTGACCGCATCATCAACTTTAAAATAAATAAATAAATAATATCTATAATTATAAAATAAAAAAATTGAATTTTTTTTTATTAGTAGGAGAGAAAAAATGATTCTGCTTTCGAATACATCTAAATATTTCTACAATTCCTTATTTTTCTTTAAGTTCATAAGTGTATTTATAAGATACATAAATTTTATCATATTGTTAATTATAAGGTTCTTTTATTACTATTATATTTATTTTTCAGTTAGTTACACATCAAATAATATTGATTTTTTATTAAAAAATTTTAATGCATATTTTATATCAGTCAAGTGTATTTAGAGAGATCATTGTTATCAAATTGTTAATTATAAAATTGGAATTCAAAAATTGAAAGAAGACATGACATAACATAGCACGTGGCAAAATCTAAGCCACTACAGCACAGAAACCCCAGAGCCAGCCCACCCCAACCCACCAGTATATATAGGCTCACCTCTACACTATCGCTTCACCATCCAAATTCAAAACCCATCGACAATCTAAGCACGACAACGCTGTAAAGCTTCCTTCTGTTTCTCGTTTCTCGCTTCTCGATCCGTCGTCAGGTCCTTCCCTCCATTCATCACCAACCCACCACCACCAGCACAACCATCATCATAATGGAGGGGACTCGCCGGCGATCGACCACCACCACCACCAAACCCATTCAGAAATTAATTCACGACGACAGTCCAATTGCCGCTAAACCATCTGATGCATTGCCTCTCCCTTTATACATAACCAACGCTCTCTTCTTCACCGTATTCTTTTCTGTTGTTTATTTCTTGCTCACTCGTTGGCGTGAGAAGATTCGCAATTCCACCCCTCTTCATGTTGTCACTTTCTCCGAAATTGTGGCCATTTTTGCTTTTGTTGCTTCTTTCATCTATATGCTTGGTTTCTTCGGCATCGACTTCGTTCAGTCCCTTATTCTCCGTCCTTCTCCTGATGTCTGGGCTGCTGACGACGATGAAGAAGAAGAAGAAGATGATCATCTTCTTCTCAAGGAGGATGCCCGCAAAGTTCCCTGCGGACAGGCTCTTGATTGCACTGCTCTAACTGCACCCCCTGCGCCAAAACTCTCTGTGGACCCAATTAACGTTGTTTCTTCTCCTCCTCTCAAGCCTAAGGTGGTCGATGAAATCCCATTTCCAACTTCTCTGACTGTTGAAGAAGATGAGGAAATTATCAACTCTGTGGTGGCTGGAAAAACTCCATCATATTCGCTCGAGTCTAAATTGGGGGATTGCAAGCGTGCTGCGGCAATAAGGCGTGAGGTTCTACAGAGGATTACTTCCAAGTCTTTGTCCGGGTTGCCTTTGGAGGGTTTTAATTATGAGTCGATTTTGGGGCAGTGTTGCGAGATGCCAATTGGGTACGTCCAGATTCCTGTAGGAATTGCTGGACCTTTGTTGCTTGATGAAAAGGAGTACTCCGTTCCAATGGCTACAACTGAAGGCTGCTTGGTGGCTAGTACGAATAGGGGTTGTAAGGCGATTCATTTGTCCGGTGGTGCTACAAGTGTGTTGTTGAGAGATGCCATGACTAGAGCACCTGTTGTTCGATTTGGAACTGCTAAAAGAGCTGCTCAATTGAAGCTCTACTTGGAGGATCCTGCTAATTTTGAGACTTTGTCCACGGCTTTTAACAAGTCTAGCAGATTTGGCAGGCTTCAGAGCATTAAGTGTGCTATTGCTGGCAAGAATCTTTACGTGAGATTCTCCTGCAGCACTGGTGATGCTATGGGCATGAACATGGTTTCGAAAGGTGTTCAGAATGTTTTGGACTTTCTCCAGAGTGATTTCTCCGATATGGATGTTCTTGGCATCTCTGGTAAGCTAGCTTCTTTGACTTATTCTATGATCATGTCCTGCTCAATTGTTATTACTAGGATCAAATTTGCATCGAAACTCATGAATATATATAATATTTTGTCAGGAAACTACTGTTCTGATAAGAAGCCTGCCGCTGTGAACTGGATCGAAGGAAGAGGAAAGTCAGTAGTCTGTGAGGCCATCATCAAGGGTGATGTGGTGAGGAAGGTTTTGAAAACTAACGTGGAGTCCTTGGTGGAGCTTAATATGCTCAAGAACCTTACTGGTTCTGCCATGGCCGGAGCTCTCGGTGGCTTCAACGCTCATGCCAGTAACATTGTCAGTGCTATCTATATTGCCACTGGCCAAGATCCTGCACAGAACATAGAGAGTTCTCACTGCATTACCATGATGGAACCTCTTAATGGTGGAGAGGATCTTCATGTCTCAGTCACTATGCCTTCCATTGAGGTAATTCACATCGATCCTCTCTTAAACTTAAATTTGAGGATTATGGGCTTAAATTAAACCAACACTTTTCTGGAACCATAAATATAGCTGCTACTCTTAAAAGTTCAAATTGTTTGATGATTCTCTGATGTTTTGGTTTGTATCTAATTTGCTTTATATGACGTATCATTCCAGGTTGGTACAGTTGGAGGAGGTACCCAGCTTGCATCTCAGTCAGCATGCTTGAACCTGCTCGGGGTGAAGGGTGCTAGCAAAGAGACACCGGGAGCGAACGCAAGGCTTCTGGCCTCCATTGTAGCTGGTTCTGTCCTTGCTGGAGAGCTCTCCCTCATGTCCGCCATTGCAGCTGGACAACTCGTGAATAGCCACATGAAGTATAACCGGTCAAACAAAGATGTGTCCAAGGTTTCTTCCTAAGGTGTAAATTGACAGCTCGTTCGAGGCAAGAAAGCCCGTAGCCTCAGACTGTGTAGAGATCCATAACACAAGTCATATGCCGAACTGTCGATTAGGCACGGATGACACAGAGAAAGAGAGAGAGGAGAGCGAAAAAAAAAAACAAGAAGAAAATAAATGGATATTCGCATAGGAAATGTTAATGTGTATTCTCTTTTCGTTCTTTCTGTTGTTATTTTTTATTTTTTTTTTTTAATTTTCTCAATCAAAACCATGTAAGAAATATTCTGCAAATTGTGTAAAATCATCATCAAAACATTTACCTCCTCTGAAGATTCTGCACCCCGTTAAGTGTTAAATACTTGAATCTCATGTTTCTTTTCATGATGTACTTGAATTTTTGTTCATTGAAAGCCAAGATTAGATATTTACATCACAAAATACATGATATAATATCATCTTTCTTTTAGTTTTGCATGATCTGCCACTTAGTCACAACCGGATGAAAAAAATTGTTTCTCTGAGGATCGATCTCTTCTGCCAAAGAAGATCTGGGTTCTTGTTTGACTGTTAAGTGAAACTCAAAGGGCAAATCAGTATGTATATTCTGTAATTTATGGAAAACAAAAAAGGCATACATAAAATTCAAATCTAATTAACTGCATATTTACATGAAATTCGCTTAGAAATCAGCTTATTGCCGTTTATATGGTCCTTACTCCTCCTTGATGCATCAAAAATTCTATCTCTGGTGTCCTTTTGTATCTTGTTAGACAGACCTAAAAATTTGTGGTATTTGGCAAGTGCAGGGATGACAATGGCCGAGTACGTCACTCATTAAGCCAATCCCTTACATTGCTCGTTATCTTATTCATTATTCATGAAAAAATTATTTATTCATTTTTTTACTTAGTCTATACCCATTTCTTTTTTAAGTTTTAATTCATTTTTATCATAATTTTTTTATGAATTTTTTTTTTTTTTACTTTTCATAAATCATGCCAAACATACTCTAGATGTCTCACCATTTTTGGTCCAACTTAAAGGTCGATTCATGTATTACTATGAATTTGCATCCAGAAAAGGTTTTCAAATATTTAGTCATTAGTAAATTAAAATTTTGCTTAGTAATATTTTTAAACTCTATCTATATAGGAACTCTTTATCAGACCGATTTAAAATTGCTCCATGAGTAGCGATTGAAAAAAAAAACACACACATATATAAATATTATGCTTTTGATCCCTCAGCAAGAGAAATTACTCATTTTTTATTTATTTTAAAATTTTATGTTTTAATATTTTTTTTATGGTAATTGATAACAAATAAATATTAATAAAATAAAATAAAATAAAAATCTATATTCATAAATAAATTAATGATTTATTCATTAATGTAAATTGATATTATTATTTTACCTATATTTAATCTATTACTCAATTTAAAAAATAATTAATGAACAAATTGTACAAAGTATTTGTTTTGTACTCGATCCTCTGTCCTTCCTAGGTAGGTGTGTCCCATGTGTTTTTATTTTCTTTTGTTTGGTTTTTTTTAACATCAGCTTATGGGTGTCGGCCAGATCCATTCTGATTGTAGGGAACTTAGTATTACCTTACAGTACAGTTAGTTAAGAGGTCACCCATGGAGGTAAGGCAGGTGGGCGCCTTGATGGATACTTGGGAGTGGGACTTGTCTTTTCTTTCCCTTCTTCATGCTTGACAGCAAATTGGGATTTTAGACTTTTGACTGATACTTTGGACTATAAATTCTACCTTAGATAAAAAAAAAAAAAAAAATAATAATAATAATAATACTATATATTATGCATATTACAACAAAAGGAGTAAATTAATCAGACCCGTTCAAGTTAGGGAAAAAAAAAATAATGAAGCAAGGGAAGGTTTGTCAATTTTGGCAGCAGGCTACTTGGTTGACTTGACCAAAAGGAATAAAGCGGCTTAGACCACTTGGGATTCCGTGCCTTTTTTTTTTTTTTTTAAATTTCATGGTTAAATTCTTTAGTATTATACATAGAATATTAGATTTTTTCTCGCACGCTTCGATTTGGATAAAATATATAAAATCATTTAAAAAAATTATTTCATTTTGATAATCTATTTTATGATGTGAATCTATATAAATAAATAAAATCAAAGATAAAAATATATATTTTAATAAAAAATTTTGTATTCAACTATTTCTTATTTGTGTTTTTCATAATTTTTCTTTTAGAAAAAGGATTTATCCTTATTAATCCATGGATTATTAACTAAAAAGAAAGTTAAATAAAAATTTTTAAAAAGAACTTTAGTATTTCATAAGATTGTATCAAAAAACAAAAATAACAATTATTAAAAGCTTACATAAAATTGAACAAATAATTTTTTTATTTATATTTAATGTTGATGAGAATATCGATTTTTGAAAAAAAATATGAATTTAATTTTTATATATTTATTTACAAAAGAATGAATAATATTGAAATAAATCAAACTTTCGAGTAAATATAATTTTAAATTAATTGGATGAGAATTTAAAAAAAAAAAGAAAAAGAAGATAAATTAAAGTAGTAAATTTGAAATAATAAAAATAATTAACAAAAAACGCTAAAACAAAATGAGACCAAATCACAATACAATTAAAGTTTAAAATTGAAAAAAAATGTATAGAAAAATTGAGGACCATATAATTTTAAATTAATTGGATGAGAATTTTTTTAAAAAAAATGAAAAATTAAAGTAATAAATTTTAAATAATAAAAATAATTAATAAAAAAAATACTAAAACAAAACGTGATCAAATCACAATACAATTAAAATTTGAAATTGAAAAAAAATATAGAAAAATTGAGGACCAAAGTGTTACAAAAATGACATAAATAATGAAAGGAATAATGATTTGTGAGAATGTGAATGACGATTTATGAGTGTGTAAATAATATTATGAATAGTAAAATATCATTTTATTTTGGTTGTATATATATATATATATAAGAAAAAAAAATAAGGCCGACCAAGGCCTTAACTCGCTGGGTTGAAGAAACACTCGTTCATTAAAAAGTAAAAGTTGCTTGTGTTTTAGGGTATTAGTAATTATAAATTATACTCTCTCATTTTGAGAAATGAATCGATTAATTTCTATTATTTCAAAAATTAATTATTAAATCTCCATGTTTTTTATAAATAATTTTTTAATTAATTTTTTAAAATAATAAAAACACATAGAAAAATATGAAAAGATTCATAAAAAAGAAAAAGATGTTTTTAAAATAAAAATAATATAAAATTAGACACTATGAGTATCGATCCAATAGCTAAATAATGGTTTTTGAAACGAGAGAGATAACTTAATTTGTTTTTTTGAAACTAAAAGGATTATAATTTACTTGTGTGTGTGTGTGTGTGTGTGAGAGAGAGAGAGAGAGAGAGAGAGAGAATACTCTCTTCTGATTTCAAAAATTAATTAATTAGTGATTTGATCAATGCTGATTATTTTAATTTAATATTATTTTATTCTAAAAAATATCTCATATTTTGGTCAATCTTTCAATACTATCTATTTCATTTTTTTCCTTTTTCTTTTCTTGAAAGAAACAAAATTAACAAAAAAAATTAATTAATTAGTTCTTAAAATTAAAAATATTATTTAATTCATTTTATAAAACTCAAAAGATTAATGTACAATTTACATATCCTCTCCTGCTGGTCAAGGAAGAACAGAGCTTGATGAACTAAGGCATTGTTGTGCCTTCTTCTAACATGACAACACTACTCTCCAAGCTATGGAAAAACTCTCCATCATTCTAAAATGTCTTTAGCTACAATAGAATAGAAAAGGTAAGAATTTTCCTCGTTGCTTCTTGTCAGCTGATTAACCACCTGGAGTCAATTAATCAATTTACTAATTAATTAATTAATAAAGAGTAATTGAATATTTTTCAATGGGGTTCGATAGATACAAATTGATTTTAAAATAAAAAAAATAATTCACATTTTTTAAATTGATCCAAACTATTTAAATGGGGTTCTTCATCCAAACTATCATGCAGACATGGAATCAATTTGAAAAATAAACCTAACTCATTTAATCTCAAACTATATATATTTAACTTGATAACTTAAAAATTAAACCAATTAAACCTTTTTTTCTTTAAGTTCCAACAACACCTATTCAAACTCATGTCAACAAGTTCAATCAAATCCCTCAATCGTATTTAATAGGGTTTTAATCAAATTCAAGTTTATGTAGCAGAATTTTAAACATGACAAATGGCTTGATAAAAATGTTTTTTTTAAAAAAAAGATATAAAGATATATGTGGCTTCGCAACGCTAACCAACCCCCTATTCATATATATATATATATATAGTGTTCCACATGATTTTTGGATTATAATTTTAGATTCTGAGTCATAGTCTAAAAATAATTTTTCATAGGCAACTTAAGACAAACGAGTTAAAATGAATTTAAGTTAGAAGTATATTTGATAAAAAAAAAATGAAGTAATTTTTTTTTTTTTGAATAAAAGACATAATATAAATTAAAAGTTAAAAATTTCAAATTTTGAATAAATCAAAATTTTCACTCAATTCTCTAATAAACATTTTATTTTAATCAAAACCTATTTTATCTCACCAAATATACTTATGATTTTTTTTTTAAAAAAAAAATTCAAAACAATCTGAATCAATTTGAAAAATTCATACCAAACAAAACCTTAATTTCTTCCACTACTTGCGTATTTTTGGGTTTCGAAGATTGCAAAGACGTCATATGTTCAGTGTAACCAAACCCAGAAGTAGTAGAACTTAATTCTAGTCCATATCCACCACTGAAGCCTGACTTCTCAAGTCAATTCTTCTTTGCATTTTTAATAATAAATTAAATAGCTACCACTTAATATTCCTCTCTCACGCACACACATTCTGTGCACATTCATGATTTTATTCTATTTTAATTAGAAGGGATTTGTTCGGTAATTAGAAAGATTTATTCGTTTTTTATTTATTTTTAAGATTC